CACATTTTTGTACCTTTACTAAATAATTGTAAAAAAGGATATACAAGATCATCAGTATCATTAAATACACATAAAAAAAATGGCAAATGTCAAAAAATAAATGTCAAAATTTTTTGACAGATAGAATTTTTTAAACATTTTTTCCGTGTTCCTGGTATCTTACCTTACTTAAAAATTTTCTCTGTGGCGCGAGTTCTGGCGCAAGATATATTTTAGAAAGTACTTTATAGACCCAAATAAAATTGTGGAGTTGTTAATTAATCGTAGACTATGATTTTTTAAACGTTTGTATGTATGTGTGGAATAGATAGTAAGATGCAACCACGATGCAAGTGAAACTTTAATTATTTTATTTTATTATTATTATATTTTAATACAATAGAGCTAGAACTTAAAATGAAAACATTTAACCAGCCTATTCAAGTTTTACACCTACCTAAAAATTGTGGAAAACTATTATACCGGAAATGCTCTGTAGAAAATTGGAAAACAAGTTTTTATAGTTACAGAAAACTGTTGCTTTAGTAAATCCACTCTTTCTAACAATTCCAATAAGTAAATATTAAGGCATCCCTTTTTTTTATTCTTTTTAATTTTGTTTGTATGCAATTTAATTTAAAAATTACAGAGAACAAATGGAGCTTACATTTTCTCTTAACGAATAACATTTTTAGAAGGCATTGGCCACAGAAATTAACGGTTCTTTGGCCCTTCTTAGATATTTACTGCGCGTTACTACGTACTACGTACATTTTCATAAACAATTACTCACCGATTGCCGGTATACCGAATAAATTTGGTTTTTATTGCAGGAAACAGTTTCGATGTCGAATGAAAACCGCATAACGGTCATGTTAATTGGCGTAGTGTTTCTATTTTTAATCTGCCAAACGCCGACTGCTTCCTTCCTGATCTACAGCAACTTCTACGAAGCAGAAGACTTGGCCACGGAGAACATCCACCGGGGTAATTCCTCTTGAATAGCGCTTAGATCCTGTATAACTATAGTTTTTTTCCAGCTTTAGGCAACATTTTTAACTTTCTCGTAAACATAAATGCGGCTACGAATTTTATTATGTATTGCATTTTGTCGAAAAAGTACAGAACTACGTTTAGAACGTTATTCTGTGGCCGCAAAAAAAACAGACAAGACACGTTAATCTTAACGGATACTAGAACGAGATACACCTCATGTAACAATGGTTTCAGAAGGAACGCTTCCGAATATCACACTCCAAGAAATTTGGAGGTAACTATCTATTTCTTTAATAAAGGCAAATATGTAAATACCTACAACTTGTGCATAAAGATTTGAACGAAGCGGAAGTTTACATGTTACGGCTTTTTCCGTTCTCCCATATTGGTAAATTTTTATAATTCAAATATTGAATTATTAGGCTTTAGTAACAGTGACTAACAGCTCTAATAAGGAATGTAAGCCTAAAATCGCCTAGCTAACCGTACTTTTTTTTAGAAAGGTAAGACCCTCGAGCGAATCCATTATTCGGCTTTGTGATGCTCAAATGGACCGTTTGTGTGCTAATAATTTGTGCTTATAAGTAAGTAACAACGGAATGCAAACAGCAAACAGTAGCAAGTTCTTTTCCATATCCATACTTATATTAATTATAGTCGATAACAAAAATTTAATTATTTTAAACAAATACAACTGTTCAAGTGTGATTACTAATCTAATTATAACTTACTTAATACTTAGTATAAATTCTAATTACCCAAAAGTTTATTTTTAAAGTAACTCCTTATTTTAAAAATTTAAGTTTATTTTTGTAAGAAAATTTAAGATACAATTTTCTAAAAATTTGCGTTGCTATTTTAAAGCTATAGTACTCGTAATTAAGAGTTTTCAAGAAAAATTATTATGACGGTGGTTAACTAAGTATTATAATTGTTGATCTAGGCAACCATGAATACCCAATTAGAGCCAAATGAAATGTCTATACATAATGTATAACTTATTATTTATTATCTATATTATATTAATATAATATGTCTAAGTACTTCTGTTACGAATATTGTTGCGAAAAAAAAACACATTTAAAAGAATTTTGGAGTGTTTTTGAAATGTATTGAAATGTAAAAAAACACGCAGTTTTAAAAACATTGAAAAACTTCATATACTTACTACATATCTTACTGAAATTTCAATCTGGCACTTTGTTAACTGTACAACAAGTTTTATGATAGACTATTTTTCATAAGAAAGAAAAATGTCTGTCGGTTTTCATCTGTTATTTGAAGGGTTCAGAAGTCAATCAGTTTAAAATGTTAAAAATGAGACAGTTGAGCATTTAAAAAAAATGTATAAAAAAAGCTTGCAAAGGTGAAAAACAAAATCTTTATTGAAAGAGAATTGATAATACTTCAAAATAGTGCCTTACGTGCATTGCCAAATAAAAGATTTAACAATACAGTGTCATCTGAACCACATAAATCATTTTGAGAAAAATTGTGACTTAGACTGATTGGCTTCTAAGCTCTCCATTTGTATATTTTTTATAATAATGGAAATAATTAAGTCCCCATTGATTTCAAAGTAACAGGCGAATAAAAACTGCTTTGGAACCGAGCGTATTTACATAAGCTAATTACTTTCCGTAAAAAATTATTAATGCATTGTAAAGTATGTACTACAAAAATGTAATCGTTTTTCAAGAGTAGAATCTTTCGAAATTCCTTTTAATTTTTGAATTTTGCAAAAAAAAATCAACGAGCCTACTAATTTGCAAGCACTTCAGAAAATCTTCATGATGAGCCCGGAACGCAACTTTAACAATTTGTTTAAAAAACTACTAGTTAAAAAACAACTTTATTTAATTAGAGGTCATTTTTTATCATTTTTTTTCTTTAATAGTAGTAGATTACATTAAAAGAAATTTTTTTGCAAAACTTGAAAACTTCAAGAAATTTCGAATAATGTTATTCGTGAAAAACGATTACATTTTTATAGTACTTTACATTGCACTACCTATCTTTTTCGTAGAGTAATTAATTTATGCAAAAACGCTTGATTTCATACTTTTTATTTACCCGATATAATTTTTTAAAGCGAAAGTTCCGCATAAGTGGTGGATGCGCCGGGTTAACGAACCCCTGATACCCACAACAATTTTTCTTCTAAACATATTTTAGTTCTTTTTGTGGTGAAAACTGAATAGATTTGATATAGAAATGCATACGGCAAGTTTTTGCTTACTTTTTAGACCATTGTAAAAAGCTGCCTTTAAACATAATTATTTTGACGTATTTTTCTTCAGTGAAAAAATGTTTTCATTTAGCCTCAAAAAGAGTTTTCTGCAAAACTTTATAGTCTTTGAGTGAAATGGCTTCATAGTTTAGTACCCCGTTAAAACTACTATAAGAAATAAGTTTTTGCCTTGCTGTAAAAAAAGTGATTAAACTTTCTAAGTAAATATTCACTATGGAAAAAGTCAACCAATCTAGTAATAGCATTATTTAAAATAAAACACTAGTGCACTAGTCAGTATTCGATGCACCATCAAAATACCCGGGTATTTGCACACATGCATAAAGTTAATCTTTTTAAGATTTTCAAAACAATTGGGTTATTAATTACCAAAATTCATTTATTAATTTGACTTATAATTAGTATTTAAACAATAATACAGGTTAGGTCAAAGTTTTCCCAGGAAAAGTATAGAAAAATATGACAAACAGAATTTCAAAGTTTCATCTTAAAAAAATCACCGTTGAGTGTATAACAAAGGCTTAATTTTGCACAATATTTTGTCATTACGAGATACAGTTAATTATTTAAAATGTTGTTGAAATGTTTCACTTCAAACACAATCTTTATAATTTCTAAGTAACTGTTTGTGTTATTTTGCATAATAAATTGATTTCTTGGTTTTTGGTCATTATCTGGGAAACTTTCGCTTTCGTTAGACACATGTATTACATTCACAGCATTTTTTCCGCCCACGCTCTAAGAGTCTAAGCTTTCTTTTATTGCATGTATCGACACTTTACGAAGAAAGAATTTATTGAACTCCATCGAAAATTATAAATAAAGAAGCTTTTATCTCACTTTTAGTAAAGTAAATCAAAAATCGTGGAGACAGTAGTGGGAATTAACACAATACTAGGTACAGCCACCGGTGTATAAAGAAGAGCGTAATAAAAATATTTGCTTTAGTACTTTATAATAGCATTAACTTCACCAGTTATCAGTTTGTTACTCATTTTAATGCATTCACACTCTCTTACGTTTCAGAACGCACCCACGTACATATCACTTTAATAAACATGCTTGAAACCATTTCTGGTCTTGAAAAACTTGAGAAATTGTGAAACAACTTTTTCATGATTTTATTACAAAACATAAAAAAATGTGAAGAGAAAAAATAAAAACTTACGTATATTCCGGTTAACATTTTTTGAAGATATTCGAAATTACTAATCCAAATATGGAATACTTAATACAACTTTCAAAAATTACATTTCATTTTATCCATTCTTGCTCATCTGCTTTCTCGATGTTAATTTGCATTCAATCATTTTTATCATTAAAATATGTAAACTTTTGGGTAATAGTTATAAAAATAAAAATGTTTAAGATAAATGAAAATAATCCCTTGCTATCGGTAAGTGCAATATAATCGATTTTTCTTATTTGTTGCAGACCCAGAGCTTGACGAGCATTCCTCGATCAAAGTCACTAATGACTCGGCCTCCCGGCAAAGCAAAATCCAGCGACATAAACCTCTAAACTATATTAGTTTACTTTTTCATTATCATGTATACTACATGTACCTACTTATAAACTCACTACTAATTTTGTTAAATAAAAATATTTATAGTTATTTTATCGCTAATCACTTCGCTCTCTTTCCGAGATAAGAAAAATATCAGCGTATCTTAGAGAAATAAAAAATCTTGTTACCGTTCAAACTCACCTGCATTTTTTCCAAATTCCTGCAAAGCCGTTTTGCCGCCCACACCAAAATCAGCAAACGACGCCTGCGTAATGGAACACTTACCTACGCGCTGACATTTGAACATCGTCCAGCCAACTCGAGTTGATCTGAGAATAGCACATGAACGAGTCTTCGGGTTTACGAAACTAGTGTTGTGTGTATGTGGTGTGGTACAGGATACCTGACGACTTCAGCAGGAAACGGTAAGTCCGAGCCATAATCGGCAAAGATTAAAAAATGCGATCGTTGATATTTTCGTACGAATCAATCATTGCATTAAAATGTGATAAACTGATAAGTGAGCCGCTTTCTGCAAAAATTACAGTGAGACTGGCAGTTTATGGAAATTTTTTCAAAGACAAACAATTTGCAAAATTAGAAAATTATTGTGAAGCGCCCACGTGGGATTTTACTTCATCTGCTCGTATTTATTAATTTTACCTTGAAAATATTACATAATTTCATAGAATTGTCTTATTAGCCACTAAAACGTGTTAAAATGCCGTAAAATTTTTTACCGGAGTTTTACGGTTAGTGCGCAAAAAAGCATCTGTTATCACCGCTGCTTAGACTTTCCTAATTTGGAAAAAATTAAGCTACATGAAAAGTTAGTAGTCCTAATTAGCTTAATCCTTGACACCTATTTATCAGAAATGACAAACGCTGAACAATAAGTGTCAAAATTTTACTTATTTAATACCCTGATGAGTAAATTTATAAGCACGCCTCGCTTGCCTTTACTGTTATTTTACGTCATTTTAAATAAACATTCAATGAGTTAATTGTTGTTTTTTACATTGCAATAAATGCAGTCTGCGAGATTCCTATTCTAGCGCACGCAGTATTTATGCAACAAAAGTGCGACCTAATTCTTGGATTGAACGAAATTGATTCTTACTTTCTATCAAAATAGCTTCTCTGAAACACGAGGATAACAATTAGACGTGCATTTAAAAATAAAATTGGGGACTTGGCATAGATTTGCAACTCAAAAATTATCCTTGACCATTTGTTAGTCACCAACTAATGACTTATTTTATTTACAATCCTATTTTTCGTACCGAATTGAGAAGAAAGTTTATATAAAAATACTTTTGTTTACACCATTTCTAAAAATAGTTTGGTTCAAATAAATAGGTGGTATCTAATTTTTTTATTTAGTGTCGGCGTCGAGCCAGATCCAGAATTAGTAATGATGAATTAATTATTGGGTTAGCAAGTTATTTGAATTAATTGTGTAATTGGGACGCTGAAATGTGACAAGTACCTCGAGTAGTTTCTATCAATTTGTTACAATCGTATTATTTAATAGACAATAATGCCGCTCGGAATTCAATTTGAATAAAACATATGTTGTTTGTGCTTTTAATTCAAAAACAATTACGTGTGAACTCGTTAAAGCGATATTTTTTAATCTTTAAATTATAATCAAACATCGCCGCTAAATGACTATAATTTCACGACCTAAGATAACCTATTGTTAAGTTAAATGCATTTTGCCAGATATGTTCAACGTCTTCGTGAGACTTGATTTTTACTGTTACCTCACGTAAAGCCGACATGTGTTATTCAAAACAAATCCGTGCTTTCGATAGCAATGTCAACGGCCGTATTTTGCCTAAGCTATTGGAAGAATTTTTATAATCACTAATATGTAAATCATGTTCAGTTTGTTCATTGGTGGTCGTCTGCTGAGTCTGTGTTTGTTTTAAGTCAGACTTTAAAGTCGTTAGTAAATAAGAAGGATTTACATTGTAGCAAAGAAAAACATTAAAAAGCCTAAAACAAAACATGAATTACAATGTTTATCACATTAGTAAAGAGAAACTAAAAAGAAATATGAAAAGTAACATGAAATTGATTAGGTCAAATTATATTTTACGCGGATTAATATTATTGTAACCCTAAAAATGTACTATCAGCATGAAAAAACACTGAAACACTTCATAAACTCAACCGCAGTACATGGAGCTGAATTCATTCGGCAAACCATAAATCTTTTCACTCATAAACTTAACATTTAACTTGAAAGTTACATTTGAGGTGAAATTTTGCTTTAAAAAACAGAAATATAAATTATTACTTACTATTCTTATTTATGAATTATTTTCATAAATTGATATACCTAGCATATTAAGCTTACCCACGACTTACTCGTATGTAATAAAATTTATTGTTTTTTGTGTTAATTAAGATTCAAGAAGATTTTTTCTAAATTTTGATTTTAGTATTAGAACAAATTTTTCTAAATTTGAGAGAGATTTTTCAAAACAACATACCATTTAGAAATCTAACATTTTTCGTAAGTAACTGTCAAAAGTGAAATCTTTTAACTTGTGTCAACCTAAAGCGTATTAATGAAATCTCATCAAGTAGAACAAACAACAAAATTAGAAAACAATCTTGCGTGCAAGCAAGACGTGGCCATTAGGTTTTGAAAATTTGGTGTAATTGGTTGCAAAATTAGATATCGTAAAACATTTTTCATTAAATTTGTATTTTTTAAGTAAAAACAAACAATGATACGTTTGGGGTCAATGAGAACATTATGTAATTATAGTTTAATTCAATAGGTAATTGAAATTTCAGTTAACTACTAATTCAAACTAATTTATTACTGCTCATTTGATGCAGTAACAATTTTCTTTCGTATTCAGAAGAGGAGAAGGCGGCACAAAACGATATCTTAAAATGTTGTATATAATTGTAAATACCTTTCACTGAATAAATTAACCAATTTTTTTTAAGAGTCTTTCATCTTAAGTTAACTTGAATTTAGTAAAAATGCAAAAATAAGCCTTTTGGAAGTGACTCTTTGGGTAGCTTTAGAATTTTGCAAAAATACACATCCTAACCGTGACTGACATTCACGCACAAAAATAAAACAAATAGAGTAAAAATTCGCGTTAAATATAGGAGCGCACATGTCCCGGCTGAAACGGATGAGTTAAGCCTACATTGTTGATATTTATTAAGCTTAAAATTGAAACTCGTAGTTTTTTTTTTCAAATTAAATATCTCAAAACGTATTTATCAATCGAAAAAAAAAACATAGAAATGTGACGTATTGTATACCTGAAGGTTCCGACTCACCATACCATTAATGACGTCATTACAAGAAAATCTCGTTTTGATTGGCTATAGTTACATGTGCTTATAAGAGCATTTGACCGGTTATTGAATTGTACTGCAATTCAAAACGCATATTTGTGCATCTCGAAAGTTGTTATCATTCTGATGTAATCAAATAAGGAAAATTATTATAATAAAAGATAAGTTAATCTTTTCTAAAAATATAGTACCAGTGTCACAGTAACAGATTTATGACGAAAGTGGATAAAAACGTTTCGTAGTCGGTGTGGGCTTCGCATAGCATTTCAATTTTTCCTGCACATTCTATTGTTTAATTTTTATGTAAACTTCCACACTGACCCACCCACTATTAAAGTATGTACGTCATGCATTATCACAAATAAGGACAGTGCATAAAATTCATGACACTGCTAGTTATTCAATCGTGTCCTATATTATTTTCATATTTATTCAATTAATTATTTAATTAAGTTGGAGCAAGGTTATTTTGATCTTCTGCAAAAATCGTAAAAGGTATTTCTGTCTAAACCAAAGATTGCTCTATTAGTTCTTTAAGCCCCCCGCTCAAAGCAGGTTGGACGTAGTGGGCGGCCTTCACACCGTCTCCATGTCTCTGACTACATCTTGCTTGCTATATTTGGTTAGGTCAATCGTTTGCAGTGTGGGCTTTTGACCATATGTTTTGCACTGCATTTTTTATGCAATTAGATTTAAAAATCAACGGTTTTCCGATAAAAGGATCTCAAGTAAAATTCACACCCGGACAAATTAATATTTTCCATAAAGATTCAACATTTTGTTTTTAAATTAGCCAAATTTTCATAATAGCTAATGAACGTGGCTAATTCTGTTGTAAAATGGTTCATTTTAATTGTAAATGTAAGGTGGTGACCTGGCACCCATATATGTTTCAAGAAATTCGTGGAAATAAAAAGTCATACCGTATAAAGAAGTATTGTTACTATAAAAAGAAAAAGTTGATGAAGTTTATGTTTTTGTTTTTTTTATTTTTTTTAAGTGGAAAACATTTGGTTTCTGTGGAAAAGAAGAATTTATAAGTATTAGAACTGGACACTAATAACAAACTTTCAAAAATGTATAAAAATCATCCAAATTCTCGAATAAAATTATGTAAATTGATATTAATAAAACTACTTCTAGTTTCTTAATGAATATTTTTTGTAATTGTCGTCCAGAGAGTAGTAGGAATGTTTTTTGTAACTCCTGTAGTAATGGCAAAATAATCATTAGGTAAATCTCAATTTTTAAATTGTTTTGTCGGTTTTGCCATACATAGTTAGAAACTTTTAATATTTTCATTACAAAAAACAAGAATTTTGTTTCACCTAATTATGTGGCTCCTGCTTTAGGTAGTTGAAAGCATTAATTATATTTAGTTATTTAAATAAATATACAGTTATTTCAATTCACGAAATAACGAACCTCTTTTAAAGTTGTCCTGTTTAATGAACTTCTTTAAAAGCTTTGTCCACGCATTTATGTAGATTACACGATAACGAAAGCTTCGAGACGGGTAATAAGCAATAACCAAACCTAACTAACCCAAAAGTATTCATAAAACCTTTTGAAAATCGGTTCCAACTGATAAATCACTGAAATCTCCATAAAATATTCTCTTCTCAATGATCTCATAGTCTACTTATGCAATCAAACGACGTATTTTTTATTCTTCGATAAATTTAAAACATGGAAGACGTCACAGCTTGTTTTAATCTTCCACATTGACTGATTTCGCTGCGGTAATAAAGCTGTAAACACACATGTGATTTCAGAGGGATGTTCTCGATATCGTGCACGTGTCTAAGACAAAAAATTTGTAAACCAGATGGCTTATGCTTTAATTTACATTTACAGGTGTCGAAGTTCATCCCGTTTACAATTTCCGTTTATTAACAGTTGCTGATGTAAACACACAATCAAGAGTGAAATTTCTAAGTTTACTCTTCCAATTAGAAGATTCTAGTCTGACAGCTTGTCTCTTGTCCTTATAATGCATTTCTAATTTTATTCGTCAATAAATAAAAAGCCGATTACGTAATTCGTGTTGGTTTGGTATGTGATGGAAAATAAATAGTGTTAAGGTGACAAAGTGGTTCGTATGTGGGAAGATTATTCGTAAAACACGTCAGCTGTTTCATTCATCCACCCACCAACGCCATCAAAATGGACCCAGATTCATTATTGAAAAACTGAAAAATATCTCCGAAATTAGACTGAGATAATTGCTTTGTCGCCTCTGTTTACACCTTGGAATCACCTCACAGATGTTGAAACGGAAGCTCCGTTTAGAAATGGGTTAACATCTCGACCCACATGTTCTAATTAGACTTCCTGGCGCACTTAGATCTTCAATCGGGCTTAGATCCGTCGTTTTTGCGACGTGAATGAATTTCCTCCCACATTTCGCATCACTATTTCTGAAAGTGACCCAAATCGTTAATCAGAAGGCGCCAATCAAGTCTTTAACAAGACGCGATGAAATGATAATGGCATCCAATTTCGTTCCAAAGTTGCGAAAATCTTTATTACTCTTTTAATTAAGCAATAAAAATGTGAAAAACAAATCATTTGCTGGCTATTAATAGACAGTTCCGCCTCGTTTTCCACCTGCGCTCCATTATTAGTAATGTAGAAGAGATGACATTAACGGACGTTATTGGGCTAAGGTCAAGCTCCGTGACCCTCAGAAAAACCCTTTTATGGATGAGTAACGAACCTTGACCGCGTTTGGTTCATTGGGATTTATGGAGTCTTTCACGTAGACCACAAAAATTGACGCCTTGTCAGGGGCGTCATTAACAAATAAAAGACCTGTTTCACCTTTTTTTCAACTTGTTTGTTAAACGACAATGGTTGGGGTTTGTAATTTATTTATTTTTCGGATTAGCGAGATGGAAATGCGCCACAGAAAGGGGATTGGAGCTCCTCAAATTATTTCTGTGACAAGTGAACTTAATTAGTGACAAACTTTTTCATTTTCTCTAAATAAAAAACTCTTCTCAAAACCTTAGCGATTAATCCATAAATAGAAAAATAATGGCAATTCATATGTAACCATTTAGGAAAAGCTAAATTGTGAGGAATGAAATGTAGTAATACAACGTAAACTAAAAGTTTGAAAAAAGAATTTTTCTTTTTCAGAAAAAAAATTATTGATGAAAGACGACAATGTGCTATAAAAAATGAAATCGCTTTTTAAAAATGAAAATTTGTTTTAAAAAATTGAAATGCCTACATTACAATAACTACGCGAATTATGTCGAAAAAATTTCATGGTAAGTAGCAACTTCAAAAAATTAATAACAAGTTTGTAAAAAAGTCAAAAAACGTCAGGTGTTCCTTGCCCTTTGTAGTAATTTACCCTTCATCCATTATTTTTTTAAAGCAAATAGTTTAAGTTTTTGTTTAACTTATTCGCAACAATTTGAAACAGATACTACAGTATAATAAAAATAATAGAATGGTAGTTTTGATTGATGTTATCTGTTTTTTAAAACACTAAAAAACAAATATTTCTTAAAGAATTCTTGGTCTTGTGTAATATTTTTTCAGGTGTAACACTGATTGAATTCACACACACATGCACACTTCCTAAACGAATAAAATCTAATTTCCTTTACTGTTTTCTAATGGACTTCCAAGCAAACTGAAATATAAACTGCCATAAAATTATTGCTTTTATAGTCCATCAAGGCGAGGCTGATGGCGAATAAATTCCGTTAAAGTCGATTGGGTTTCCATTTATTTCATGATTTTCCAGATTTACTTTGCTTCTTACCTTCTTTGTGTTTACTTATAAATTTATTAATAACTTTAGATCAAATACATAATATAATAAGCAATTTGTGACAAATCTATAATAAAAATTGTAAAAAAGTGCCCACAAATTGGGAGTTTGAAATTCGATGCCAAAACTTTTGTTAAAGAACACAGAAAAATAAGTAAATATATTATGTGTTTGATCTTTTGGATTTTCTTGATAATTTTAAACATGTGCATAAATACTTTTTTGCATTTAGACAATTAATTATACATTTATATTTTGTATGATGATAATAATAATAATAAATTATTCAACGAGTGAGAAAGTCATTTCCACGAAGATGAAATTTACGATACGACCCGAAGGCACTTTTTCTAACTTAAATAATGACTGTAATATATTTTTTTAATTTTTATTATTATTATTCTTTAAATTTCTCCACAGTTGAAGATTGAATAACTTTCTTGAAAACGGTTGAGAAAAGTACAAATTCTTTAAATGATTAGAAAAATATTTTCTACCACGTCCGTAGTGTAGATCTTTTTTGCACTATTTTAATAATTTGTTTTAGAGATTTTTTTTCATTTGAAGTGTGTGAAGATGACAAAAACGATAAAGCATTTTCACTATTTTGATGTGGTCCTTTAAAAATCGGAGATATATCTAGTTTTACAAATGATCGTTTTGACGTGAAATTACTCAAATATTTTATTTTTTATTTTTAGGAATAGCAATAATTAGTTTTCGACTATTTTAAGTAACTAGCGCAATAGTGACTAAATAAATATGCAATTTTTAAAGGTTAATTTCTTTACGACATTACGTTGATGTAATAGATATTAGCAAATGTTTTAATTAATCTGTATTCTGTCTACATTAGGTTATTTTTTTTTTCAGTTTAATGTGCAGGCAGCATGTCGACGATCGAACGAAAAGAATACCAAGAAACGAAAATAATGCGTACGGTGTCGCCCGTGCGCAACTTCCGCAGCTCATCTCAAAATCTGGCCGAATTTGACCACAACCTCGACTATCTCCTCGAAGACCTCCAAAACTCAGTCTCCCGTCCCGGTAGTTCCCTCGGAACTCACCGCGAAACCTCAAAAAGCAATTCCCTCAATCGGTTCACCAACGTAAAAGCCTCGAATCCCGTAACTGAATACTCTGCCGACGACGCTTACAATTACACGGTAAGCTCAATCGCCGTTTCCTGAAACACATTAAAAGAACACGTTTCAGTCCCCTGATGGCACGAAACGCGTCACCGGTTACAAGAAGGAATCCTATTCGTATTCTACCAGCGGCGGAGCCCCACCTGCGAAAGCAGGCATCCAAAATAACATCAACCAACTGGATTCGCTTTTGGACGACTTGCAACAAGTGAAGAATGCATCATTCCAGGAAAAAGGTGAGGCTCGAGTGGCTTTGTTAATCATTGTTTGAAGAATATTCGGGGTTTTGATTGCGTGCTGACTCACGGGATATTTATAAAGGCGTTTGTTTTCCAGAATCTTATAATAACACTGGCGGTGATCCAGAATTTCAGTAAGTAGATTGTTGATTTTATTTCATTCGGTATTTTGGAATTTATTTTGATTTGGTAGAAGGGGCGGTTCTAAAAGAACAGTTCAACGCGAATTGCATTATGGGGATACTCCCAGATCGAGCTCAAGGAGTCGCACTTTGGAAAGGACAGAACGGGAAGGGTCAATGACAAGAGAAATCCAATACACAAATGAAGGTTGTTGATATTTAACTTGATTATCTCAATTGTTACCAACCTTCTAATAGGTACTTATGGTGACATCCGCCAAATCCGGGGAAGGTCCACTTCCCCATCATCCCGCACGTCAACTTTAAGCAAACAAACTAAAGTGAAAAACGTCCATAACTACCCTATGGAGGTTGTCGAAACGACAACACCCGACATCAATCCCGAAATTTTGGCCCAACTTGACCCAAGTCTCCACCCTCCAGGCAACACCAAAGTTACCACAACCATCAAAACATACACTTACGAAATCCCTGGCTCTGGCGACTACCCCACAAACCTAAACTCGTCAACTGAAACAGAAAAATACGTATACTCCCCAAACCAAACTCAATCAACACCTAGCAAAAGCTTTGTTTACAAAAAAGTCGAAAACAAATCATCGGAAAACACAGTCAATTACGTCCCGTACCAAAAACCTGTCGGTCCCGTCAAAGAAACAATCACCACGAGGACTTACCAACCAGGTTACATTCCCGACTCGCCCCCTACACGCAACCAAACCTACGTCTACAACGAGACAACCACCACGCGTAGCTTACCACGGCACCAAAACCCCCCGAAACAAGACACATACATTAAAGAAGTCCACGAAAACAACACCTACAACCGGCAATACCCCGATTATCCGCCACCATCGCAACAACACTACATAAAAGAAATCCATGACACGAAAACCACTACCAATGCCCGTCATCCCTATCCCAATGGATACCCCCCGAATGACAAGACGGTCATTTACAGACATGAGACTCATACAACTAATAATTATGGTAAACCGGTGAATGAGGTTGAGAGTTTTGATCCGAAACACCCGCCGTATCCACATGACCGAAGGCCGAATGAACCCGTGAATATCCAGTATAGGTACAAATCGGAAAGTACGACGACTAATAACTACAAAGCGGGGTATCCCCCGAGTGATGAGACTCAGGCTCTGCTGCCGAAGCCCTTCCCTACGGATAACCACCAACCAGAAGGGCCACCAAAAAGGCTAGACGACCTTATGGCGACCATAGGGCATGAGGTATTAATTTTTAACAGTTTCTTGGTCACACTTTTTTATTAAATTAAAACTTCTCCGGTTTACACCTGGTAAGAAAGTATTTTTTTTAATAAAGAAACTGCCCCCTTTTCTTGCAAAAAAGTAAAATTTAACACAAAAGTTTTTAATTAATTTACAACAAACTCCTTATGTACGATATTTTTCAAAGGTTCATAATTTAGCCCCCGAACAGCCCCTATAATGCTGGGTACAACGCACACGAACAAGAAATGGAACAGAGAAGAAGAAAATTTTCCAGATTTACTTGCTTCTTACCTTCTTTGTATTTACTTATAAATTTATTAATAACTTTAGATCAAATACATAATATAATAAGCAACTTGTGACAAATCTATAATAAAAATTGTAAAAAACAGCCTACAAATTGTGAGTTTGAAATTCGATGCCAAAACTTTTGTTAAAAAACACAGAAAAATAAGTAAACATATTATGTGTTTGATCTTTTTGATTTTCTTGATAATTTTAAACATGTGCATAAATACTTTTTTGCATTTAAACAATTAATTATACATTTATATGTATTTTGTACGATGATAATAATAATAATAAATTATTCAACGAGTGAGCAAGTCATTTCAACGAAGATGAAATTTACGATACGATCCGAAGGCACTTTTTCTAACTTAAATAATGATTGTAATAATTTTTTCAATTTTTATTATTATTATTATTGTCTAAATTTCTCCACAGTTGAAGATTGAATAACGTTCTTGAAAACGGTTGAGAAAAGTACAAATTGTTTAACATGATTATATCGGAGATAATTTTAATTAATTTACAACAAACGCCTTATGTACGATATTTGTCAAAGATTCATGTTTTAGCCCCCGAACAGCCCCTATAATGCCGGGTACAACGCACACGAACAAGAAATGGAACAGAAGAAGAAAATTGAAACTTTGAAACGTCAACAAGAAGAAGTCGATGATGCACAAAAGAAGGAGCCTCTTCAGAAGAGTAAAAACGTGACAGGTCCACCGGTTTACTACCCACCAGGACATGAGATGTTTGCCAGTAAAGAAGAAAGTGGTGGCGCTTGGAGAGCAGAAGTAACAACTGTTAAAATGTAATTTGGGCGTTACATATTTTTTTTATTTTTAGGGCGGCTATCAAAAAGCATCTGGTAAATATAAATATGAAGCGGAAAGTAAAAGCAAATCAAAAAGTAGTTCTGGTGCGACAGTTGTGCCAGTTTGTCTACCTTTATGTTGTGGACTACCTTGTGCCATTATTTAGAATGTTCGCTCAGAATAAAATTAATAACACTGGAAATTAAAGGTGCCTTAATGTTCATCATATACCTCATCAACTTGTCAGAGGATTATGTTTATTAATTTATAGTGTTATGTTTTTTTTTTATTTAACGTTAATTGTTTATTGTATATAAATAATTTTTTGGTATAAACAGCTTTAAATTTTGATGTAAATTACTGTCCTCCAATTAATACAATGTATTAAAACGACTTAAACTGTTTATTAGTTGACTAATTCTTGCCTATTATTAACAATAATATATTGCATCAATGTAAAAATGTATTTTATTATAAAATAAACTTACAAAATGGTTTACTGGGGATTTTTACTTCTGTCTTGGACTAGCCCCAATAAGACGCAATCAGCTTCAAGTAGAGTGATGTCCTTTTCATAACCCAAAAATTTCGATGATAATTCCAACTCCTTTATAAGTAATCGAACTTTACTACCTCTTACATATTCACTGCAAATATTTTTGATAAAAAAAAACACCTCGCAATAATAATTTCCTATTACCTGGCATTTTTCTTTGGTCGTGGGCACACGCAATGAAATTTCCATCCAAAATCTATGTACAAATCATCATCAACTATATGAAATACTTTTCCTGAAACTACTTTCCCTTCAGGGTCGCCCAACTACAATTATGAACTGTTTTTCCAAATATCGAAAATAAGAATAAACTTACATCAATAAACTTCGAGTTACGTAAAAGTGAGGCAAATGTTTGTGGTTTTTCCGTGCTTTTGCCATCTTTTAAACCTTCGAATTTTTCAAAAGCCTGGGCATAACTGCCAGGTTTGGTTTCCGCTGGTTTTTCGTCACTAATTTCTGTTGACAATAAACGAGAATAACATCCCGACCTTATATTCTTTATGTTTAATCTTATCACATACGAAATTGGTCGCAATAATGCCATTTTTATAACTCAAATTAATTTTAATTTCACAACATAACCTCAAAGTCAAGTAAGAAAATGGATCTACTACTAGTGGCACTTAGTAGGTTAAACAACTATGTGTCAAAAATAATAAGATCTAATTCTCTTTAGGTCGAATAATAACACTGTTCAAGTGATAGCAAATAATGCATAAAAATGTTTTAAAGCTACTTTTCATTAACACTGTTTATTTTCATTCATTGTAAAGAGTAAAGACAATTTCAAATAAATCTCTTCTTGTTTTAACAATTTTTAGTTTAAAAGTGTATTAATGTTGGCGACACTGCACGTCAAGAATAGCAGCTAAGTTCAGATGATTGGTTAGGTAAAAACCGGTGTTGGTGTTATATTTTTAGCACGTAAAATAAAATTATTGTAATAGTTCACGTGATTTTAATACAAAATGCCTGCTTCTGAAGAAAAGAAGGTACCTATTACGTGTAGATTAGGGCTTAAGCCGTTGACATGTCAAAACGTGCTCTTCTACTACGCACCAATCCAGGGGGTTGTCAGCTACACATCACTCTCCGTTAACGTTATGAACCCTTCATTAGTTCTAAGGTGAAAACCTAGTCCCATTTTTACAAAGACGTGACAAATCAGTTTCAGATTATTCCCTCGAAGAGACATCACAAATATTTTATTGGTGAACACCCTTGTCGGGTCTGGTTTATATTTGTACAACCGGCCCCACCTCAGCACCTTAGCAAAGAAAGAGCGAGTTTTATACAGGTAATTAGCACGCAAGCGATAAAATTTTTGTAAACAATGTGATTTTAGTGCCTTTGGAGCAATCACTTTTTCACTTGGTTCAGTGTTAATTTGGGCTATTCTGAGAAGCGTTGTTCCTGAAAATGTACCGTTGTGTACCATTTGTGGTGTTGGTTCAGGACTTGCAATGATTAAATTGGGGCGTGGCTATGTAGACCATGTAGATAGTCTGGTTAAACCCTAAAAACTGACATGTACCGATATTTTAGCATACCCTATTTAAAAATAAACCAAAATAAGTAGTTCGTATTTGTTGTAGTCGTTTTTAGATCTGAGCGATCATTTTTCATAATTTTTGCAGCACTGATTGTAGCTAAGAAAGTGTACGCAAATTTTTTTGTAATTATTTATTCCACTTTCTGTCGTCATTTTTGTATAAATGTTCGATTTGACGCAATAAAACTGTTATTATGACATTTTTGATTAGTCAAAATCCTAGCAGTTTCTTCAGTTAAAATGAAGAAATCCACAATTTTACAATTTAAAACTTAGTGTGAGATATGGCTGGAAGTTCGCAAACTCCCGACCCAGACAATAACTTAATTAATGCTGATTTAGAACGGAGAGAAATTTTCAAGTTTTACGAAATGTTTTCCGTTACTGCAACTTTGCAAGGGCGGGTGGCATATCTGTTAATGTCGATTCATGCAGTCAATCCCTACATTATGAAAAGGTACAAAAAAACAATTAATGTCCTAAAAATCAAGCGTTTTTTAGTTTTTTTACGAACTACGATCCTAAAAATTATCTCTTCATAAACATGTTGTATGGAATTGCTATAATGATCTACTGTAGACCGTCGATGTATGCAATCAGTAAATTTAATAGAGCTGCCTTCAGGTAACTGACTGAATAATCGTTTACGATTTAAACAAATTTAAAAGCACTTTCAGTTGAGTAAAAATTGATAGTATTTTAGGATCTCTGATGTTTAACCACTCATCAATGCTGTGCTACGAGTGGTTAGTGGAGAAGTTTTCAGACAGGCCATATTTGCTTACGTTTTTCGGATTTTTGAGTGGAAGAATCATGATGCTACATCTGTTGGCATATTGTTATCATGTGGATTCGAGGTATCGGGGCTTCCACATAAGGCCTTATCCAGAATATGAATCTATGTACCGTCAATAACATTAAAAAATTAGACAATACTGTTTTTATACAAATTTATTACTAATTTTACAATATTTACATACAAGAACTGGTCGATTCTATTCCTTATGTAATGTGAGAAAACATCGGGAATGTTTTGTCAGTTATTATAATGTGTAAAGATGAGTATAAGTACTGCATGCTTTTGTTGGCACCTAATTATTAGAATGTGATTGGTTGTCATTTAAATTATTTACATCATAATGGCATTAACACTATTTACAGAAATAATGCCAAGGTTTTTACATCCGTAATTTTCAGGTACGCTTAACAAACAAAATCATTTGCCAATTATTAAAAAAGTAAAAAAATAAATTAAAAAAACTAAATCAAATGGGGATGCTCGTGATGGTGATGATGTTGAGTGGTAACTTCCACATGATGTTCGTGATGCACGTGGCCATGCGAATGGGCGTCGCCGTGGCTATGCTCGTGCCCAGCTGAAAAAAAAAAACAATAATCAACAATACATTTTTTTTTATTCATGTGGTGGCATTGTAAAGATCTGTAAACACACCCGCATTTCCGCAACAGTTCCTAATTTCTCTATTTTCCCCCAGAATTCAGAGGAAAATCCTTGGGTTGCGTAGTCTCATTTTCCCAAGGACATGTGGGTGCATCGGAGTTTAAAATTCAAAATTATTAGTCACGGTTTATGGAAATGGCGCTTGAGCGTCCTTAATTAACATTTGCGTTGTTTGAATTTGCTCAAATTAAACAAAAATGGTCGACGATACCAAACTAAACAATGATATTTGACTTTCAATTAAGTTATTATCTCTGCTTTGTAATGCTGATCTCAACGAAAAAATCTTTTATTGTTGTTGAAAATTGGTTTTAATTATCTGATGCCACTTTTCCTGTTTACATTAAGTTCTTTTTTGTTTTATTGGCCATAATTTGCTGTATACATAATTTGTGTTTTACGTAGGGCTGCCATTTAAACTGTTGATGCGGATGTTACTCATTTCTTGATAGTCATGCACTTGTTTATTTTCAAATCTCGAGACCTAAAATTAAATTTAAATTTAAAAAACACCCGTTATAAATAAAGGCCTATTTAGGTGTATGTATACCTAAAGTAGGAAACTGATTATCAATATAGTTGGTACATCAAGGATTTTCCCCACTTAACAAAACAATATACCAAGTAAATCTATTCTTCTTTAAAAAATGTCCTCTTTTATAATTTATAAAAAAGTGAAGAGTACACTATTTGACATGAACATGAAACTATTTTCACAAAAGGAGTTTCTATTACATAATTGCCTTTGCAAAATAGTTGCATATTATTATAGGTATATTAAAATGAGGGCGACGACGAGTAACCAAGTTTGTTAACCTTCTCCGAACGTTTTGCAGAAAAGAGAATGTAAACTATTTTTCCATTTATAAATTAGCTATCAAGAGTAATGACCTCCAGAAATCTGGTTCGATTTGCAAAAAAAGTACGAACTTTCAAAACTGCGAAGTTCAAGATCTTTAGATTCGAAAATAGCAGAAGTCAAAGAAAAAAGTCGATATTGCTAAACAACTTTCTTATGACAAATTAAAACACGTGCATCTAGTTATTATGATTTATATAAGTAGCATTGATTTACAAAAAATTCAATCAAATAAAATATTAGATTCAATTAATGATATATCCTCAATTAGACCTTATTTGGCTTAAATCGACCGATGGATACTTTGAGAATATGCAGCCTTATTTCAACTGACCTGTTCATTTTGTAACTTATCTAATTAATACAGAACATACTTATTTAGTTTTATTCCATTCTATTTAGAATTTTGCAAACAAATTAATAAGTACCATTATTAGAAAGACAAAATGTTTTTCTTTAGTCTGCAGGTAATTTTCTAAGTCCTGTTTTTGATATTTTAGAATTATGAAGAAGCAAGCTGTTTATTTTTATGACTAGTTTTTAGAAATAAATTAGTTTTTGCAAGTATCAGAGGTTGCATGAAGATGAATAAAATAAAAATACTTGTAATTAAATATAGGAAACGGTAATATTTGCCAACTTCTAAGGTTTTATCCTGATTATTTTTTTTTCGAATACTTAAAATATTCGATAGAAATTGATGGATAATTTTTTATACCATCAGAATCATCAACTAGCTATTATTTCTGGAAAAATACAACAAAAAAGGGTCAAACATTGGGTTTAATTGATGTTTGGTTTTGAAATTTCGCGAATAAAAAACCTCCAGGTCAAGAATTTTGTAGGTAATCATTGCCCAATTTTGGGCATCAAGGTTTTGCAACTTTTTGCTTATTTGTATTCAAATAAGTAATGAATCAAAAATGAAATGAGAAATTCCTAGCACAATAAAATCTTAATAAGAAATCTAATTAAAGCGTCGGCAGCCGTGAATTATTACATCTGTCCAGAAAGTTACTGACCCGTCGAATGACCTTCACATAGAATCACAACTTTTGCTTTTATACATTAAGAGCACGTCGTTTGTTCCGGCATAGCCTACTTTCTAACCAACTAAGTAAAATTACGTCGGAGTTAATCACCGACGACAAATAAAGTATGAGTCCGTGCCGACAGTCTTCAATTTCACGTTAATTCGAAGAAAGTTGCAAATAAATGCAATTTTTACCGATTACCTTTCTAAATTAATCTCATTGACATTCCCAGGCCCTACAAGGTGATCAGTGTTTGCAGAGACAATCGAAGGCAAACAATTACAACACTTAACACGATTTCTTCTCCTCTCTTTTAAAAAATATCACCTTTCGAATCAGATAAACACGTGAAGCATTAAAACGGGGACATTGCAATTCCAAATCGCTTGTGTTTGTTTGGCCATTTCACAAAAGGTTGCGACATAACATCGCAGATAATGGACAAAGTTAACGTTTGATGCAATGATGATAGTTAATTTGATGAGGTGAAATTGCACGTTCAATTCTTTGGGGAGGACTTGAAATAGAGGAAGTAAGTGCTTTTCGCATATTCAAATCGGCCATCTATTGCCGGAAAAGCATACACAGCGGAAGTTGGGTTGCGCAATCCAGACGGAAGTTTTCCAAAGTAATTATTGGAAAGATTTTCGGAGGAAAGTGCGAGTAGATTCACACTCTAATCGTGATAAATGACCCCTCCAAAGGCATGGCATTGAGGAGAAAATCTCTCTTATGTAATTTTTCTACGGTTATTGTTGAAAATTGGTGGGGGCGCCGGTTACAATCACGATTTTTAAGTAATCGTTAGCTAATGTAAAGAGGAATTTTTTAATTGATACTAAGATTGTTTCGGCTTCTGGAATCGTTAAAATGTTCACTAAGCGCATCTTTTCCGGCTGTAATTTCCTAAAATTGATTCCGGGTGTTTAATCTCACCAAAATGATCGAGTTATTAAGTTGTTTCAGGCGTTTATCTGGACCCTAAAATCCGAATTACGAGTAAGTAGGATTCTTCATTGAATTTCTACAAAAAATTTAGACTCAGGAATCTCATAGAAAAGTGTAAAAGTCCAACCAAATAAAATATGAAAGTATGCCACACATATTCGTAGGACTTTTCATTTACTTATTTTCACTTTTTCAAAAGTTTCGACTATTTTGATCCTAAGAAAAATTCAAGATCTGAAGAACTGTCAAAAATGCTTTTAATACGCTGCATCTTGGATCTTGGACTTGTTTTTAATTGGTAAAACTGTGTTGATATTGTCGAAAATGTTATTTTCATTGATAAAACTGATTTATCCCTTAGATATCTTAATTAGGTTTTGTTTAAAAAGTGACCATGCCCAAAAACCGAATCGGAAGTTCAACGTTTCGTGTTTAATGTAAGCGGGCAATAAAATAAATGAAAGTTAAAGATCCCCATTAATTAGTAAACAAGTCATTTATTTAGACATAATTACCGATTGCACGATAGCCAATTTCACATTTCTACTGCACTTTTTGTGAGAGAAAACAAAGATGACATTGACCTTCTTCTTTTCTTTTTTATTGTTGATGTTATTGTTTAGTAGTGAAAATGCTTATAAATCATACTGTAAACCGTATCGTATCCAACGACGTAGCAACTACATAAAAATTTCTATTTATGTTTACAACTTTTTTTCTCGAACCGAAAAATTTCCACGTTTTACAATTGTTGCTACTTTCACACTTTATTGATGTCATTGTGTCTGCATATAAATTATTGTTTAAATTGCGAGTCGATTCAACTTTTCCATTGACGGCTCAGGTTAACTTCTACGCTTCTATGAATAGTAATAAGAACGAAAATGTTGCAAGATAAAGTTTATTAAACTTAATTTTGCTAAATATCGACGTTACTAGATGCAAACTATAAACGTAATAAAATTCCTTGAGCAAGACGAGTCATAAATTAATGCAAAATTAAAATATTCGCAACCTTTTTTGTGCTCTGAATTGAATTACAGGATTCATTCATATTTATTATGTTACCAATCGTATTTCGACCTTCTAGTGACAATTTAATTTGGTTTAGTTATCGTTTTGAAAGAATCATAACTGGCATTGTGTGCAAACAACATAAACAAAATAGTGAATTAAAACAAACAAATATAATAGGCAAAATACTATTTTTGTAAAATAACTAAATTACATAGGAGGATTTGTTTCTAAATTATTATATTTTTTTGTTAAAAATCTCTTAAAAACTATAATGAGCTTGAAAGTTAATGTTTGGATACTTTATTAACCTTCAAAATTAAAAGTTGTCCCTCTGTTTTTTGTGTAACTATTAAAATGTTACAATTACGAAGTTTTTTCATATTTATTTGTGTACACAAGTTGAACAAAGCCTTGACAATAAAAATTACGGTAATCAGTTTACATATGATGTTATCTTCGAAGAGATATACTTAAATAAAAAAGTATTTTTTTCGGCAAAATTAGTTATTAATAGGAACTACTTGAAAAAAAAAACAAAAGTAACCTAGATCTAAATTTAACTCATTTTAATTCTGTTTGTTTTGTAGTTTAAATACTTGACTTTTTAGTTATTGTAATTTATAACTCATATTTTATTTGCTGACTTTAGAATAATGTAATCATGTCACGATTTTCTTGCAACAATAATTTTTCAAATGTTCATTTAGACATTTAACCACGTAATATGATAAAAGATACACACGTGGCGCACATTTATCAGTTCTGAGTGCTTATTTTGAAATGAGCACTTCTTCATTAACTTAAATACTTTTTTGGAAATTTATAATTCAAAAGTAAAAATGCAAAACACCACTTGTAACAGCCTAGAAAATCCAAGGTTTTGTTTTTTGCAAAATATTCTAGTTTCCCATAAAAACAGGAAAAACACTGAGTACATGTTTTATTTATCTCAACTTTATGAATTCCAACTGTGTAGCAATCACATTGTATATTCTGTGATGTGGCATTATGTTTATCCAAATTTTTATAGCACTAAAATCCACATTGATCACATTCCTTCGAGCAATGTTATTACATATTTACAATTTATCTTAAATCTCGTGTTTTGTAATACTTTTTCTGTAAAAATTAGCACACTTTTTTAGATTGTTGGGAAATGATTGTGATGGAATTTTATTAGTTGTGTCATTAAAAAATTATTTCTAAATTGTTTACTTATTTAATATTAAAACGTGAAACTTCAGTTGTGGAAGTTTTAAAACTAATGAACGGAAAACGGAAACTTGCAAAAAGAAATTATAAAAAAATATTGATTTATCAAACATTAATTGCCATCTTATGCAATAGATTTTTTCCTCTCATTGATTAATACCAGTTTAGCAATCGTGCGATTTTCTAAATTCATTAAAATTACTCCGATTCAAATGTAGCGCATTATAGAAACGTAGAAAGTAGAGATCTTCCACCGAATGACTAATCTCTTTTGCCAACTTTTTCTCAGAAATACCAACACACCCAAGTTCCTTAATTCTGAACTTACTTAAAATCTGCAAGCAGAACATGACGGCAAATCCAAGCAAAATGGCCAAAAGTTGCCAAATTCCGCTGTGGTTGTTGCCCCGCTCCCTGGCAAGGACCTCAAAGAAGACCACGTAGAGGAGAGTCCCTGCTGCCATTCCTTGCAACACAACTGATGTGATGTCCTCGCTGCTGTTCCCTGACTCGCTCAAAACCAGCCCAATCCCGATGCCTAAAACCCGTTTCAGTTTGATTTTCGGGTGCTTTTAGTCTAAATAATCAAAAATTTTCATATTTTTGAAGATGGAAAAATGATTTGGGTTCAGATATTGAATAAACATTGGTTCTAAATTTAAATCGTTTTTTTTTAACCTTGAGAAATGGATAGGGCTGAAAATTTCGCACAGCACAGACCGATTTTGTGGGAAAATGGCAAAAAGGGGCTATTCACCTAAAGGAGTGACAATGGCGAATGTCCCGATGTACAAGACGACTAGCAGCAGTTTAGTTTTCGAGGTCACCAGTTCGACTCCCACGCAGAATGCAATGACCAACTTATGCGTGGCTATGGCCGCGAACAAGTACCAAACCTTCTGGACGCTGCCTTCGAGCCCCACCGCAAGGCCCTCGAAAACTGCATGGAAGCTCAAAGCCAAGACCGCCAGCAGCCCGCTGAAGGAGTTCTTCAAGGCCCCGTCGATGTGCGAATGCGAATGCGAGTGGCTTTCGAAGTTGATGGTGGATTGCGAGTTTAGGAGCTCTTTATTCGAATTGCTGATGTAGCTAATATTGCCGTCATCGAACTTGTTCAGAGTGACCCTCGGGATGGTCAAATTGCGCTTCTTGTTGCTGCACCTGATAGACAGCGAGCGGTGCAAAGCGTCGTCGTTGAGTTTCCTATGGAGGAAGAGATGAACTAGTTCCTCGATGAGGTACACGAAGAAGAAACCGAGGCAGAAGACGAGCTCCGACATGGGAATTCCGCTACCAATGCTGGGGATTTTGTTGTGCGACTCCAGACGCACGAAACTCTCCCGCACTTCCGGTTGCAAGTGAATAAAAGTTGTGAATAACAGCACGCCACCCCCGAAGCACAACAACAAAGAGATCAGCAAGTTTTTGTCACCGTCCACCGCCTTGATGTTGATGAGTTTGGTGAGTTTCACCGGGAGAATTCCTATGAGGAAAGACGCGAGGCCGAGGACGCACATTGCCACCGCTTTGGCCAAAATTAGATCGTTATTGTCTTCCGATTTCACGGCTTCCATCTTCGTCGACATTTTAACACTTCACTTGGCGGTTGTTCCGAAGGGTGATTAGCTCTTCATGGCCCGATGGCGCTCGTGCTGCTCCTTAAACATGATACATTCTATATGAAATAAAGACCACAAAATTTCATATTTCATAAATGAAGATAATAAGTCTTATAATTAAGGCTCGGATTATATACAAAATGCATATTTGTTATTAAGAGGCATATCAACAAAATTGAAGTTTTCTATGCATATCTAATGTTTTTTGATTAAAATAAGCCAAATAAAAAATGCATATTTTGCATATTTAGGTAACTTCGTGCATATTTTAGGAAATATTGCATATTTGTGCATATTTTCTTCAAATCACAAATTTCCGATAAAAATTTCAGTCCAAGTTAAACTTAAGTTGTGCATATTTTCTTCAAATCACAAATTTCCGATAAAAATTTCAGTTCAAGTTAAAAATTATACAGTTTAAGAAAAATGATTCGAGTAGAAAATATTTTAAAGAAAAAACAACCGGTAATTCGTAAGCCAGACTCAAAAAAATTAGTATCCTGCTGAATGTTTCCGTTTTAAATTCGTTTTATCCTTTTTTTATTATTACTATCAAAACAAGCGTTTTTTTTAAATCATTTGTTTCCAAAAAATAATAATTAAAAATTAATTAAAGTAATACAGGGTGTTCCGTTTTTATTGTTACAAATTTAAACAGGTGATTGAATATTTAATTCTAAGACAAAAGATTCCTATAAACATGTATCGAAAAATGCTTGGTAAGGGAGCTACACCCCCTGGAAGGGGGCTTATGTGTTTTTGCTAATATTTCAGAAACCATTTAAGATAAAATTACAAAATTTGGTACATATGATAATCTTTATACACCTAAACGAATTCAAACATTAAATGTCGAAATTTTTAATCAGGGGCGTACGAAACTGGGGGAGTTTAAGGTAAAAAAATACGCTATTTATTTTGGCTTTAGTTTCTCGGTACTTTCATCAACAAAATCTTAAGTTCGATAGTTTATCACAGAAAAGTCTCTCTTGTGTCGATACGACTTACTGTTTTTGAATAAAATAAATTTAAAATTTGTTACACACCAATACAACATTCAAATAAATCAGAATTTACAGAATAATAAAAGCAAGAAATTCATATTTTTTAATCAACCTCGACTAATTAACATTACATTACAGTAACAATAATAGGAGTTGTTCAAAGTGACCACCATTTTGGTCAATGCAGAACTAAAGAAACTAGAGCCAAAATAGATAGGGTATTTTTTTTACCCTAAACCCCACCAGTTTCGGACGCTCCTGATTAGAAATTTCGACATTTGATGTTTGAATTCATTTAGGTGTATAAAGATTATTATCTGTACCAAATTTTGTAATTTTATCTTAAATGGTTTCTGAAAAGTAGCAAAAACCTATTAGCCCCCTTTCAGGGGGTGTAGCTCCCTTACCTAGCATTTTTCGATACATGTTTATAGGAAACTTTTGTCTTAGAATTGAATATCCTATTACCTGTTTAAATTTGTAACAATAAAAACGGAAATAACAACTGTATAAAAAATATTCTTATTTTAATTTTGCTTTGTTTTTGAGTTATTCAATTTTTGTTGTCAAAATTGCAATTTATAAGTATAAAAAAAAATAATTTAATATAAAGTAGATAGTAATCCTTTAGATCATCACCTTTATGAGAAAAATGTTTTATTGGGTAGGTTGCCATTTAAAAAAATAAACGATGGGATCTGAAAGTACAGATTTCTTACAAAAGCTTAATTACTAGGTTATTAAAATGGCTTGTCTGAGGCAAAACCAATTTATTTATTCTCTTATTGGTTTTGCATATCGATGCATATTTGGCATACATTGGAGAATATTTCTTAATATCTTGTGCATATTTTTATGAAAACACGTGCATATAATATATGTGGATTTTTACGAATGTTAGCATATTTTACGAATTTTTCGTGAATATAATCCGAGCCTTACTTATAATAAATAAAGTGCAGAGAAAACGCATGTTGTTATATTAACTAGTAGGTAGTCATCAACCTCATCATTAATTTTGCTCAATCTTTTAATTTTCTAAAAAAGAGGATGGTAGACTTAATTTTGTAATTAAATACGTTCAGAAATGGATTTGATTAAATTTACTTAAATAAATTAATTATTACTTCTAGTAATTCTTTTTTTTTTTGCATAAATGGTAATACGGAGTAGGTACATTTTGAAAGGGGGCCCCCTAATAAAAAGTTTATATCGGCCACTAAAGAAGGTTTATTCAACTGCACGTAAACGTTTCATGGAACTGGATGAACGGGTTGCAGTGTTCAGACCCAGTTTCACTAAAAATTAGATCACGTAGCTAAGCGGTATGAAATTTTAATGCGAGACTGGCCTGTGAGCTGCTTTTTGCGAAATATACCAGCAAACATAATAAACTTTAGCACATTTTTCCGACTTTATTCCGCACATGGTACCATCATTAATAAAAGTGCTTGTCGGTTTTCAACCCTTGACTTTCACTTTGAAAAATGTAATTACACAATGCAAATAACCAAGACTGTACCGGTCGATGCTTTGATTACCATGATGCACATTAATTAAAGAAAATAAAAAATGCAGTTACTTTTACATTTTAAAACCAAGTTGCAAGTGAGACTATTCTATAACATTTCTCTTATTAAAACTGGGATTTTTTGTGACTATTTCGTAACAGTAAACTAAGATAAATGCTCCAGTTGCTTGCAATTATTGTCTGGTTATGATTTAGCACTTTATTTTACTTTAGCGAATTTTTTGATGAAAATTGCTTTTCCGGATTTAACTGATGTGCAATTGCACTGTATAGAACAAAAACGTTTCAGTTTTATGAAATCAAATTACTATTGCAACAATTTTATTTGTTCAACTTGATGAATTGGAATTGCACATTTACAGAAACGGAAGTTGTATGTTTGAAAGTGGAAAAAATATCCCAATATCCTTTAGAATGCTTTCCACATACTAAACGTCTTGAAGTTTCTAATCTATAGCTATTTTATAAATACAATAAAAGCCTAATTTGGATTTTTACAATCGTTATGTAACTTCATTTAACTTCATAGTAGACTGGAAATGAAAACTTTATCTTTGTGTAGGTATATTTCCACAAGTTATGAAATATTTTTAGTAACTCTGGACCGATAGTAAAAATTTATTATGCAGTACTTAAGTGATAGCTTTGATTTTGTACGTAGTTCATCCTGTGAATACAATGTATTTCTAAGAATACGACTTTGATTTTGATCTAATCTTATTTGAAAAAAATATATTTTAAAGTGTTTGTTTTTTATCACTGCATTTTTTTCGAAGAATGGAACGGAAGACTTACTATTACTTACTTATTACTTATTATTAGCTTGTAAGCCACAAAAAATCAGGGAAAAAATAACTATGATTTAAAATGTTCGTAGATAAACAATGCTCTGCTTCATTTTAGTTAATTACCTCAACTTAAGAATTTAAACAAACAAATTATGAGAGGCAACCGTGTGTAAATATCAGCTGAAATATGTAATTGGATGAAACTTAATTTGCATTTCAAGATTTCGTTTGTTGATTTTTAATTAAATTGTATAATGAAATAACATAAACTAGCCTATTGTTCTCTGAATTCGTATATAACTATCAAGGATTTATCGAATCTAAAAAAATAATTATTTTACAACGTGTTGTTTTGATGACTTAGAAAACAGAAATTAAAAACAAGCGTAAATAAATACTCGAACAATCAAGACAAAACATTTTATTTTGAATCCGCAGTATTAAAGTACTAAAATAAATAAAATTTATAGTTTCATTAATCATAATGAGAGTAACGGTGTTACTTTTTATTAAAAGCCATAATGTCAATTACTAAAGTAAAAGTTTCTGATACGCTCTATTAAAATGTTAATTCGAACTATTGCCCGTAATAAAACAATAATTGTAATCACTATTTCAAATGAGCGCAGTAAGAGCTTATTTACGAGTGATGAATATATTTTACAGTGTATACATTCTCCCCGTAATGAACTTAAAAATAATAGTAATTCAAACACTTCTTTTGATTTATTTATGAATAAAAATATTACATGAAAACCTTGTTTCAAATTTTATCTTTTAATATTTTTTTGTTTCTTACATGTTATTAATTTTGTACACTCGTATGTTATTCAAAAATAGTGAAAAAAAAACAATCAACAAATGAGTTAAGTAGGTAAATCATTATCTTGTTTAAATATTTTTTGTAGATTATAAACTGTCACGTATCCACGTTTTCTTATTGTTGAAGCTGCTTTGAATTGCTATTTTTTTAATAAATAATAAATTTAGAAATGGTATTGATTTCTCCATAAACCAATAAATCTGCAACCAAGCCCCCTTAAATTTTGCTCGCTTTGCCATTTCACTGTAATAATTTGGAACCGCCTTTTTAACAGCCAACTTCCGCTATCATTCAGCAACTCTAACGCGAAAGCTCCGGTAAAATTGAGGAAGTTTCCGAATGTTTGTATAAATTTTTAAAAAGACGATCAGTTACATGTGAACTTTGGAAAATATATGTGTGTTTCTTGAGCGTTTAATTTTTTATGAAAACGTCAAAGTGCGATTAATTTTTTTCCAAATTTCTCACATCTGTGTCCCAAATTGTACGTCATTAACGCAAAATTTGACACGTTTAAAGTTCACGCTTAATTGCTGAAGTCATTTAACCTTAAAAGTGAAAGGATTAGTCTCAGGATACGTTTTCATGTAAAGCACACCACCATTTATAGATGAAGTAATTCTATGCAATCAAGAAGGAATGATTAAGTTGCGCAAATTATTTTTAATAATAGATATTAAAACTTATTCCGAAACCAATGATAATTCGCGACACAAATCATATTTGCTTCATTAGTCTGATTTTGACGGTTTCCAATTAGGACAATTATATTCGAAGCGACCTTTATTTAATTGATAACCAATTTATTTTAATGGCGACTTTTCCAATCAAGGCATATAAAAATGTACGGTAATAAAAATAATGTATACACTGCAGAACGATAATTCTCTTAATATCCGTGCAAAACCACACCTGGGATTTACACCAACCTCCGCTCTTAAATTTGAATAAATTGATAAAGTTCGTGGTAAATGCATCAGCTGCACCGAAGGTTAAAAGATTTAATAGATGGTTAAATCGAAATCAGGAGACTTTCTAATTTAAATACCGCACCCACTGTAGGAAATTAGTACAATAATAAGTAAACAAAAGTTTATTTTTTTAGTCTTGAACTTGATTTTTTAATAGTGTTACTAGAACGAATCAATGTTACGGCCGATTATTACTCCGGATTTGCATAATTTACGAATTCCCTTGAAGGTTTCAGGGGAAACACTGTTGCACCTTTGAGGACAGGATTAGAAAAATAATTTGACTAACTAAACGCAATTGTTTTATCAGTCGCGATATTAAATTCTAGAATATAAAGCAGGAGCGACTATAATTTCCTTAATTTATTTTAAATTGGTCCTAATTTATGTACGAGACAGTTATTGATGAATTTTGAAATGAATTATTTGTGGTAAAATAAATAATTTGAAAAAAATTACCTGAAATGACGTTGAATTCCACACAAATATTTATTTTTCGCGCGAATTTGTTAATTAATTAATGAAAACAGTTCATCCTCACATGTTTCAAGAGAGCGATCGCGGCAATGCTAACCTCATAGCGAGTCGTTGAAGACTGAAGAGAAAAGGCCACCGACATTTTACCAACACCATTCATTTATTATAGTAAGTACAGGCACAGTGATTCAAAAAATGTTTTGCATATCCTTTTTGACAAAGCCACCTCAAACTATTGTTTTTCACACTTTTAAGAATATTTTAAATTTTGTGTGCAGACAAATATTTTATTTTTATGCTTGATTTGAACTAATTCAACATTTAGTGGAACAAAATTTCTCTGGTGATAACTGTAGTGTATGAACGACCTACATTATGTTAACTGTTTATGCCAATATATGCTAAGCATTAGGCCACTTTTTGATTGAGTTCGTGCTAAGAGATGGAGTAAATATTAGAAATGTTAAGAGCCACTGATTTGTAAAACGAACTCTTAGTTTCGGTGAATCCTTGTATTAAATGTTTATTCGTTGTTTAAAAAAATAATTATGAGAGAATAATAAGTCTGGAAAACTATGTGATTAATGGATCGAATCCGGTTTGTTGCAATTAATTGTTACATAAACAAATATTGAATTGGTGGGGTGATTTTTTACTAATTTTTAATTCACAAGAAATAGCTAGACAAGACTTGGCTTTTCCAGAAGGACATGCGGTTTTCAGTTCTCCTATTTCTTTTAAATAACAGATTTTTAATTATTTGCAAAATTTATTCCCAGATAGTTAAACCTGAACAACATAAACAATATATTTACGATTTAAGTACATTTCTCGTAGTGTTTTTTACTACGACAAACATTTAGCAATCATTTTAAATTTAATGTGCAAAGAAATAATCTGTCAAGACCGATTTTTCATAGAAGAGTAATTTTAATGTGGTTTATTGATCGAAAGAGCGAATATTGACTTAATCTACTTCGTCTCGTGAACAAATTCACGATTATTAAAAAGCCTTAAATAATCATGTTTTTTGAAGAAAACACTATACTTATAAAGAATATATACAAAAAATATAGGGAAAAGGATTAAGCATAAATAACCTTGTAAAACTGGGCAAATTTTAAATTTGAATGAAAACTTGTGCGAAAACGAGAGTTACTTTCTTTATTGCGGTTGTTTATAAAAACAACAAGGTCATGTTTTATTTGAACAAAATGTTTCCTATAAATATTAAAAAACACAATCATGCAATATTAAAAACGAAAATGAAGAGAAAAATTGTCATAGGAGGAGTAATAAGAAGATAGAATTTAAACATTTATTCTGAAGTTTGGTAATAAAATAATATTTTCTGCTGTACATAGTTTTATAATGTCTCACAAATTCTTAATTTATTTTTAAACACGTTGTTAATGACACTTCTGGTCTTGAACACATTATCGCAAATGAACAATAAAAGAATATTTTTATGGAAATACGTGGTATGCAGAATTTAACGGTTAGTATAGGTGGATATAAATATGCAACTGAAGGCCGTTGTATTTTCTAACATCTGTATTATTATTGTTTCTGTGCATCCATCCATTTGACACTATTTGCGGAAGAATAGGATTTGCAAGAGACTGGTTTAATCTATTCATTCTGCTATAGTGAAGTCCAAATAATGGAGCATTTTGTGTTTGTATCTATTATGTTTCTGTCATAAAAGAACCAGTGGTGTAGTGAATATTAGCGATTTTAATTTCATAACTATTGAGCAATACACCGATCGTTCGAAATCAAACACAAGCATTTTTATTGTGAAACAAGTCTGGTGTACTTGACACAAGTACAATAAATATAGGAAAGGTTAAATGAGGAGTTTATTTTTGTTAAAGTCGTTGTGAAATGGCACCTCAAAACAAATCTATTATTCAGAAAATTCTTGTAAAATGTCAGTTGAAGTTACCGCAAGATTGCTTAAGCGCTGGAGGAGTATATGAAGTGATTTTCATTAATTCAAGACAGCAGTTGCTGCATTGTTCGGATGTCTAAACGTAGAAAATGGAAGCTTTTCCGTCGATTTAAACCGTGATAATAGCCATTGTTTTATTAATGAAGCACTGCAACAGTTCATTATTGCTGTCATGTTACCTACTCTTCGTTACCAAATCTAAAACGCGTGTTGTCATAATCCTTTTATTTAGTGAGAAGATTATAAAAATTCACATGTGTTTTTTAGAAATGGAAATTAAAGAACACTTTCTACATACAGTAAATTGGCTTGGCAAATTTTTGCACGAAAGCATGAAAGTTGCAAGGTTTTTTTACGAAAAGTGCAAAATTGTGTTGACATTCTTGATCAAAACACAATTAGTTTAACATTTAACGCTTTTATGGTAGAAAAGTTAAAAACCTCACGACTGCGATGTATTATTTATAATGTAATTAAATAGTTCCATTCATTGCTAATTAATTAAATTAATTAATTAAATCTTAAAAGACATTTTTGTGTGAAATTTATCCGAAAACGAACAAAGATTAACAAAATTAACCTAACAATATAATAACATATTAAAGAAAATTATTTTCACACACTTGACATTTAATTATTCTATTTTTTTAATTTTTTTTGTTGTTTTTATGAGAAGGTTTTTAAAAAGTATGGACATATAGACTGAGAAAAAGCTCTATTTTTTAATTATAATACAAAAATCATAATTATCGTACAAGATGTTCATATAAACATCCGTCTCTCAATACAAAAACCATCGATTTTTAAAATACAAAACAAGGACAAGTTAAATTTAAAAATTCAACATGAAATACATTCATTCTCAGAAACCAATTTTTGTTAAAATCTTATTTTGTTTTAAAATTTCGAGAAAGTTGATTTAATGTCATAAATTAAATAAATAAAAATTAAAAAAAGTGATAGTTTATGTGTGGCAGCTGGACGTTTATTTAAGTAAATGTACAAAATAATTAGGACGCTTTGTAACTACTGAAATCATAACAACGCTTATAAACAAACATCATGCGTTAGTGTCGGAATTTGTATTGAGATTCTAAAAAGTGTTTATTAATTTAACTAGTAGATGGCTAGTGCAGTTAGTAGTGCAAAATGTCGAATGCTGATGATCTACAATGTATGTACAACCTCTCTAGAAATTGCTGAAGTAGCGAAAGAGACAAGGAAGAAACAACATTGGTAAATGGCAATAATGTCATGGTCAAGATATAAAAATGCTTAAGCAAAAAAACAGAATTTTTACTCCACGCCTGAAAGGTAAAACTTTTACTTGTGACATTTTACTAAATTTACTACTGTAAATGTGGTCACTTTTGTGACGTTTGCGGATAAATAACATTTTTTTTTAAATCTCAAGTGATTTTTAATTTTTCTTAACACCTATCTGATGCAAATACGGTGCTGGTTAACTGAATTTTATTACATAGTCATAAATTTATAGGTAAAATCGAAAAATCGTTAAACTAAGGAATGTGGGTGGCATTCTAATTGAAAAAATATTAGTATACCTATTACCTAAATCACTGTGAAAGATTTTAATTGTATCATTTCCTGAAGGTATTTAATAATGGACACGAAGGTGATAACTTTTATTGTGTTTCATAAATTTTAATAATAGAATTTATTTAAAAAAATTAAATTTGAAACATTTTTTATATCGTAATAAAAAAACGACTTCCAAGAATAAAAGTAAATGTACCTATTAAGTTATTACATTACGTCTCTATTATTTTTTCCATAATAATGGTCGATAATCTACAAATGAGCCTGTTTTAATAAGGTGGATCGATGAATCTGTAAAATTTATTTCACAGTTTATTTACTAACATACATATTTTTTTATAAGATAACCCTGTTTATGTTGTTTGTTTACGTGTAATTACTTTTTTATCTCCTTTCTACGAATATGATCGCTCCTACCCACAATTAATTAAGTAGATTGAGCAATTTATGCTATAGTTTTAAAAATATGTTACACTTCTATATTTAGTGTTTAAGGACCTTTGTCCTGTTTGGTATTCACTATTATATAGTGTCTGGTAGATTCTATTTCTCGGCTTCATTTTTGAGTAGGTACAGAAAGTGAGCTATTACGATATCATAGCCGGAAAGTGAACTCTTACGATATCAGTCATTACAAACCTTGCCGGATTTACCGGAAATCGTACCCTTTTTACATTTTTTTTGAAACAATACCAGTTTACGTTATAAGTCCCGTAAGTCAAATATTACAGTACGAATCAGATGTTTAAGAACGAGGCGACGAAGGAGTCGTCTAAGCCGATGTATATCGTAACGTTTTTTTATACCGTTTTAAGAAAATTTGCCAAAAAAATCCGGTAAGTGTTGCTGGGTTACACCCTTACCGTTTCTAATAACGTAATAGGTCATTTACGACAGTATTTGGTATTTATCCTTTATCTATTTCATTTCGATATTCAGACTTCTACACGTTCGTCACCTACTCGTACTCAAACATATTTCACTCGTACTGTAATATTTCACTTACCTACCGGACTTATTACGCAGATTACTATTTTATAAAGTGTGTTTTGCAATGAGTTTTGTTATTTTGATTGATTTTTGATATCTTCTTTGTTAAGAGTAAGAACTGTTCTATCTCTATTCGAAATTAGGTATCTAACATGAGTGATGAGGTGATGACATAGGTACATACATTTTTACACGTTTTAATCTGCTACTATTAATATTAGTTTATATGTTTTGATAGTCTTCCAAACAACAGATACGAGCTACCTTTATTTCTTATATTTCTACAGCCATTAACTTTAATTGCCAATTTTTGGTAACTTTTAATTATTAATCAAATATTATCGAAAAGAAGATGCTCTTGCCTTTTGTCCTGTTACGGAGACCGTCATCACTTATGATTTTAGTAAGATATGATAAATGATAAGTATTTAACAAAAGCACTTGTATGTGCAACTCATTGTCTTTATACCTAAACTTTTATAAATATTACTCAGCGTTTTACGTTATATGTAATTTCCAAATCATAGACTTATTAATAAATCTTAAGTAAGAAACAATATTAGTACCGAGATTAGTACTCTCCCTAAGAAACAAATGTCTTTTATGTTGGCTTTTCTATGAAATTAACAAAATAATACCAGTTTTTTACATGTTCTTACGAGACGAAAAACCCCGTTTCTTCAATGAGTCAAAATTGTTTACCTAATAAAGGTTGAGGTCGTTGCCTCAACGGATTTACTCTTATTTTCTTGGAAATTTGCACAACTGCTTTCTACCAGGATATTGATTTAAGATGCTGTTAGCAAAAATTTTGAACTCCAACCACGATGACACTTATAGAAAATCACCTTCCAGCGGTTTCTTAGAATGCACGGAACACCTAAGGCAGCAATGATGACATTATTTATTATACCATTACTTCATATAGAAATCCAAAGAGCAATTGAAAATTTCTTACGTCGAAGAAATCCTGAATTATATTTTTAATGGTTTTCTTCGCTCTTCAATTGGTTTTTATATATGATGTAATTTTTACACCTCCTACTCTGTGTTTTAAGAGCACAAATTGCTCTCTTCCTTTTTCACAAAAGCTGTGGGCTTTATTTCGATGACATCACTCATACATTTTCACATTAACTTCCGCTTTGTCACTCGTACCTAATTATTATAATGAAATGCAGATTATCTAAAATGCTCTCAAGAATTTTAAATTAGTTAATAAATTTTAAATTTTCATAATTAATTAGCACCTTTTTATTTTTGCTTCACAACGTAACTGTGTAGACAGATTTCGCAAATATTTTTTTAATTAATTACTTAAAACTGAGGCAATGTTATTATCTGATATCACTTACAAACCCAGATCAATTCTAACGACTAAAAACAGGAAATCGTTTTTATGTTATTTTATTATGTTCTCTTGATTTATGTGATCATTTTATCGAATTTAGACACTGATCACACAATATATTAACATATTGATATTGTTTTTAGATTCGTATCGTTATCAAGATAAGAATCTTAATGTAGAGTCAACCACCTACTAATTAATCAATTATTTTATGTAGTTCAATACGAAACGTGATTAGTTTCTGAAATGAGTTACGTTTCGGGGTGCCGAATAAATATAAAATAACTTTCTAATAACCGATATTACAAAATATACTATATGTATATTGCTGGTTGTTTCTGTTATGTTAGTTAAGTGTAAATAAGTTAAGTGTATTTAATTAATTGCTAAACCTTAAAACTGGTAGAAAAACATTGACTTGACTTAACAAGAATTATAAATGAAGATTTATGGAAGATAACAGTTTCTCTGAATTATTTTTTTGATTTAAAAAAATCACTCAAATATGACGTTTTAGTTTATCTCAAGAGGAATATGCGTACTTATAAGACCACGTTAGTAACCTTGAAACCCGCGATTTTTTTATTCATTACTTTTATAATACGAGTAGCTTTATTCCTAATAAAAATTTTCTGATCGGATATCGAAAGAGTTAGCCCGATGTTAGTTGTCACGCAACAATATTATGAATTTTTAACAAACAACACTGTAAAATTTATTTTTTATTGCCTGATGATTGTATTACGGTCGAAACTGGTGACGCAGTAATGAAAAGTTCTGGAAAAAAGGAGACCGTAAAAATATACCAACAATTTTAAATTTTTATTTAACCATAACAAAATAAACCATTGGTACGAATACTTCTACAACTTTTATAGTTTTATTTTGAAATTAAAATTTTAAAGAGGCTGTCATAGAAATAACTGAAAAAGTTTAGTGTGAACATCACACGACTTTCCGTATCCTACTTATTTGGAAAACATCCTTAATAACGACAATAATTTAACCTAAAGTCCCTAGATATCTATTTAGCGATCTGTATATCCTAGATAGATACATATCTAGGGACTTTTAACCTTTGAGTTAATGCCACCTGCCGGATTACACGCGAAATAGTCGTAGTTGTCGCGGGTTTGAGTCTGAGGTGCAGTTTTTTTTTAGTTCGGTACCCATTATTATTATTATTATTTCATCACATTTTACTGTTTAATAATACTTAAGTAACAATACTTTCCTTATGGGATAAGAAAAGTAAAAATTAAATCACAAATATACCAACTTCAGGACATTTTCATATTCGTAGCAACTATTTTTTTTATTTAATTTTCTGTTTTTCGAGTAACTACTAAACCTTATAGACTTTTTCCAACTACTATTTCTGGGACACTTTGTTAGTAGAAGAAGCTAATTTATATCGCATTTTCCAATGCATTTTATACTTGGACAATTTAAATACCTTATTTTTTAAATACCAGTAACTTTGTTTTAAGAAATTTGTTGACATTACAATAGAAAAAGTAAATAGTTGTAAAGTGAATACACTAAAGGCAATATTATCACCCAATAAACTTATTTTCATATCAATCATTTCATAAAAAAAAATTTTGAGTGTAAAGTTGATTATTACTTCTGTAAAAATTAATTTCATTTTATCGACATGTGATTACAGACATTGATAAAACATTCAAGTTGCTTCTAAATGCTAGACGATAAATTACGCAATTGCATCTTTATATTTTTTTATTTACTTATAAGTTTGAGTTCAAAGATTTTTTTAACTAGGTTTGTTCCCATTATGATTTATGAATTATGATCATTGATTGATCAATCACAAATAATGGGAATTAAAAGGGAGAAAACATTTTTGTTTTCATCTGTCTCTACTGCAACAACAAAACTTTTTATTTTCCAATAGGAAGTTACGTGCAATAAATATTAGTAGAGAAATTTAGAGCATTTTTACATGAAATATGAAAAAGTAAAATAACAAAACAGGATTGTCTACAAATGATTGAAAATGACATGAACGATATCTGTTTTTTTAATATTAAACAAAATCAAATGTTATCAATGTAATCTTTATCGTTAGATCAACAAATCTTATTTGTGACTGGAAATTCCAATGTCTAAAATTAAAAAAGTGCATAACAATTAATCATGGTTAATAAACAAGGAAACAAAACAAATTAATTTTTATTATAAAAATATTTATACAGAAATATAGTTTTATTTAACCCACTATGATGGGTAAAAAGATAATACTTAAAATTAAGTAAGTGCTTTACAGGTATCAAAAATGATACCAGTTCTAATTATGTTTATTTTATGTTACAAAATTATTTGTTAAGTACATAAAACTAATCCTAAGTGTCAACATTATCAACAAATATCTTTCACAACAGTATCACAAACAGAGATTTTTTAAAAATTTCATTCGTTGTACGTTTCAATCTTCGAAAATTTTAATAGTAAGCATGATAAGAAATCCTACAATTACAGAAAAAAAGTGTCCAAGACCACTCTTTCTATCCGCGCTCAATATTTCGAAAAAGACAACATACAGCAGTGTCCCCGAAGCGATACCTTGCAAAAATACCGAAGGTAATTCAGTCGCCGACTGCCCTTCAGTGCTGATAATAATCCCCATCCCAATCCCCAAAGGACTAACAACAGCGAAAATAAAAACGTAAAGTATGACCACTGCGGTTCTCAACCCGGAAGAAACAAGCTCTACCCCGATACAAAACGCAATGACCAGTTTATGGGCACTAACGGCCCCAAACATGTACCAAACATTCTGACTCGACGACTCCAACCCAACCGCCAAGCCTTCGAAAAGTTCATGAACCGAAAGTGCCAAAACCACAAACAAACCTCTGATGGTTTTCATGGTCGAATCTTCCATATCATCTGCCACGAAATGGCTGTGGCCGTGGCTGTGGTCGTGCATGTGCTTCTTGTCTTCGACACACACTGTAATGGGGCCTTCGATTGTGGTTCTGGCGCTGTTGGTTTTGGATTTTTCCGGGTCTTTTTCCCCTCGTCGTATCGAGAGGGTTCTCACAAGGACTGCTTCCTCTTTGTGCTGGTGATGGTGGTGGAGGCAGGCGTGGACGCATTCTTCGACGAAGTACATAGTGAAGAAACCCGCACACATCAGGAGTTCAGCGTAATGAATGTCTTTGGTGGGGATGCTGTCGATTTTTTCGATTCTTTCGGATACTTCCGGCAGGAGGTGCATGAAAGTGGTGCAGAGGAGTACTCCACCTCCCAGACAAAGGAGTTTTTGCACGTAGGGATTTTCTTGAGAGTCGGATTTCCATCGGAAGATTCGGGAAAGGAGGATTGGGAGGGTGCCGAGGGTTAGTGATGCGGTGAAGAGGACGCACATCGCCACTGATTTGGCGGTGATGGTTTTATCACTGGTCATTTTGGAGGTTGAGGCACTGAACTAGTGATGATGAGGCTGCTTCTACAGCCCAAGTTGTTCTGATGATTATATCGGGCATGTGAATGGTTTTGATAATTTACAGGAGAGAACTTTAATTATTGACACAATTAATGTCGTCATCAACGTGTTTTTATTTATTAATATTTAAGAGGTTCTATTAGTTAAGATCATTTTGCGATAACTGATACTCCATTCAAGTCTACACTCTAGAGATAAAGAAATAAAGGGTAGGGTATCGATTGTTTGGTAATTTAACGTTGAAAGAATGTGTGTGTTCATTATAACTTGTGTCTGAAAACAATCATTTATATAAAAATGAAAATATACTTGTGTTAGATTCACTCACTGAACAAAAGAATTAACATTTTTTTCGTTTAATATGCTTTTGATTTTTGATCCTAATGCGATAAAAAAATGATATTTAAATATACAGACTTGGAAAACTTTTTCAATTTATTGAAATGTTTTGAATGGTTCATTTCTTTTAGAATACTTTTAGGAATTAGAAGCATTGTTTTTGTGTCTACGAGTAGATTATGAACAGAAAAAATGCACAGGAAGACACGACGTATCAGATCTGAGAGGGCCAAGTATAGATTGTCTAAATAATCTTAACAAAGATAAAGTAGTTCACTTTTATTTTTTTTTATCAATATGCTCATTTTATGTATCTACAGGGAAGTGCATTTTCGATATCCGTATAAGAAATTTTCAAAAATAAAGAGGTTTAGAAAAAAATGGGTGTCCAATTATGTTTTGTTTTCGATTTATTAAGGAAAGCAAACATTCTAACAAAATGTTCAATAAAAAATACGCATTTGAAACGAAAACATTATACAGGCAATATTGTTACGTAAATTATCTTATTCACAATCACTAATGTAATATGCCGATTACTAACCTTTTTCAGGTTGGGAAACATGTCATTATTTCTCATGAAGAGTAATAAATGTTACTCCTCTTGGGTGGTAATATGCAGGACTGCCAACGTTAAAATTACGAAAATACCGGAAATTTTTTCTTTCAAATTGTCAAGTTACGCATAACATTTTGCTAAATTAGTATTCAATTGCTTTTGTAGCAGTTTTTCTTAATTCTGAGGGAGTACATTGCTCCATTTCGACGACTTTAAATCAGATTTACACATTATTTCAATATTTTCTTTGACATTTCTGAAATGTCAAAAATCAAACGTCATTTGGATGGCCTACCACGTTTGGACCTTAACTTTGTTAGAATTTTATTTTACTCAAATTTTTGACTGAAAATAATGTGATTGTGAATAAAATAGCATACAAACCTCGGTGGTAATGGCATTACCCCTTGTGCTTTATCCGATCTCGAGGCTAGCGCCTCTCGATCGTATACATAAGCACTCGGGGTAATGCCATATTTACCACCTCGCTTGTAATGTATTATTATTATAGAACCTCAATTGTATGCCGGACTAATGTGGACCGGACTTCTTTCAGATAAGCCAAAATTTACGATAATCCAAAAAATTTAATGAAATGTTTTATTAAAGAGTTCATGATTTTCACATTAACATTTATTGAACTTTGCCCAGCCGATTGATGGCTTCAAAATTTTTTTGTAAAAAAACAACCACTTTTTTACGTTTATTCTTCGATTTATACGTTTTTGCTTGGCCCCATATTTATGACTTTTTTTGGAAAACGCTGCATATACGATTAAAGAGAGAAAGAAAGTGTAAAGGTAAGTTGTAGAGAATTAGATTGGCTTCACAAAAGTTGGCCACACCATACCACTATCTTCGACGGTTTCAGCCCTACAGTCAGTCAAAGATGCTTTAGTGATGAAAATATTTCGCCTGTAACGGTGGTGGCGTGTCTAAGAAGCCATTTAAACCTAAATCGTTGAACATAAAGATATGGTGTCGCGGATTTTTTTAGAGCAAATTTAATTTTCTACAGCTTTGTTTTTCACACTTCTTTTGCGTTTTCAAAAAATTGGGGCTAAGCAAAAATTTAAGTTTTTTTTGCTATAACACAATTTTTTACTGCAAAGTACTTAATATCCTATCTGTATATAATTTCTCTACTGTTTTGTCATCGTCATAAAGCAATTTTTTATTTCGTTTCTCTTACCTAAACTATAGACACGCTATGTACTAAAACTATATCATTGAATGACAGCAATGGATTGATCTGTGTTTTTTTCAAACTGAACATAGGGCTTTGTTCAGTTAAAAAAAATGTCCCTGTATAATTCAATTTCATATAATTTTGTTTAAAGAAATGATTATTTATACACTAATTCATACAATTAGGTGGATAAAAAGGTTTGGTAATTTTAATTTTTCGATATTTTAAGTTTTCATACAAGCAAGTTGCAAGAGTTACACGATAACAAAAAACTGTACTCTATATGGAACGTTCAGAATTAGACTGACCTATCCACAAAATTTAAATTTTGTTATAATCTAACCTAACTCTAGCCTAATGTTTAAACAAAAAATATAAACAATAAAGCGACTGTATTTGGAACATAATACAAATATTAAAACTGAAAATTTTAACTTAATTTTCACTCTAATTTTCAGCGCCTCATATACATAGAGGACTGCGCTTTGCCAATACTAAAGCTGTTGTCAACATGGTTATGCAACCACCAATTCGCAATAGTGGCAGAATGCATTGGAACTTCTATGAAATACAATGGGAAAATTAGTTTTAATAGAATATGTACAATATTTCAATTTGTTTACATCAAGTACAATCATGAATCACTGTGATTGTAAGGTAGTATTGTAATTAATTTATTATATAAACAAGAATACCGTTTGATTTATAATAAAAATTTATAATAAACTGCGTGCAACAAGAGCTTTTTGTAAGCCCATTCAAATTAGGCGGTGGTAGGATTATTATTGAATCCTCCTCTGGATCGTATCGCGAAAAAAAAAAGTTCGATGTGGTCCTGACTTTGAATTTATAGGTAAAAATGTACTTAGTGTGAATATTTGTTGTTTTTAACATCATTAAATAAATTCCCAACACTACACGTAGAGATTAGCAAACAAAAAAAAACATTTTTCTCTCATTAGATCCATTAGTTGCCACCATTGAGTTTAATGTGTTGCCTGCCTATGTTGACAACAAAATTTTTAGCTCAAACGCAGTACATTAGTAGGATGTCAATGCTCATATACGAGTACGTGTACCTACTAAAATGTAATTTGAAATAAATTCCAACTGATTTTTTTTTATAATTGAAATTTAGAGTATCGTTGTGATAATACATATTAGCGTTTGACATTTTTTATTTTAATTTTTACTAATGTGTCATTTTTTCTGATCCTTTATTCTTTTTATGGAACAACTAAATTTTAAAAGCTGTATACTTTAGGGTTTATAATGACAAGTAAAATTACTTAATACTATGTAACCGTACCATTTGTATTTAATTATTCGGTAAAATGTGTTGCCTATGCATTTTTGAAAATTTTATTTGACTCTGCGGTGACGGATCACGCCACAGTGGGAAAGGGGGGATTTTGTGTTTTTTTTGGGTTTTCCGAAAAGTGGGAAAACAAAGGAAGGTGTGGCAGTAGTCGTCGTTGGGCAGGCGAAGAGTGAGTCGAAATTTGGTGGGTTTTGAAAATCGAATTTTGGAAACTTTCGTGATGTCGACTACACCCGGGGGACTTCCATCGAGTAAGAGAAGGAAGCGTCGTCGCTTGGAGGAGGCTGCAGAGGAGACCGTGGGGCTCAGGAAGATGAGACCGGACGCGACAGGGGGTATGACTAATTACGTCACCAAAAACGTAAATTTCTGTATCGATATTACGTGAAAATTGAGCCTAAAATATTGTTTTCTTCATAATAATCATGATTGTTGTTAATTTGCCATGAGTTTTGTAAATGGATAATTCGTCTGGTAAAAGATTAAGTTTTCGGGTTTGTTTTATGTAACGCGAGATGAAAAGTAAAACTTCTGTAGCTTCTCCTGGTTTCATGCATGCCGCATTGCGTTCTGTCTTTTACTGTTCTTTACTCTCCTTTAATTGGGCAATCATATCAGCAAAGTCCCGGTAGCTGATAAGTAATAACGCTTCCACGTACACAGGGCACAAAAGAGGAGCTTGTCGAAAAAGGACGGTTTTTGCCCACTAAAGAGACCATAGGTCCAATACCATTGTCGACTCGACAGAGTTGTAGGGTTTCGAGACGCGATTGTTTGATTGATTGAGAGTCCTTGATATATGTTTTTTTTTCTTCCTTTCTCCTTCGAGATTGGGAAATGGCTACAGCGGTATCGGGAATTGTGTTGTAGATTTTTGGTACATTGGATTCGAGGTTTTCACAGTAAAAAGAAAAGAAACTGTTTCAAAAGAATGCCTTGATTTGTTTTTCTGAATGTATTTATTAATTGTTCGAGTTTTTTTTTGTCGTGACATAATTTATTTGATAAATTCATTACCAGCGAATTTCCTATTGTTGTTTTATTTAATTGTTGAATTATACTTCATATTAATAAAACATTAGTGGTTTATTTCTTGATTATTTAATTTTACTCCCATCCGTTTGTTCAGTGCTTCGAAGAAACGACGAAGGATTATTACGAACAAACTAACAACCACGACGTAGGGTTATCTTATTTTAAAAAAGGGTCCAAAACTACGCCGATCACACGTCATGAGCAATTCTCCCGCTCAAATTTGAATTTTTCTAGAGCATTTTGAAATGCCGCCATTGAATACAAACTGTAAGGTTAGAACTATTTTCTAATGTGCAGGAATATACACAAATTTTAAATTTATCTCTTGTTTTTGAGTTTGATTAGATATCTATCTAATAAGAGTATTAGACTAATGAGTAGTAAAATTGAGGCGTTGAGAATTGACCCCCATATTAAGCGAAATCCTAATGAATGTCAAATTTTCACTTTGAAAGGTTTTGCTTCATATATAGGGTAATTCACGAGGAATAATGAGCCTGACCAAATTCTTGATGCAACCAACATTACATTTTCATAGGTCAGGTAGTTAAAGACATTTTGTAATAAATATAAAATAGCGAGCACACGTACAATTTGTCAGTTTTGACATTAAAATAATGAAAAACATAAGTATAACTTAACAGGAATTTTCTTAAAACTAACTTGATCGTGTCAGAAGATGCTCTTTCTTTCGGGATATCATTGGGCATAACACAGGAACCAAAAGATGCATTTTTCAAACATTCTCCATAAGCTAAAATCATGACAGTCTTCCCATCATTGGAATAAGTACACATTTTGCTCAGTTTATAATAAATTTGTAACGTTTGTTAAAAATGATAATGACGATGATAATAATAGGCATCATTCAAATTATTAATTTTTTTAAAAGTGTGGCAAAGCAACTTGCGAAAGTGTAATGATGAATTTGGTCAGGCTCATTATCCCTCGTGAATCACCTTTACAGTCACTTTACCCTTCATATTTTTTGTTTAAAACATTAGGTCAGTATTTTACTGAAAATTTAAACATTAAGCAGTTGGTCTGAGATTATAATATATTTATAAATTTCTAATTCTAAACGACTCAACTGAGTATAATTGTATTGAGAGTAGGTATACAGGTGCATTTTAATAAATTAATATAGGCAACCAGTTAAAAAATAGTGTACAAACTAGAACATATACGTAGGTATGTAATTTTACTTTGAAGGAGCTTTTGGAGTACAGAAAAAAAATAAGAAATATGAAATAAAAGTAAATTAATATTACGTACAATATTAGGTCTTTATTTACATATAATGTACTGGAAAAGAATTAGGTATCGATAGATTAATTTGTTTCCCATCGTATTTTTCCCAGTGTGTCATTTTTTACCAACACACTTTCTTATCTATTGACCCTCGAACATTTGACCCACTTTGTGTTTGGACTAAAATTTCTGTATTTATTTACGATTAAAAATCGTAAGTGATCGACTGATCGTAACCGTGAACATGATCATAATGGAAAATCTCAAAATTATGACAATAGGTCATTGGACATATTTCACTCAAAGCAGCCTGATTGTGGTTTTTTCATCTTTACAGTTTTTTCTTTATTGTTTCATAAATATTTATTTAACCTTAGAATTAACATTTTTAAATTTTCATTTTTAGAAAACTTATATTTATTCATTTTTGAGTATGTACATATACCATGTCAAAATTCTTTAGTCAATATCTATTAAAGTTATTCCTAACATAATAATAAATCCAAGTAAAACTGAAAAATACTGTTTAATCCCTGCCTTCCTCTCTTCTCTCAATATTTCGAAGAACACAACATAGAGCAGAGTCCCACTCGCTAACCCTTGCAATATCACAGATACCATCGTGGTTGAAGATTCGCTTTTCTCAGTAACCGCAATCCCGATCCCAATCCCCAAAGGACTGACCACAGCAAAAATAAATACATAAATCACCACCAGCGTCGTCTTCATTCCCGAAGTAACCAATTCGACGCCAATGCAAAACGCAATGACTAGTTTATGAGCACTCACAGCTCCAAACATGTACCACACATTACTACTAGAAGACTCTAAACCCACGGCCAGACCTTCAAACAGCTCGTGGACCGATAAAGCCAAAACCACCAAAAAACCCCTAATTGAGATAATCGTCGAATCCTCAATTACCATGTGACTGTGATCCACGTGGCTGTGATCAATGTGGTGGTGGTACTGTTGGTATCCTTGGTCGGGGATCACCACATCCGGAGGTGGTACCATATCCTCATCGCTTTTCTCCTCCATCTGACCCCTACTTACAGAAATACTACTTCGAGCTGATTTTAGATGAAAATTCAACTCTCTCTGATGTAGGTAAAAATGGACGCATTCTTCCACAAAATACATGACGAAAAAGCCAGCACACATGAGGAGTTCAGCAAGAGGGAGAACTTGGTACTTCGTGAAGCTTTCCTGATTTTCTATGCTTTCGGCCACTTCTGGAAGCAAATGCAGGAATGTTGTACACAACAAAACACCTCCGCCTAGAGAGAGCAGCATTTGGACGTAAGTGCTGTTTTTGGTACCAGATTTCCAGTCGAACCATTTGGAAAGTTTTATGGGAATAATACCGAGAGTCATAGATGTGGCAAAAAGTATACACATGGCAACTGTCTTTGCGTTTAGTGTGTCGTTTCCGTCGTTAGTGGAAGACATTTTATCTGTTACTAAAACAAAAATAGTAAAAGAATAATAGATAACCGTTTGTGTACTCTATGCTTATCACTTACTCTAGTTACTATTTTGCTTGTGTGTTACCTTATTTTGAAATAAGAGTAAGTGGTTTAATTGAATAAGGCGTCTTATATACACAACTGATAAGGTGGGGATATGCATTAGTGATAATAATACCAGCAACGAATTAGAATAACAAAGTTTGGGTATCTATTAGCTATCTCTGTACAGAAATAAAACAGTTGTGGTGCTTAAGATCTTTTCTGTATTTCTGTAATTTGTTTCTTAGTTCAAACTCTAAATAAATTTAAATAAAACGCTCAATTCTTACTTATTTCTTCTCTCTAACATTAAAAAAAGTACTAAAAGGAAAAAAGTGGGTCTGAGAAAAAAAAGTGAAAAACTGTATTGAGAGATTATTATTACGGGTGCTGATTGTAAAACTAGCATTTTTTTAAGGTCACATCTAAACTTTTTCTTATGGCTATGAACGAGTAAAAATCAAAACACTTTTTTTTATTTTAAAGATAATAATAACTATATTTTTTGTAAATTGCATCTCATGGGAATACCTATTTCTTTTTAATTTCCAGTTTTAAAAAAGTCAGTTAAAAATGTTTGAAATTTTTAAAGATATTCATAGCCTCGAATTTACAACGAAACTTCTATGAGATGCTGCTAGTGATATTAAATGATCCAATTTCTTGCTTCCAGAAAGATATTTTACAATATCTACTAAAATACATCAGTATTTTAATAACAACTCTAACAGAAAGTAAATTTTTCCTGTCTAATTTCAGAAAAGAAAGTGTATCTACTCCTCCACAGGAGGAAGTTAGAATAGTGCCCGAGACTTATTATTGTGATACAAATAATACAAATAACTATTATTATATCGCTTTGATTATTACATATCCGCAGCCAAAAATAGCGTATTCTCAATTCGAGCGCATTAGTTATACAATCTATACATAAGAATATTTTGAAATTTGTAACATTAATTGTAAACGTTAAAAATAAACTTTATTTACATAGGAACTTCTAAAAAAAAGAATTTTGCGTTTGTTAATACGATCACATCAATAGATCACAATAACCAAGAAGACTTTATTCTTAAAAAAAATTAATTAACAAAGAGATAACTATTCTATAAGTACACAGGTTGTATGATGAACGTGCTTAAAAGTGTAACGACATTATCAGTGTCACTTATATGTTGCAATATTTAATCATTTCTAACAATATCCGTCTATCGTCTGCTATAATCTTATGTAGAGTTAATTTTAAGTGACTTAGATAAAAGACTTAAACTTAATAAATCTCATTAACTTAATTGCTTCTTATCTGGGTACAGGTATATACCTAGGTATATTAAATCACAACGACTTTAGTAAATCCTTTTGCAATGTAAGTATGTACATAAATACACTGTACACACATCAAAGATAAATAAGTAGGGTACAAAGTTTTAATTTAAGTCACTTGACTTATTTTTTAAATTATTTATTGTTTGTATTGACATAACTTTGTGTAAACACAATTACGTACCATAACCATAGGATCTACATAGTCTGATGAACAAACAAAAAGAAAAATACGCAAAACAATTTTTGCAATAAGTTGTACAGCCTTTCTTTTTTATTGAGATTTTGCCTTGTCATTAGTCCAAAGCAAGTTATTCTTGTTTTATTAACTGTTTTTACTTAATCAAAAATAAGGTGTAACAATAAATCTTATCTCTCACATGCGTATAACATCATCAGTACTTAAGCTCATAGTAACATAAAATAAGTACTTATTAGAAACGTTTTTTAAATGCCTTTGGTTTATTTATTGGGCTGACTGACGCCAGAAATCTGATGTGTAATTTGACTTATTGTTAGATAAAAAATAAAACTTATTGCATCAGTACAGATACTTAGATACCTAAGTCCATGGTTTATTTGTTCTAACACGATAACATCAGTAGGTATCTGCTGATGCTTTAATTTCACAATCTATATTGCAAATAATATAACTAAGATCGTTAGGGATTTAAGTCACTTAAAATGTAATAAGCAACGTACTTTTATCATTTTATCAGTGACTTTGTAGTTCGTTTCTTAGAATAATCAAATCAAGAGTGAGTTTAACATAATTTGAAGTGCTTTTAAACGATATGTTATAAATTAAGTAAATAAATTACTTTTGTTACTTCATGATTTAAACTAAACAAAATGTATAAAAGACAGATGATTTTTACTTTAATTGTAAAGATCATAAAAATTAGGTATTGCCGAGATTATTTCAATAATTAATGTTGCAGTCTAAGCGTATTTTTTAAAATCCCTAATAGTAATAATTTCTTTCTAAGATTACACACAAGCTGTCCATGAAAGTTCGATTGTGAACGAACCATCGTATTGAAAGTTACTAATTCAATGTAAAGGCTGTTTTTTTTTTTTTAATTTGGCGGCAAAGCTATTCATGAAAGTTCGATTGTTTACAAACCAACGTATTGAAAATTATTAATTTGACATTTGACACATCGTCGGGCGTATTAAAAATTGTGGTCCGTTCAAAATACACTCATATCACCGCCAACTATGAAGCTAAATTTAAATAAACACCCGTTATATGTCATAAACATTTGAATAAGGCATTCTGTTCAAAATTCTGCACAACTATTAAAGCTTCCCTGTATATTTCTTTCATTCTTATAGAATTCACGGTCTAACTTTATATTTATAAGTTAAGAATTGTATGTGCAGTTTCAAAATTATCTCATTTTTAAATAATAAGAATTAAATACTTATAGTTTAAGAACGAAACAAATTTTTACAAAATCGTTTTAAATTAATTTTTATACGCATTAGACAACCAAATATACTTTACCCGAACAAATTCATGTCATTACTCTGTTGTTCTGTGATGGTTCTGTGGTTAAACGTTAGAAGTTAGGTTATTAATTCTTATTTCTGCATCTACAAAGAAAAGTGAAAATGGATAATGAGTTGAAAGAAAATGAAAATGTAAACGATGATCCAGTTCTTAAAAAAGGCCGTCATCGAAAAAAGCAATTGTATAATTCCATTCTGCAACAAATGGAATTTTATTTTAGTGACTCTAACCTCACCAAAGACCGATTTCTTTCTCAGTTAATAAAGGAAAATCCATGTAAGTGATAAATATTCATTGTTATGGGTAGTATTATATAAATGATTAAATTCCTTGCACTTTTAGTTGTCGATCTGAGCGTATTTTTGAAATTTAACAAAATTAGAAAACTTACAACTAACATTGAGGATATTCAAAAAGCAGTACAAAAGTCGCAGTTAATTGAACTTTCTGAAGACCGTAATAGTATTTGTCGTACAAAACCAGTTAAAGAAAAGAATAATGTTGATGAATGTACAATTTATGTAGAACGGCTAAAATCAGACGCAACTCATGAATGGTTGAGTTCTGTCTTTTCTGAATTTGGAAACGTGGTTTATGTTTCTATACCAAAATACAAAAATAATAATGCCATAAAAGGTTTTGCGTTTATTGAATTTGAAAAAGAAAAGGAAGCACAAAATGCTTTAAATTACTTTGAAAGCATTGGTTGCAAAATGCCATCAAATACAGAACCAGAAACGCTTTGTAGTATTAAAACATTTCAAGAGAGTAATGAAGAGCATCCTGGGGGTTCATCTAAAAATTCAACAAAGAAGCGCCAAGCTGAAGAGCACTGCGAAAGTGTAGAAAAGGACAAGTCAACAAGTAAACGAAAATTTGAAGAAAATGAAGAGGTCCAAAGTGATAAAATAGTTAAAAAAATTAAAACTGAAAATAGTAAGAGTGAAGAGGATGAAAAGATTACAAGAAAACAAGAATTTGAAGAAAAAGAACACAGCGAAAGTGAAGAAAAAAAGAAAAAATTGAAAGATGATTGTGAACATATTGAGGATGAAGAAAAAAATGAAAACTCAACAAGAAAACGAAAACTTGAAGAAAATGAACATAGCGAAAGCGAAGAAAAAGAGAAAAACTCAAAACTCGATACTGGTGACGTTTCTGAATCAGACGACACAGAAAATAAGAAAAAAAAGAAGTTGAAAAAAGAACACAGGAAGAAAAATTATATAAAAGACTTGGGTCTCCAAGTTTTATCAAAGTAAGTGAAGCAGCAAGGGTTTCTAGAGATTTATATCTTTGTTTCAGAAAAGAATGGAAAAAGATGAGAAATCGATATCTGGACTTACAAAAGAAAAAAATGAAAGAGTTTAAAACGCATCTTCTCAAAGCGAAGTTTAATCAAGCAAAATATGAAGAAAAGTCGAAAGCTCCCACTACTAAGACTGAATTAAAGAAAGAGGACTATACCAAAGGACTCATTGTGAAAATAAAATTAGCAGAAGTTAGCGTGGATACAAAGAAACTTAAGGTAAATTTTTTCATGTCTTTAAAAAATTATTAAAAATATTTTTTTAGAATGAAATTAAATCTTCTTCACCTGATATAATGTACGTAGATATTCCAAATCCCGGCAGTGAAAACATTTATATAAGATTTAACACTAGTGGCGGCGCTAAAAAATTTAGCACCCAAGAATGCTTTGGTAAAAAAGAAGTAGTAACAGGAGAAGAAGAATCTTTATATTGGGAGAAAATTAAAAAAGATCGTGAGGATAAAGTAAATAAAGCAAAAAAGAAACAACGCGGTAGAGACAAACTATTGAAGAAAGCTAAACATACAAAATTTGATGATTAAAGTTTATATATTTATGCAACTTAGTATTTAGTGATCTTGTTTGTCCTATTTTGTTATTTGTTGTTGACAAAGGTAGGTTTTTGATGACGTCAAAAACACCCCAGGATTTTGTAATAATCTATAGTAGCTCGTATTTGTTCTTTTTTAATGGTTTTCATAAATGAAAATTCATTTATTTTCCTATTAAAAATTTCATACACTCAATTACTCTTTCTGAAACAACCGCCATACACAAAAATAAAACATGGGCACCAGAAAATGGTCAGAATTTTAAGTCTACCATCTCTTGCCGCCGCCGCCTCCTCGACCGCCGCCAAATCCACCACCACGACCGCCTCTAAAACCACCGCCGCCTCCACGACCCCCCCGGCCTCCAAAATTTCCGCCTCTTCCTCCAAATCCGCCGCGATTACCACCCCCTCTGCCACCGCCACGGCCTCCACCACGACCTCCTCCTCTGCCACCCCGTTTCTGGACTGATCCTGGGGGCTTTGGGAGGAATCTTTGGAGCGGTAGTAATTTCGCTGGATCAATAAACAACTGCAAAACACTTGTAACTTGCATGTAAATGATAGCAGTAAATTATACCTTTTGGTTCTTCTTAAAACTGCTAGCTTTTATGTCATCTCCGAGACGTATAGTTACGTAATAATCTCTGAGATTTCCAAAAATTTCATCAATTTTTCCAATTTGTTCCTTATTTTCTAAATAAATCGGTGCATTGAAAAATGGAACGTCTTCTATTTCTACTTTAGCAACTAAATCATCTTGTACAGTGTAATCAAAGTAACCTAGAGGAATCACTCTCTCGGGTGGTCCCTGATCAAAGTTTCTTCCGCCTCCGCGACCCCCGAAACTATTTCTTCCGCCGCCTCCCCCGAAGTTTCGACCGCCACCACCACGGCCACGTCCACCAAAGCCGCCGCCACCGCCTCGACCACGAAAAGACATTTTATTTCACTATCCAAAAAATTCAGAACCACAGAAGTTGTTTCTAATAAGTTAACGTTAAACACGTGGTTCAATGTTGTTTTCTATACAGGTGCAGCGACATAACCTCTATTACGATCAACACGACATGACATAACCTACAATAATGGTAAACATAAAACCACAGAGCCAAAAGTCAGAACCGAAGTAACTACTTACTTTAAGCAATTTACGAAGAACCGAAAAATTAATAAAGTGATTGTTTCACATTAACATCTATTTCAAACTTGGAAATATTCTCATTATTAAAAATAATTTGCGGCTTTTTAAAAATCATATTAAGAGTATGGACATTAGTATAATTGGTTGCATACCTCATATAAAACAATTCTGAGTATTTTTAAATAACCTTGAACAAAATATAGCTACGCCCACAATTCCCATTGGTTTTCCTTCATTGTTGAAATAACCATTTAAAGCCGATTAACCGACAGTTCATAATAATTATTTGGCTTTGTCCAAGTAAAGAGGTAAAGGTTTTAGTGCCAAAACATCCAGTATTCAACAGTCGCCACCAGTTAGGATCAGCAGGTAAACACATTCTTTTTTTAACCATATATCTATTACTTTATTGGATTAAATACCTACTTGTTTCGTCTAGTCTATAGCGTTTAGCGAGTCCACAAAATGATTCTTTTTAATTGATACTTATACCTAGTTTTTTTTTAACTGAAGTTGTTTTGTATTCACCTAAGTTATTTTTTACACTCATACCTACTCCTGTTCGTGAAAGAACTCAATTTTAGAGTGCTTGTTACGTATAACTAAATAAATTAAAAAAAAATTGAAACAACTTTAAATATGTAATTCCAAATTTAAAAGAATCCTGTACGTATAATAAATAAATAATACCTATTCACAATAATTTTTGGGTGTTAAGCTCTGTGAACCTCGTTATATCAAGGTCTTATCTATTATAGTACTCTTATTAATAAAAAAGGATATGAGAACATTTGTGAATCGAATTAGATGACGAATATAAACCCACATACAGGGCTTTCATTTCAAAAGGATCCAGTCTCAATAACTTTTGGCATTGAGTAAATGTATTTTCAAGCAAAAACAGGTCGATTAGGATCCCGAGGGGGAAGTTGAAAACCAACATTAGTTACATTTTAAGTTTAAATTACTTTAAAATTTTAAATGGCACCTCCTACTTTTTAGAACGTTTTCGGAAAGAGAAAAAATCAGCGTCTCTAAATGCCAAAGAAAATTTTTTTTGTCGATTTGTTTATCAGTTAGGGGTGGTTTAATTTTTTAAATTTTTAGTCTTGGTAGCCTTTGATTGAACTCAATTTAATTTAAATAAAAAAACATGTCGATTTGAGTTGCGATCGGAGAGTTTAAAACCAACATTAAATACGTTTTAGGTTTCATCCCCTAGTCGCTAGCCACCCCTACTTTAAAATTTCAAATGGCACCCCCTACTTTTTGAAACATTTTCAGAAAGGGAATAAATGAGCGTATCTAACTGTCAAAAAAAAATTTTTGTCGATTCGTTTTTTAGTTAGGGGTTTATAATATTAATATGTAATTATCATTACAGTCATTGATTGATTGATTCGCTTTAAAATATTGGGGTAAACGAGATGGTTCTGCAATGTGTTGCGAACATCAGTTTACAAAAAAATACACAAGCAGTGCAAAAATCAATTATCATTCCAAACTTCAAATATGTATTATAGTATTGAAATCTTCTCAAAGATTAAATTTAGACGATTGCTGTATACTTAAGAAACAAAGTTATGCGAAAAAATGCAAGCACTCAAAGTTTTGGACCTTCTTATGGTCACTTTATACAATTTTTTGGTAACAAGTTCTCACCAGATTTGATTTACTCGACCTCAAAAATGAAAATGCATTTGTGATGTTGCCATTTTTCGTACAGGATACAATCGGAGATTAGTTATGCCACAATACGTGTTTCTAAAATGAACTTGACATTTTTTGAAGAGTTGTTATTAATTTCTGAAATTGAATTGAATTATTCTATTGTACAACCTATACAGGTGTCCCAAAAGCAACCCCCCATGCGTCAACCCCTAATAGATAATATTCTGAGAAAAAAAGTTTAAACAATTTTTTTCTATCTTAATTCGTTAAAGAGTTACAGCTAGAAAAGTATAAAGAACAATTGCTTAGTTTATATATTTTATTGTCTGGGTGATATAAACATAAACATTAGTCCAAAAACGATAAAAACAAATTACTTGGAAAAAAATTAAGAATTAAGTATAGACATTAGACATAAAAACTACAAATATCGCTCAAAATGCTTTCCATTGCTTCAATTGAATGAGACTTAAAGCTAAGCAATTGCTTCATAAATGTCATCTTTTTTAATTTAACACGACTTGTTCAAAATTCATTATTATTTTTTGCTAAGATGTAACTCTTTTCTGTCACTGGTTGGCGTATGGCGGTTTGCTTTTGGGATGCCTCTGTAATTAGTAATTAAATTACTCATGTATTATGCTTACAGCATATACTTATGTATAAAAAATATGCATCTTTTACGGTTTGAATAATATATTGAAATCAGTTTTGCATGATATACTAACAATTATTTTGAAAACTGCTCTAAAATCTAGAAGACTCCATAATTATCATCGTGTGACCCAATTTTAGTTTTTTTTCGTAATGATATGATTCGTTTAGATGATTTTTTATCTGACAATTGATAAAGTGACTGAAAGTAACTTTTTATGTTCATTTTCTTGAGAAAACATTACAAAACTTTAAAAATGTTTTTTTTAAGTTGAGTCATTACCGCAAACGTAGATTTTGCCATTATCTTACATATACATTACGTATCGGCTACTAATAATCAGATTGTTGAAAATTTAATAACAAAAAATCTGATTTAAATGTCAAAAATATCAATAGTGCACGGCTTATCACTTACAAAACAGAGGAAGAAAGTAAAGATTAATGTTTTTTATGTCAACATTAATAATGCTGCATGTTATCACTGCCCCTAGCAACGCATATATTCTTATTTGTATTCTTATCTATTTTATGTATTATTATCTATATTTCGACTTTAAATCGAGGAACTAAACTTATCAGTTTTTACTAATGGGAAAACTCTGGGCCAAAATTTAAAATTATAAAATTAAAGTTGACATTAATTATTTTTGCACATAAATGTCTTTTTTAGATAAAAAAATTAACTACTTTTGGCGTGCTATTACTACATTAACTGTTTATCTCAAGTATTTAGTCATACAAATGTGAAAAATGTTATAGGGGTAATAGATCAGGAATTTTCCGCACTCTGTATAAAACAACCTATTAAAAGAACTGCTATAAAATCGATTTTTGTTATGGCAACAGTTTAATTGAATTAAAAACCATAAAAACAAAAACACAATTAACTTGTCACGTAAGTGTCACGAATTAAAAATGATGGAAGGAGCTTGCATAAAGCGTACCCGCAAGTCAATTAACATATTCAACACTACAGGTGTTTCCACCACTTTCAGTATTTAACAGTTATGTGTTTTATTTACAGAAGAAATGGCTCCTGCATATAAACTAACCTACTTCCCAGTGGAAGCCCTTGCTGAACCCATCAGGTTCCTCCTCAACTACGGCGGAATCGAATTTGAGGATCACCGGTTTGACCGCGAAAACTGGCCCCAACTCAAACCCAGTGCGTAATCTTTATCAACAACAGCAAATTGTAACAATCACTGACTTTCAGACATGCCCTTTGGCCAAGTTCCCATTTTGGAATACAACGGAAAAGTGGCACACCAAAGTATTGCTATTGCTAGATTTTTCGCCAAAAAAGTCAAACTAGTCGGGAACGACGATTGGGAGGACTTGGAAATCGACGCCATTGTGGACACCATCAATGATTTGCGTCAAAGTGAGTAATTATTAACTCCAAAATTAAAATTTATTTCGGTTTTTGATTAATATTTTTAAGCAAAGTAAAATGTCAACGAAGTACGAATTTTTTATAGTTAGATATTCTGAAAAGCTAGCGTTTGAAAATTTTGATTTTATTTTTCTTTTATTAATAATTAAATTTGACAATTCAGAAATAATTTCCACAACAATTTTCACACAAAAAACCATACCAAACACTACTGACTTACTATGAACCACCTAATATTAAAAAAAAGAGGATAAAGTCTTCAAATTGTGTTGTAGAGATCGCCCTTTATCATTACGAGACTAACGAATCCGTTAAAGAATCCCGGAAAGAGCCCCTATTTAAGGAAACCATCCCTTATTACTTGCAACGTTTGGATGCTGTTGTCAAAGCCAACAATGGACATCTTGCTGTTGGAAAGGTATAAAATTCTGTCGCGTATTCATAAATTTCAACGTTGCTGTTTCAGCTCACATGGGCCGATTTATACTTTGTAGCCGTATTGAAGTATCTCTGTTTTATGTGCGGGAGCGACATCATTGCCAATTACCCGAATCTTGTTGCTTTGAAAAAAAGCGTTCTGGAAATACCAGCTATTAAGAATTGGGTAGAGAAGCGTCCAAAAACTGATATGTAAATGAAATCAACGCATTAATAAGACAACTACTATGTAATATTAAATTTAATAAATCAGTAAAGTAATAAACTTGTTTAATTAACAGGATCAATCATTAAAATCAAATAGAAAATTGCCCATATTATTGGCCGTTTCCGACCAACGGGCAAACTGTGCACCATCCATTTCAGACGCCAACTGGTTATCTGCAAGCAGTGTATGTTGGGTTCCCCCTATTTTGCACCCACATTCGGGACATTTTGACACTACCATGGCTCCCCCACAATCAGCGATACAGTATGGATGTCCATTGGGACACTTGAACCAATGTCCTTGTTTGAAACCCATGGCTTTAACAATTTCCCTCTTTTCTTGTTCCGAAATTCCTATTCCCGACGAGACCAACTTACTCAATTCTTGCAATAATTGCTTCACTTTTTGTTCATCTTCATCGTAAAATTTGCCTAAACCAAAAAGAAGACGTTCAGTTTGTACTACAGTGTCTCGAACTTTCAAATTCGTATAACGCTGTGCGAAATTAGACGAATTCTTAATTTCTTCTAATTCGGCGATTCGGTACAACCGATTTAATTCGTACTTAATATCACCTATTTCTTGATCTGTCACATAGTCATGTTCTCGTTTCAAAGTTTTAAGTATGAATTTTACCTGAGAAGAGTAGCGGGTTTGTGAAACAGCATTAGGACAATTTTTACTAATGTCATCAACGTGTTCTATGATTTGCAGTTTTGACTCAAGTGCATTCAACTCTGATTTATTGATACGTTGGCGTTTTCCCGATAAGGAAGTTCGCAGGCGAGTTTCCATCGCGGAAAAAATATCGTCGAAGAAGTGGTAACTATTCACCTTTTGTGAATTCAGTCTAATCTCGAGTAGTTTCCCTACCAATTCTTGCCTCTTCTTGCTCAACTCCCTTTCAGTCCCGTGCAGATTTTTCTTAACTTTAGCCACATCAGCCTTGGCTTTCTTGACATAATCACTGAATCTAGGCGTTATCTTAATCGCTGTTTTGCACCGTGGACACTCCTTGAATCTAATAACTTCCCCATCATCCTGCTTTAACCACATTTCCAATCCTGTATTTTCAAAAATGTGCCCGCAGTCTTCGAGTAGCACAAACCTGGCATCATCATCACCCTCAAACCCGAAAAACACCTCTGTTACTTCTTCTTCGTCGCAGACGCGACACTTGTTGGGGCAAGGGTCTCCGCAAAAACCAATACATTGGTGGCCACATGGCAGCAATTTGTTGCAGGGTTTTTCACAAGGGGGCACGTCGCAGATTTCTCCGCAGTACTTGGTGCATCGTTGATGCTTGCATCTTCTGGGGCAACTCTCCTTGCAAGGGACACAAATGTCGCCACAGCGTTTTCCGCAAGAGCTGTGTTTGCACTTGTATGGGCAAGGGCGTACGCAGGGTCTGCATGCTTGTCTGCATGGGAAATCGCAAGGGTGGTTGCACACGAGCGGGTTTCCGCATTTTTCCTCGCAGCGTTTGTGGATGCGGCCTTGGGAGCACTCTCCGCAGGTTCCTGAGCAGTTATGGTCACATAATAACTGGTCGCGACAAGGATGGTTGCAGTATTGTAGAAGGGTCTTTGGATCTATAGCACCACGAGCTATGTAACACGGCAACTTACTCACAATGTGACCGCAAAAGGCCTTTACTGCACAATTGACCAGTACATTACATGATGTGGTACAAGACTCGTTGCATTTTTTTGTACAAGGGTGGCCACAAGCCAGTTTCAAAGGGCATTGCTTCGTACAGAATTTCCGTAGAGGTTCTTCGTTACATTTTACTTTAATTGCATGGCCACATATGGGGATATTTTTTTCAACCTACAATAAATTCATTATTTGAAGAAATTGGAGTTTTTGGTTATACTTTTTCTTTGCAGTTTCCACAGGGTTCATTGCATTTATTTTTGCATTTGTGATTGCAAGGTAACATTTTTGTGCAAGGCTTTTCACAGCTTATTTCGTCTACATTACTAGAACAAGGCACGTCGTAAAAATGTGGACAGATAGTTCGCTGTTTTTTAACACGGATCATACATGTATCACAGTCTTCAAAACATAATTTCTTGCACTTGTGTTTTTCAGGTTCGGCGTTGCAATTCTTTAGGTATTTGGCACAACGTTTGGTACATTTATACTAAAAGAGAAATTTTTATAATGAAGATCTTAACAAAGTTCTGTCGTTTTTCTGTAGAACCTACCTGTAAATGGTCTGGATCCATCCGAATATGGCAATTCCTAGTACACGCGTGACCACAAGGTTCGACTTGTTTTTCACATGGGAAGGGGCAAGGATACGTTTCTGGACTGCGATGGCAAGGCTTGTCGACGTTGTGACCACAGGGCAGTTTCGTGGGCACAAGTGCTTCACAATTATAAGTTTCAGGATCAAGGTGACACTCCAAATTCACCATGTGTGCACATCGCAGAGTCCTCAAAACCTTGTAAGTACAAGGACCACATTCTTGGTAACATCTTTTTTGGCATAAATGTCGTTCGTCTTTATCACACAGTTTCCTAAAATTCTCAGTTATGCAATGTTAATTAATTTTACTTAAACAACTGGACTTACTTTCCACACTTCTCAAGACACCGGTAACTTGCATGATCTCTATTTAACACATGGCAAAGAGATGTGCATTGATGACCGCATACCAAATCTGCCCCACATTTCTGGTTGCACCCACCTTCTGATATATTCAAAAAATCTTTCCCGCTTGCCACATACGTGACTTTATCTGGATGTACTTGGCACCGTAAAGCTAGATGAGGTCCAATGGCATTCTGGCGTTGAAAAGTTTTGTGAATTTCACGCCAAAGCTGAAAAAAATGCTTCCTACTTTGCAATTTATTAAATTTCATACTTTACTTGACTTGCAGTACACAACTGGTTCATATTTCCCATCAGGTAGAAGCCGTTTCTGGCTCTGGAAAGCGCCACACACACTCTGTTTTCAATGGATAAGAATCCGACTTTATTTTCTTCGTTGTTTCGAACCAGCGAAAGTAGGATAATATCGCATTCTTCCCCTTGGTAGTTATCCAAAACTGCAATCCTTATGTTCTCCAAAAGGTCCTTGTGATTGCGCCTCTCTTTTTGCAACTCAAACATTTGCCCCAAATAAGCAGCCAGGATTGTAATGTTTTCAGGTTTATAACCGTTCAAAATAAGATGCCTCGCAAAATAAATCAAAAACTCAACTTCGTGGTAATTTTTTTTGCTTGTGCCTTCACAGTTTACTTCTGCGTGGTTATGGTCGATGAAAAATAAGCAATTATCGACTCCTTTTATATCTGGTCTTTCGTTCACCGATGGGTGATCTTGCAGAGTTGGATAAATTGTCGGCGAGATCAAACTGGCAATTTCCGGTCTCATTCTATGTTGAACATTTAAAGTATGCAATTGGATTTTATTAACAACCATTCTCTCAAACAAACTTATCCCCAAATTGTAAAATTTTTCGATGTTGTAATTCGCAGTGCTGGGTTTCAACTGCTGATGATCTCCTATGAGAATCAAATGTTTGCAATGTTTGGTCAAAGAAGAGATAATGTGAGCCTCTAGAATCTCCGCTGCTTCTTCAACAATAACGATTGGACTTTTTAAAGTTTGCAAAGATGATCTCAGGCGGGCGGCACCGGTGGTCGTCATCCCAACAACAAGCACATTTTTCATGGCTTTAGTGTTTTCAATGTGTCGCATTTCCTCATAGACTTTATGTTGTTCTCGAAATTGTTCATTTAGTAAGCTCAGTTTTTCATTTAGTTTTTCTCTGTATAAATTCAAACAAAAAAAGTATAAATTCCAACGCTCATCGGGTAACATTTGAAGAGGATTTACGAAATCCGACCAGTTAGGAACTTTCCTTTTCATGAAACGCATTTGTTTGCCCTCGGTTAGCCTATACTGTAAATAACGAAAGTATGGTATATAACTATCTTTCTTAACAGTATGACAAAACTATACGAAACTCTGTATTTGACTTTTTAAAATATATACTCCAAAAACAGTTTTACGTTACCTTATTTTATGATTTTTAACTTACATTTAAACAGTCGCAACGATATTTTAATTTATACAATTCGAAAGCAATCCGATCTTCTTCAAAAATATCCTCTGTAGTAATCTCTTCCTTTTGCTTGAGTTGATATAAAGCCCCCTCGAGCGCAGAAATCTTTTGTTGAAGTGAAGAGAGTGTAATAAGGGGAATGCTGCACTGAACCTCCATTGCGTTCACTTCATCAAAGATATCATCCAATTCTATTTTCATATTTTCATCTTCTTCGATCTCATAATCCGACAATTCTTCATCGACTATAATTGCATCTTCAATCTGCATGTTAGCCATTTTATCCTGAACCTGAAAAATTTGAAGTTTGAAATTAAGTCAAATCCAGAGCCAACAAACCTCTGCAACACTGCCAGGACTTTTCACTGTATTACTTAAATCCATTAGTTCATTTTCGGAAAGCAACCAATCCAATATTTCATCCCTTGAAGCACGATAAAACCATGTTTTAGCAAAACTCGGTATAACATCTTCAAAAACATCGAAAGCTCGGATACTGTGATAAAAATCGATTTGCTTCAAATTTTCCGTTATGCTATGAATTTTTTGTAAAATGACTTTCACTTCGTTTCTCTGTTGTAAAACAGCCGGGCTTGTTCGAAACTTTGTATTTCTCAAATTGAACCTTGCCAATGTTTCGTTTTTACTCTGACCTCCGATTCTGAGAATACTCTCAGTAAACTGAGTCAAACCCTCCAAAAACTGGTCGAGAGCGTGATTAGTGTAACATATGACCAACATTGGAGTCTTGTTGAACCAAATGTTGTGATTTTCAAGCAATGTTCTAGCGATTTTGAGACCAAGGAAGGTTTTCCCTGTACCAGGCGGACCTTGAATGACGGAAAACTCTTGCGTCAAAGCTGCTCGAAAGGCACCAAGTTGCGATTGGTTAAAACCGTAAAAGTTAGTGTTTGGCCAGTTTTGGAGAGGGAAAAATTCATGACCACGGACTGAAATCCTACGTGGTGTTGGCCCCATGAGGTACTCCGGTGGCTGCAGTGTGGGGTCTACGCGAATGATGTATTTTTCCATCGGAAATTCGGCAGTGTTCATGTTTTTGAGGACATTGAGGACGTGGAAATATGGTTCGAAGTAAACTCCACATTCAATCATTAAATAGTCCGCTTTGTAATCCACAAGCACATTTTGGTCAAAGCCTACAATTAGTTCCCCTTTTTCCAGGTCTTTCACGTCTTTCTGGGCAATTTTTCCAAAAAACAGTGACTTGAAATTGTCGGAGGTGAAGCATAGGAGAGAACCGAACATAAATTTTTTGGAGTCTTCGAGTCGAAATTTCTTTTTATTGCGTGAAAAATCGAACCTTAATCGAATGCAGTACTGTTCGTTGATTGTTTCTTGATTTAAAAACTGTACTTTTTTGTAAATATTGACGTTTTCAATTCGATGTTTCTTGGTTGTTTCCGATCGGTATGTGGCGATACCACTTCTCAAAGGTCCAACAAAATCTTCTCTTAGCAATCTAAACTGGACGTCCAAATAATGATTTGCGTCTTTGTAAGGTCCCTCAATAACATTTTTTCGTAGAAAAACTTGAGTACCCCCAAGGAGTTCAAGTGTACTGGGGTACACAGAAATTTGATGGAAATCATCCGGTGGTTCTTCTTCGATTAAGGTAGACACTTTCTTTTGGATAGAAGCCTTCTTCTTTTCTTCTTCTTCCGCTATCATAATTTGAATACTTTCATTGAGTTTATTCACATTTTCCTTTATCCCGTCCGAAATATGTTGTTTGTGTTGGTCTTGAAACGCAGGGAAGCACACGAGCAAACTTTTCATTATATTAGGCAAAACTTTAAACGCAAATCTGGGAATTGCATCATAAATATCCTGACAAATGCCTATAATGTTGTTCCAAAAGTCGTCAGTATTTTCCCAAAAAAATTTGTTATTTCTGCGATCTAATTCGTTTTGCATTGGCAGCAAAGCTATGTACTTTACCAGTTTATCAACAAATGTTTCGTCCAAATACAATTGCAAAACCTTATATTTGTTTTCAACAAAAGCCGAATCTGACACTTTTTTCAACACTTTTACAAACAGGATAATACCGTCATCGGATAAACTCGTTTTGATGTAGTCCTGTATGCCTCTTTTAATGTTGGACAATTCTAGGATTAAATCTTCAGAATCTTTATTTAGCAAATCTTGTAGCGCTTTGAAGCCCATTTTTCTCGTATTCTGGTTAGGTCTTCTGCCACCTCTTTGATCTTGCCGTCCTGTGGGACCGAATGCATTGCGATTCCTACTAGCATAGGATTGCTCAGAACTAGCACTAGGACTTTGATTTCGGCGTACTGTGTTCCTAGAATAATTGTTTCTTCTGTCATCTCTTTGTCCTGTGCCGAATCCCTGGCGACTTCTACTATAATTGGATTGCTCAGAACTAGTACTAAGACTCGGTCGTCGCGCGCTCCTAGAATTGTTTCGCCAGTTGTTTGTCCTTCCTTAAAAATACAATTAGTGTAAAACATCTTTTAACTTTTATAATAGCCGCAATAAGTGTTTCATTTTTTTTTTAATTTTAAGTAAATTTGTTTACAAACCTGAGTATAATTCATTGTGGCTTCCGTATACTTCATCGTCGTTGCGTAAAAATATAAACTGTCATTAAATCTTAATCTTATTAGTTGAATTTTTTTAGTTCATAAATACGAGTATTGCGTTTAAAAATGTGAAATCAAAATGAATTCCAAGTATTAGATTTAGTTTTTATGGAAGTTTTCCTTTGTTTTTTCTGTAAGTAAACAGAGTTCAATGCTTGTTGTATTACCTAATAATTACCTTCCTTGGGCCCTTGTTCAAGAAATTATATAGTTTCAGAACTACTTTTAGAATTTGCTGAATTCAAATTGCCACATTAATCAAAAAAATTTTTTTTCTTTCTCTCTAAGACTTTTATTATCAAGATTATATCAAGTATCAACCCTCTTCTAACAACATAAGTAAGTATGTATTATTAACGAGCAGGAAATAGCAGGTATAGGTAGGTATACGTTACAGCAGGTATAACGCCACCCGTTATTAGATGATCTATTTATCACAAGAGGTTATAGATATGCGGTCGATCTGTTATCGGTTATTATTCCAGTACATTTTTGAAAACAAAAGCTTTTTGAATGTTTTTTGGTTTCATTATGTGAATAGTTCGTAGTTTCTTGATTAGGTATTCTTACTTGTATTTACTATTTTACTCGTATCATATGTTTAGATTTCATTGTATTATACTGATAACAAAAATGAGTCATCACAAGTGTTGAATGCTGATTAAGTGATTATTTTATTAACATTGCATTGAATATAATATTATAATATAATACATAATGAAGCAAGTTGCCTTTTCTTGTTCAGAAAATATTTTTTATGAAAGAGAAATCCCATACAGTAGTCAAAAAAGGTGATTACTTGATGAGATAGTAAATAAATACACATCATGATAATTTTTCTCTCCATTTCATTAGAAAACTATAGTAAGAACCAATGGCAGTTTAATAAAAGTAAGTTTATTACCTTGTTGGGCCCTCCAAGTATAGTTCCCGGCGCCGAATGGATTTCTGGGATTTCCCTGTCTACGATTTTGCATTTCAGAATTCCTTACATAACAGCTGGCAACTATATGTTTATTTAACGTAAGCAGTAATAAACTAATTCAACAGTTTAGATTGAATGGTAACACACATCAACATTTATTAAAAATAGCCGATTTACGTGTCTAAATAAAACTGCACTCGATACAAACACTAAACGCAAAAATAAATGAAATTTTTTCCGACACTCTGAACGAAGTTCGTCGACAATGGTCGACAATGTGTCATATCAACTAATTGAGTATCGCATGCGTATTACTAAAATAAATTAAGGCATAGAAAAATCCACATTACTAAATATTATTATTATTAATTATTAATCAATATAGGTAGGTAATTCCTAATTTGTTATTACAGTACTATGTACTGTGAAATATAATAGTTTTATATACCCAAAGGCGGCAATAATAAACATTACTGTAGACTGTTGCACTCTTAACAGTTCGATTTTTTTGCAACGAATTTTCTCATTCTGCGAATACAAAAAAAAATACCTAATGAGATGAAAACAGCAGCAAAACATAGCATTTTGAACATTTTCAACTAGTAATTAAAAAATTTTAAATCAAAAATGTAGTAGGTATCAGAGTACACCTTTACGAAGCTCCAAACGAAAATTTGTCACCTTTATTCTTTTTATTATGGGTTTGTTAGAAATCTTTAATTTTTTTTGTTTCAGATCTTTTCTGAAAGCACTCTGTATAAAGTATATGAAAGATCTAAGTTACTAAGGCTAGCAGCCAGCAGTAGTAACACAAAATAATTCTTCTTTTCTACCAAAAGAATAACGTCTTTAAACACATCTCACTTCAAAAAATGCAGTTAGAAATTGTTGTGACTTTCTGTATAGGCAATCTACCTTGACTTGAGGCAAATCAATCAATAATTTAATTTCTTTATTAGAACAATAATTTTATTTATTTTATTACATTGCTATTTCATAATAATAACTAACATAGTAGATATAATAACAGATACAAACTTATGAATTAGTTACATACATGTAGTAATAATAATTATATAATTCCACTTGGTGTATTACAATTCATAATTACGCAAATTAGCGGCCATACCCCAGGCCCCATGTGTAGCTCCATCCATTTCAGTAGCCACATCATTGCTCTCCAATAATCTATGACGAGAGCCTCCAATTCGTGCTCCACACTCATTGCACGTCGCTTCCTCCATAGCTCCCCCACATTCACCAATAGCATAAACGTGCCCATTGGGACACTTGTACCAATGACCTTTACTAAAACCCATAGCTTGCAAAATTTCTCTTCTTTCCTGATCTGAAATAGCAAGTCCCGACTTCATAATATCGTTCAATTCTCTCAAACAATCCTTCAACAAATCGTTAATCTCGTTTGTAAATTTCTGACAAGAAAAAAGTTGTTTTTCTATTGTGCTAATCAATGATTTAGCAGTTTCATTGTTGGCTTTATAATGTGGAAATTGTGAAGTTTTTTGAACGCAACTAAAATCGACAATTCGGGATAATCTGTTGATTTCGTAATTCAAATCGCTTATTTCTTGATTTGTTATGTCCACGTCTCGCATTAAAACTCCCACAATGAGAGTCACTTGAGGGAAAAAAATTTCATGGATTGTTTCCACAACAACTTTCTCGTTGCAGCAGATGTTAGCAATGTGTTCCGTTATTTGTAGCTTTGCCATAAGGGACTGAACATCGAAAATGTTTAAATGTTGTCTCTTGCCTTTGTTAGATTGTTGAATTCGTGACCTAAAGGTTCTTAACACGTCTGTAATTGGTGGGTAGTCTGAAAATAGAATTTCAATTTAAACATCGTTTGATTATTATTCGTCGCGTCATACTTACACATTTTTAATATTCTACATTTGGTTTCCAAGACTTGCAAACTGGTTTTGATTTTGTCCGTTTTTTCTCTTATTTCTGCAGGACTCCCATTTGCTTTAAATTTCACTTGAGCCACATCTTTAATTGCCATTTTAATGTAATCTTGGTATCTCTGAGTGGTTTTAATAGCAGTTTTGCACATTGGGCATAATTTGTAACTAATTTGAAACTCATTCTGTCTGAGCCAATGTTCCATGCCTTCATTTTCAACAATATGTTTGCAGTCTTTTAATAAAACATATCTGGCATCTTCACTTTCCGTTCCAAAGAACACTTCAAGCAATTCCTCCTTATCGCACACCAAACACTTTGGTGGACATGGATCTCCACAAAAGCCAATGCATAAATGCCCACACTTGAGCACCTTCTTGCATGGTTCCGTGCATGGGGGCACGTTGCAAGGTTCCCCACACAGCTTGGTGCACCACTGGTGGCGACAATTTCTTAAACATGGTTCCTTACAAGGAGTACAAACTTCTCCGCATTTCTTTTTGCAAATGCTATGTCCACAAGTATAGCTGCAGACTCGTCTGCAAGGTCTACAGGCTTGTCTACAGGGAATATCGCAAAGGTGGTCGCACACCAACGGAGCCCCACATTTTTCCGAGCATCTTTTGTGGATGCGGCCTTGGAAGCACTCACCACAAGAACCGGAACACAAATGGCCACATTTTAGTTCTCGATTGCAGGGTGCGTTGCAATATTGTATAAGCCGTTTGGGGTCGACGGAAGATGTGACCATGTGGCACTCCATTCTAGTCACGAGGTGGCCACATTCGGCTTGTATACCAGAACAGTCGACCAAAACTGAGCAAGCGGTGGTACATGGCTCGTTACACTTCTTGGTGCAAGGATGGCCGCAAGGCAGGATCAAGGGGCAGTCTTTGTTGCAGTACTTGCGATCAGGCTTTTCGCAACATTTCACTTTGACTGGGTGGTTACACACGGGATGTATTTTGGACACCTAGACAAAAAAGATTATGATTAAAATAAAATAACTGACATTATTGAAATGGCCGTTTTTACTGATTTTGTTTTTAAAAGTACAAATTATTTTTTTCTACATGGTACCACTGTTATGTCTATGGCATTATAAATGGCAAATAGAAAACTTGACACCAAACATTTTTTGGTTTAACTATTTGCTTTCAAAAAAGATTAGAAGTGATATGTGATGTGATCGTTTTTTAATAAGAATAAAACAATCTAAATACTGAGTTGAAAAAAATTATTACAAACGTTTTTTTAAAAATAAGCTTTTAATAAAAAAACGTACCAAAAAATACAAATTATTTTTATTTTTTGTATACGCTTCCGAAAACAGCTGTTTTAGACTCATTTGAGTACCTAAAATGAGTCTTTTCCAGACTCAATAAAAACCGTACGTAAAAATAATTTTTCCCGACGAAAAACTCAATTAATTTGCTTACTATGGTGGCGAAATTTTTTTAATTAATAAAAGGTGTGAATTCGTTTTTTGACAGCTTCACCAAAAAAATGTTTTTTGGATACGCTCTCGAAAACAGCTGTTTTAGAGACTCATTTGAGTCCCTAAAATGAGTCTTTTCCGGACTCAATAAAATAGTACGTAAAATGGTTACTTTAGGTACTCAGTCCCCAAAAACAGATTTTCCGGACTAAAAAATAAATTTGGTTACTATGGTGGCGATTTTTTTTAATTAGTAATAGGTGTGAATTCGTGTTTTGGGAGCTTTAATAAAAAGTGTTTTTTTTTTGAACACGTACCTAAAACGTTTTTGCGGACTCATCTGTTATTCCAGACTCGGTTTCACCTCGTCCGGAAACAGCAAAGATTCGTCCGCAAAAACTGTGTTTTAGGTATTTGTAACAAAATAGCTATTTATGTATCAAGTACGCAAAATAGTCTTTAATGGGAGGAGTCACCTAAAACCTTTTGCGTACATACGTGGTGCATACAAAAATTTTTTGTTAAAGGTCCCAAAACACGAATTCACACCTCTTACTAATTAAAAAAATTTCGTTACCATAGTAACCAATTTTATTTTAGGGACTGAGTCCCTAAAATAATCATTTTGCGTACTATTTTATTGAGTCCGGAAAAAACTCATTTTGGGGTCTCAAATAAGTCCACAAAATAGCTATTTTTGACAACGTATACAAAAATAACTATTGTAACACGTTGTACCTAAAATGTTTTTGCATACTCATCTGCTAAAAGATTAGAAACAGCAACGATTCGTGTGCAAAAACTGTATTTTAGGCACTTGTAACAAAAATAACGTTTTTTCTAGCTGAGAACATTTTGCTTACAGCTTGTTTTTAAAATTTATAAAAGCTTTGGGAGTGGTTATATACGCATATTGTACAATTATTTTGCTTAGTTGACAACCCTCAAAGCTTTTATAAATTTTAAAAACTTATGTTACATATTTATTATTAGTGTTACATATTTATTATTATTGTTATATATTTATTATTATTATTATTACTATTCATTATTTAGCGTTAGGATTTATTATTTGTCAGTTACTAATTATTACGTTTTACTATTTTCTAGAACATTTTCTGACTCACTGGTTTTTGTTAATTCGTTACCCAACTTTTGTAAATCTCTTTGTCTGTACCTTGGCAGCAATTAGTCATCTAATCCGATATATTTTTTGTCAATGATGATTCGTACAACTTCTTACACAACTTATGTGTCGAGAAGCCAGTTCGGCATTAGATCTTGTACTCGTCGGGTGAACGAACAATAAAATTTATATACAAGATATTGTTTTATTTGTTCAATCCGGAACACTTAATAAGCTGTAAGCAAAAATCTTCTTTGATCTTCTTTACTTTTTGGTACGTTTTTTAATAAATGCTTATTTTTAAAAAAACATTTTTTTTTTCACTTTTTTGTCTTTACTTATTATTTTGTGGGATATGTAGGTACTTTAAATTTCAAACACAAACAAAATTTTATTTATTTTTTTCAAGTAGTTATGTTGTCAACCCTTAATATCTTCGTTCCTGTAGAAGATAAAGGGTTGGTTTTACCCTTAAAAACACCAACAATAACCTGTAGAATTTTTTATGCTTCATTGAATGCAGTTGGTACCATCTTTGTATTTCAATTAGGTGCCAAGATACTGATAATTGTTAATTGTTGATAAATTATTAAATAAAGTAAATATTATTGCATTGTCACGGGGATTATTATTATTATTTGACGCTCAAAATTTAGTGCAGACAGTCAGATTAGCAGACAGCATCCTAAGAATCCTAAGTTAAATAAACGCTTATAAAAAGACAGTTGGGGAGACTAAGACCTAGCAGAAATAAGTCTATCCAGAATATAGACATTTACGGTATTATTTTCTTCTCCATTTGCGAAACTAGATGTTATCTTATCTGTTAAATGCTGTGCATTGGTTTCCATCTAAAATATAATATGCTTTTGAACAATTGCAAAAATTCAACAGATTAGATCAAAAGCCAAAACGGAACGCAGTGTTCTGATTTGAATAAATGGAGTATCCAAATTTCTAGATTCCGACGACAAAGTTTTACGCAGGAAACATAGTTATCGAGAACATCGAAGAAAACTACTCATTCAGAAAAAAGTCTCGTGGCTTATGCAAGTTAAAAACGACCCTTTCGTGTATTTATAACAATTAATACCTTTATCTGGCAAACTTGACACGGTTCGTTGCATCTGCGCTTACAAGGATGACCACATTTTTGTACTTTAGAACAAGGCTTTTCACAGTCGATATCATCCACATCGTCACAGCACCGGACATCGTAATAGTGGTTACAAAGAGTTCGCTTTTTTCTTACAGTAACTGTACAAACGTCGCAGTCTTGGTAACACATTTTCTTGCATTTATGATCCTCATCATTGACGGTACAACGTTTCATATATCGAGTGCAAGGTTTCTTACACTTGTACTAAAATATAGCAGTGTTAAATATAAAGTTTTAATAAAAAAAAGCTTTACCTCTAAATGGTCAGGATCTTTGCGGATATGGCAAAACAATTCACATGCATGACCGCAAGGTTGAACTTGGACATCGCAAATATGTGGACATCTGAAAGTTACCGGATCGGAAAAGCAAGGTTTATCAGTTATGTGACCACAAGGCAATTCAGTTGAAACCAAAATTTCGCATTTGTAGGCTTCGGGATCGATGTGACATTGGATACTAGCATCATGACCGCAAGCTAGAGTTCTGTGTACTAGGTAATTGCAGGGAGCACATTCTTCGAAACACATTTTCTTGCAGATGTGTGTTGGGTCTTTATTGCACAAATTTCTGAAAAGTAGTGTAATTTTTAAAGAAAAAATTATGAAACCAAATCCCAAAACACCAAAGCTTTTAGCCAAGAAAATACAGGGTGCGCCACAGCTCGCGCCCCAGAGAAAAATGTCATATTAGGTAAGATACCAGCAACATGAAAAAAATGTTAAAAAAAATTATCTATAAAAATTTCGAAGTTATGAGGATTTAAAGTTTGTACTTTCTATTTATTTCTGTTGGAAAAATAATTTTCCAAGTTTTTTTGCTATAGGCTAAGAGGTAACGAGAAAGCTGTATCCTAAATTGTAACTCTGTTCAATGTTATTTGTGGCTTTTATTGTCAAAATTTTTGTTCCTTTACTAAATAATTGTAAAAAAAACATATACAAGATCATCAGTATCCTTAAATAGATATAAAAAATGTCAAATGGCAAAATTTTTTGACAGATAGAATTTTTTAAACATTTTTTTCATGTTCCTGGTATCTTACCTTACTTAAAAAAAATTCTCTAAGGCGTGAGTTCTGGCGCAGCCTGTATAAATTTTGCTTATGATACAACCGATATATCAATCTTATTCAGAAGTAAACTCTTTAAATTTAAAATTAACTAAAACAACAATTTTTATGATACGATCGATTTTGCGGCAAATGCTTAATGCATAATAATAAAATGAAAAATCAATGGAAATTCATTCAAAATATCAAAACTCAAAAAACACTTACTTTTTGCATGCTGCTTGACATTTATAAATCATATGGTTTCTATCCCGAATATGGCACAATGAGTTGCAGTTGTGACCACACTTCAGCTCTGCACCACACTTTTTACTACAACCACCTTCAGAAACCGAATAGAAATCACTCTCAGATTTCACAAAAGTGACTTGATCCTGGTGAATTTGACACCTGAGAGGTAATTCATTACCAAGAGCCTTTTGTTGTTCAAGACTGGCTTTTATTTTGCGCCAGAGCTAAAAAAATTAAAATAAAATTTTCATTACGACTATAAGCAGTATCCATACTTTATTTTCAAAACACAATTGAGTCATATTTCCCATTATGTAAAGACCATTTCTGGCTCTCGAAAGAGCTACGCAGACTCTGTTTTCGATTTTTAGGAATCCAATTTTATTTTCGTTGTTATTTCGAACTAATGAAAGAAGAATTATATCCGATTCTTCTCCTTGATAATTATCCAAAACGGCGATTCTGACGTCTTTCAATAAATCTTTGTGCACTTTTTTTTCTTTTTGGAACGCAAAAAACTGGCCCAAATAGGCAGCCAGAATCGTGATATTCGCAGGATTGTAACCATTCAAAATTAAATGTCTTGCTAAATAAATGAAAAACGAAACTTCGTGTAGGTTGGTTTTGCTCGAACCATCGCATTGCTCCTCAGGATGCGTATGATCGATGAAAAATACACAATTGTCGATTCCAGATATTTTGGGTCTGTTGTACACCGAGGGATGATCTTCCAAAAAATCATAAATTGTAGGACGGATCAGAGACGAAATTTCTGGTCGCATGCGGTGTTGCACGTTAAGGGTGTAGCAGTGAATATTGTTTCTAATCATTCTTTCGAACAAACTGATTCCCAAATGATACTGCTTTTCCATGCTATAATTAGCCGTATTTGGTTTTAGCTGTTTATGGTCTCCGATCAAAATCAAATGTTGGCAGTGTTTTGTAATAGAAGTCACAATGTGGGCTTCTAAAACTTCGGCTGCTTCCTCTACAATAACAATAGGACTTTTCAACGTTTGTAAGGACGATCTTAAACGTGCAGCACTAGTAGTTGTCATTCCCACTACTAACGCTTTTTTCATCACTTGAACATCTTCCATTTCTCTCATTACTTCATATTCTTTATAAATCGTCGGAAAATCCTCACAAACCATCTTCAAAACATCTGATTCACGCTGTTTATGTAAATTTAGCCAATAAAAATATAACTTCCATCTGTCTTCAAATCCCATATTGTAGGGATTTAGTAAATCTGCATTTTGTGGTGGCTCGATTTCACCTTGGAGATTTCTCCAATCAACCAATTGGTGCTGTAAGAAGCGTTAGTTTTTCAACATAAAAAAATACAAATACACACCTTGACGTATTCATATTTCTGTCGCAAATCTTGCATTTGGAAATGTAGTTCTTCTTCTCTTATAAGTTCTTGGAATGATGGATTTTGTATCTGTCTTAGTTTAAATAACTTGTCTTCATACTGTCGCAAATGATTACGCATTGACTCCAAAGTAATTATATAATCATCTTTATTTGATACGACAGAAACATCAAATACTGAATCAAGAATTGTATGAATGTGTTCATTAAAGACGTCTCCAATGTCCTCAACATCGTCGTTGATGCCAATTCTGTTCATTTCTTCTTGGGCCTAAAAAAACTTTCCGTCAGCCTCCTATTTTTTGTTATCAAGGTTACAAATACTATCTATCGAGTGAAAAAAAATATATATAATTTGTTGACACAAAATTCCCAAAAATGTATTATTAAAATATTCAGTTAAAACATTTTTTGTTAAAAAAAAACACAAACATCAAAAACACGAGTATTTATCGTTAAGTATATCGCAACATGTCACATGGTTTTTGAAAATTTGTTAGACATATCTGATTCAGATAATATGAACTACTTGGGTAGGTACCTCTTCTAGGCTTCAAACTGTTTTTTTTATTTTATAAAAAGGAACAAGGCTAAATGTTGTGATTTATAATAGGTACCTACATAATAATCTTTTTTAAAGATATTTATTTTGTGTCTAATTACATTTACTGATGTTTTAAGTTTAAAGTATTTATTTGAAGTCCTAGGACACTCTGTGAAATCTAAAGGACTGGAAAAAAAGACATATTCTGAGCTTATTTTTGAAATCTATATCGTTATTTGTTTCCTAAAGTCTAAATTGAAATAAAAATATCAAACTAGGTACCCTCCAAAAAAATCAGTACAACTCATAAAACCATATTAAAACCATTTTTTCTGTGAAATAAATAATAAAACGGTTCAAAGACACTTATTATTGCCAGGACAGACTATTTTACATCATTATTTTGTTATAAAATATCATCTTTGTAAGTAATGTCAGAGGTTTTAATAAGTTTCAGAGATTTTTGAAACTTCCCTTACCTGCAAAACCTGTAAATTATCAATTATATTGGACAAATCTTGCCCGTAATTTGCTCCTTCCATCAACCAATGCACCACTTGTTGATTGGACGCACGTTGAAACCAAGTTTCTGGAAAATCCGGTATTACATCGGCAAAAGTACGAATTGACAAAACCCTGTTATAATATTCAATTTGATTTAAATGTTCAGTTATTTGTTTTATTTCTCGTAAACAACGTTGTACTTCAAAACGTTGTTGTGCAACAGAGCTATCTCTCTGAGTCTTATTTCTCAAATTGTATGCATCCAATTTTTCGTTTTGAGACCGTCCACCAACTCGAATAATCTCCCTTGTAAATGGTAGTAAACCTTCCAAAAATTGGTCAAGTGCATGATTCGTGAAACAAATCACCAGCATAGGTGTATAATTATACCAACATTCGGTATTTTCCAATTGTGTTTGAGCTATTTTTAGTCCAAGATAAGTTTTTCCTGTTCCAGGAGGTCCTTGAATAACGGCTATTTCCTGAGTGATTGCCGCTTTAAATGCCACCATTTGGGAATCGTTTAAACCGTAGAAGTCTTCGTCAGGCCACTCTGACAAGGGGTTAAATGTATGGTCTTCAATTTCTAACTTGCAGTTGGGGGCTGTTAAATATGCAGGGGGTTGCACGGAAGGATTAACCCGTATTATGTACCTCTCCATCGGAAACATCTCTTCAGTCATGTTCTTCAAAACTGTCAGGACGTGAAAATAAGGCTCGAAATACACGCTGCATTCAACCATTAAGTAAGCAGCGCTAAAATCAACCTTGATTTTGTTGTCAAAAGCGACAATTACTTGGCCGTTTTCCAAGTCTTCAATTTTTCTTTGGGCCACTCTTCCAAAAATCAAAGTTTGAAAGTTGTCTTTTGTGAAGCACAGCAATGAACCAAAGATGAATCGCTTAGATTGCTCAAAATTGATCTTCTTTTTCTTCTTAGACCTGAACTGAATTCGGAGACAATAAAATTCGTTTATGGTTTCCGTTTTCAGGAAGTAGACATCTTTGTGAATTTTTACGTTTTCGATTTCATTCGATGGTGTTGACGATCGATAGTTATTAATCCCATCTCTTAAAGGGCCCACAAAGTCTTCACGTAGAAGCCTAAACTGAACGTCTAAATAGTGGTTTACGTTCTGATAAGGGCCTTTAACGATGTTTTCCCGGAGGAAGCCTCGTCCTCCTACAATTTCAGCTGGAGTTGGATAAACACTGATTTGGCGGAAGTCGTCTGGCGGTTGATTAGTGTCCACTGCTTCATCTTGCTTCAATTTCTCTTTTTCTTCGCTTTCTTTAAGAGTTTTGATTACTTGTAACATTTTTTCCACCTTACTTTTAATTTCATCTGACACCTCCGTTTGTTGTTCTTGTTCGATGATTGGTGCATAAATTTTAATTGCATTAAGCAAAACTGGTAAGTTTTTACAAGCAAAAGTTGGTGTCGTGTTTAACAAATCTTCACAAATATGCGTCAAATTCGACCAAAATTCGCCAGGATCTTTCCAGAAGAACGAGCTTGTTCGACGCTGAAATTTGTCCTGTGTAGGCAAACAAGCAATAAATGTTTTTATTTTATTGGTGAATTTTTCATTAAGAGTTGAGTGAAGGACACTGTATTTTGTTTCATCAAATGAAGAAGAGCATACTTTTCTAAGAATTGCTATTAAAAGAATAATAACGTCATTGCTAACTTCTTTTTCCAATAAACGTAAAAGACCTTCACGTTCTTTCATTAATGCCAATATTATCCTCTCGGGATCATTTTTTAATAAATCTTCTAAGAATCTGAATCCCATTGATTTTATTTGTTTTCCCTCAAATCTTCTAGGTTGATTAGTTTTTGAGCCAGTTTCTTTGCTCCGATTGCCGAAGAAGCTAGACGTGCCAGTATCTGAAACAAAACAACTCACTTTACTTTCTGCAATAACTAATTGATGAATTTATTTAACAGGTTTCGTTTTTATTGTTAAAAATTGAAACAGGTGAATACCTAATTTTAAGGCAAAAGTTTTCCTATAAACATGTATCGAAAGATACTATGTAAGGGTGAAAAAATGTGAATTTACACAATAAAATTATCAAAGGTTGTTTGTGAATCGTTTTCTTAGAGACGGTTACTAGTTTACGTTGTTAAGCACATTTTCTCACGTTGTAATTGATCCAGACATTTCACTATTTCTTGTTACCTAGATAACTTTAAAATTTCAGCGTACTATAATGGCCAAATTACGCACGCTGCAGCGTGTTTTAATTTTAATTTATGATGCAGGTATAATAAAAAAAATTATTTAAACTCTGCCTAATCGTATTGTTGATAGGTATCTATACCATTAGGCATAGGTATAATAATAATACCAATAAATTTCAAATAATTTTATTAATAATGTAACAAAGAAAAATTTATTAAAATACTACATTAATTATTACTATTTATTAATAATACTGATGCTCAGTGTGAATTTAGTTTCATCGGACATTAATCTCAATGTTTTGGGGCGGTATAGTTCGAAAATTATTTTCTAGTTTTTAGATAATTTACACAATTTTTGCACATGTTCTGAATTATTTTTTTTACCTTCCTCCTGAGTAAGTCTACTTATCACAGCAGGTGAACTTTGTGGGATGGTGTTATTGTGTTTTTGAATATTTTGTTTAAGATCAGCCTAGATGAGTTCTATGCATGGACCTCCATGGTTCTATGGTATCAACAATACCTATAGAAATAAGGAGGAAGCCGTAAAATTTCAAACATACGACTGATTTTATAGCTACTTCGTCATTAGCATGTTTCATTTGAAAATTTTGATTTTCTACTAAAATCAACAATTGCTTATTTGAAGTGAAAAATAACAATCTCAGGGATAAAATAAAAAGACCAAAGTTGGACTAGTTTGGGTTTAATTAAACCATCTTCACCAAAAAAGTGTTAAAATATTACAAATTACATGATAAAAATTAAAATAAAAGTTAAAAATGGTTAGAAGAGGTAAAAGAGCAGCGTACTGAAGGAACTGCTACCCTGTTTTGATCACTAGTGTTCAATGTTAAAATCATCATCTTTTTGATCATGGGATCATGACTTTACAGTGAGAAAATCATAAGGTCACTCATCCAGTTAACTTTGCAAAGTTAACTGGATGAGTGACCTTAAGAAAATCAGCAAAGTAACTGACCTCTGGTGGCAGACAAGAAACTATCCAAATGGGGAAAACATATTTTGACAATATCAGTTTTCCATTTTTGTCAATTTGACAAGTCAATGTAAATATGAGTACTTACAAGCATTTTTGCTTCGTATTTCATTGCAAAGACTATGTGGGAGGGTCTATTTCGATACATTACTTTCTAAAATGGAGATTTCAACTTATGTCATTATTATTTTAAACAAAAAAATTGTCCTACAAAACGTTAGGTGACAGATTAAATGAAACTTTTAAGTTGTCACAAAATTCCGCCAAAAAGTCGCCGCGCCGTCGTCTAAGCTACGCGCCAAAATTAGGAAAAGAGACATCTGGCACATTAACTGTAAACTATTCAAATGGGGAAAACATTGATGTTTTAGTACTATCTATTGGCAGCTGATTTTCTCCTATTGGCTTTTTATTTAACGTTTCACAGGCATACACTATATTTCAGTAGATAGTAGAATTCTCAAGGTCACAATTTACGAGTGTACTTAACTTTTATGCACAACGAAGTAATCTTGACAAATACACAGATCACTTTTGACAGCATTTTGACATTTATTGACAATCTACGAACAGTGAGTGTTTTAATTAGTAAATCTTGAGTTTATTTATTAAAATTGATTTTAATGTGCTCGTTAACGGAAACTAAAGGGAGTACAATACATCTAATTCGATTTGGATATTTAAAACAACCCAAAACTGCTGAACGTTCATATTGCCGAACGGAGTGAGGCAAATGGATGCAGCTGAGCCACATAAACTCACTTTTACTCCAAATAACATACTATTTTATCTGCAAACGATTCAGATGGAGAGAAAAGAGCAACACACCAATAATAATCAAGTAAATCACCTCAATAATCAGGACGCTTTGCAATAAAATCATAACAAACGTCACGCGTCAGTTTCGAAAGTGTTGATTGATTTAACTGGTGTAGTTTATAGTGCAAAATGTCGAATGCTGATAATCTACCTTGTACCTCTCCAGAAAATTCTGAAAAAGCGAAAGAGACAACAGTAGTAAGTGTCAAGTAAAAGTGGAAACGCCTAGGCGTAAAAACAGTGTTTTTACTCCATGTCTGAAAAGTAAAACTTTTACCTTTGTCATTTAGTCATAAAAGTGGTCACCTTTGTGACGTTTGCGGATAAACGTATTTATACTCTATTTCAGTTGGTAGTAGAATTTGATAAACAGGGTTTTTAGCGGTTTTACCAAAGTTGTGTTGACTCTCGTAGCCATGATTTTCTATTTCACTTTTTAAAGATGGCAGTGCTGTTTTTTCTGTCACATTGAAATTAAAGGTTATGTACGACGGTGTTGGGGTTTAATAAAGTTTTAAGGCACAATTGCGTGCTTTATTCAGAACATTCAAGTAATAAAAAACAATTTAAGCCGAAGCTTGTTTTTGGATGAAACATCAGTGAATAACTTAGTTATTATCTCCGATAAAAAAGTGTCGATCAAGTTAAAAGTTGGAACACCAAACCCAAGTCCCAGAATTTTCTTCAAAACGTTGAACGAACCTCTGATATGAAAGATGTGTAACAAGAAAAGCATATTCTTGCTAGAATCACGTCCATGGTGTTTGTGGCAGTTATTAATTTACAAATAAAATTTTTGAATGTTGCACAAAAGTTTGGTTCTTCTTAATAAATCAAAGATCGTTATTGATAATAACAAACATTTTAGCCACACCCATAGTTTTAATTAACAATTGTGGCGCAGTGGTTAAGTGGATTGACTAAAAATCGGAAAACCCTCCAAATTTTCCGTAGATATTTGACTTATACTGGACAACAAGATTGTTTTATTACCTTTTGGTAAATTTCAAAGGTTTGTTAAGCACTAATAGTTAACAATCACAAATTTAGTTTTGTGCTTCAGTGATAGGAGTTTGTGATACAACGTGTTTTGGTGTTGGTATGTTGGAGGATTAGCATAATTCTTTCTTGTGACGATAGTTCTGCATCATCAAATCATTTAAAAGAAATTTTTGCTCCTATGAATAAGGTCACAAGCAGGCCTATCTAGGGCGAAGCAAACACAAATTGATCGTTTCTTTGGTTTTGAACAAGAATGACTCTTGTTGGATACAATTTCCACATCCTACTGATTTTGCCTGCAGATGCTTCTATCTGAGTTGATTATGTCTGATAGATTTGTAATTACCTATTATGAGTAAATTTAAAATAAAAGTATTTTTCTTATACCTTTAAGCATTCGCCACATAAACAATCACTTTTACTCCTAATAACATAATCTACTATTTCGGATCCAAAGATAACTCGATTACAAATTATCTTCATGATCTCTCGATGTAAAAAGTTTTTGCCTCGGTTTTTACTACCTATAGCATACCTAACTATAGTCATCCGTAATTCTGCTTACCTGTAAAGTTTCTCCAATTATGAATCGCCCCTGTTGGAGCTTCACGTTTTCGCTTTGATTCTTCTGGATTCATAGTGATAGCATATACAAAAAAAACAGGATAACTCCTACTGAGTATAGATGTCCAAATGTCGCTTGATTTAAACTAGGAGAAAATTTTTTGTGGAAAACCCATTCCACCACTACACCTGCCAAGTTTCTAAAACTATTAACACTATTATGATTGTCACTAAAACTGTGCAAATAAGCTCAACCAGACATAAAAAGCTCACTATCTATTGCAACACACCAATTTATGAAAGCACTAATGACGATGTGTTGCGAATTGCATAAAATGTACATACTTTCATTCAAACTTTCTTAACCAACCGTTTATTTATATCTACTTCAGGAAACGATTACCCAACAAAAAATAAAACAAGAGACACAAATAACTTATTTTAAAACTTTTCAACTAAATTTCAACAGAATTCTGTTTAAATACGTCTTCACATAGAATGTTTAATAATTTTTGCACATACATGACACGTAACATGCTATTTCGGATGCACTTTGATAAAAATGTCAAGACTAACTTCATATATTTAGGTAAATCCCCGAAAACGCCTTTCATACCAACTTAACAAAAATTAGGTTAGTGTACTTGGATTATGGGGTTGCGTTTGTTTTATTGCTATAATCCATTTCATTTAAATTGGCATAACAGTAGGCCATGATTGGGTAAACTGCGCTTTAAATGTGAAAAAGGCTTTACATATTAAGGAACTAAATTTGTCACTAAAAAAAGTGAGGTTAAGATAGTTAAAATTTTATTTTTCAAGAACCCTCTTTCAAAGGTTTTCAGAGAGAGTTTTTCTCCATAAAAAGTTTCATCCCTTTGTAGGTGTAGTTTTGACACCAAAAACATACACTATTTGCTTTGTAGAAAATACCGACTTTCGTTGATAATTATAGTGGCTTCCAGGAATTTTAAAAGACGTTTTATTCACACCGGAGATGAAGCACAATTTATTTTCCGTAAAAGTTGCAGCCAAAAGGGGTTTGGATTTTGTCATTAAAAGTATAGTACAAAATTGTTAATTTTTAAACAATGGTAAAGTTGTTGCGATCGGAGTGGAAAAAGGAAATCTGTACAAAATGAAGCTTCGCGTACTGAAGCCTGAAAAATCGTGTTTTGTCGTGGATAAAATAATTTGGCTTAATTCAAATTGGTATATTTGATTCTATTAACCTAAAATGCCTAAAACAGGAACAAAAAGAAATTGATTATGTTTTCAAACATACCTTAGCGTGTACTTTAAATCTGGGGTTCTGCAGAGAACTACTTTTAATTATAATTTGAAAAAATAGTAGGAATAACGAACAACCAACGAAAACAGTGAAAAAACGAATACAAATGTCAGTCATGTCAGTTAAATAAACCATGTAGGTAAGTGATCAAAGAAAAACAAAAACCCCATCAGCTGTTATATCAGGGCCATGCACAGGGCTACAAACTTAAATACGAAATTCCATAGCCACCTGTACGGGCTATTAGAGGTGACGTCACAGACGCGACTGTACTGAAGCTAAACATACAGTGTTGCCAGTTGTGATACTAGAGTACCAAATTGATACTAGATTTTTTTTACTAGATATTTATATTTACTTGTAAACAAATAATAATTTATATTCTCAGCCAAATACACATTATGTGAATGTTAATATATTTTATTTTCTTTTGTTTTGGTACGACCTATCCACTCCTGTCGTTTGCAACATTCTGGCAATGCTGTAAACATATTTTTGACGTACACAGAAAGTGTGGTTAGAACAGATTAAATTACAGAAATGTTGACTACAATTGTTAAAACCATTACGAAACGACACACATTTTTCATAGCAACTATTTCCTTAGAAACAATCTCCCTACACGTCCAGGATTCAAGAAATAAACTTTTATTTGTTTAGCTTCAAAGGTACAGTCACGTACCTTGCTGACGTCACACTAATAGCGCGTATTATGCCAATTTCAATGAAATATACTTTACTAATTTTTGTAAATATCTTGTCGTTCTCTGAAATATTTATCAAAAAAACAGCTCGAGATCCTTTAAAACGTGGATTTTCAAATTTTAATTTCGATACAAATAAACACCGAAGATATAAATTTTCACTCATTTCAAAGCTTTAATATTACATTAACCTACTTTTAATACTTTTCTTTTTAAATGACAGTAGCAACATTTCTACTAAAACCTACTGACGAGGGAGAAATAAATAATTTAGACCAGGTTTAAAATATTAATTTTAACTCTTATATTTAATTAGTTACAGCACAAACATCTGGAGGACAGGCACTATGTAAAAACTGTTAATCCAATTCTAAAGATATTTTATAATAATTAGTTTTGTAATAATAAATAACATCTATTAAAAATTTAAAACTAACAGCATCCAGCATAACAGAATCATTAAAATCACAAGACCATAAGTTATTTATATAATTTCATACAGAATCATCTGAAATATAAAATATTTAGGCATTGTGGGTCAAATAATAAACAAAATTACCGTGATACCACCACTTCGTCTTCTTTGGATTTTTATTGCAAGTTTTTACATAGAAAGCATTATCGGGAGGTCTTTGCTGTAAAAGAAGGTTTCAAAAGTTGTAATATTAAGTGAGGTCTCACCTTTTCTTTACAACTACTGAGCATAGAAACAATTGAAAGACAAACAGATTGAACAGACAATGCAGGAGACCAATCATCTGTTAAAATTGAAAGGCAAATATGTCCATTGCTGTATATATGCGGGTGAACTGGAATGTTATTTCCTACAAACGTTACCTAAAACGTAAAAAAGTAATACCACAAGTGTTTTACAAAAAAATCCATACTTCTGGTGAATCAAATGGATATTTGTTACTAAATTTAAACTGCAATTGAAAACGTTCTCCTTCGTACAAAGTACCCGCAGCCCCTTCCATATTAATGATCCAACTAGAAGTATAAACGTTGTTCATGTATTTAACATTATTGTTATTGGCAGTTTCTTGCTAACTTACTGCAATAAATTTTGCTCTGCCAGATCGAAGTCTACTTCAACTCCTGGTGGAGGTTCCTTCATCAGCGACATGAGCTCTTTTTGCAACCTTCTCTAAATTAAAAGATTTTTTATGAAGAGGTTAGAAAAACAATGCAATTTACTTACTTCAGACGGCGACAACCCTGCCATTTTGGAATTAACTTTTCATCATACCACGGGTCAGATTGGATGATTTTAACTGAACACAGAATAATCAACTTTAATTTAGCCTCAAATAAATAGCCAAAAACTTACTTTTGACGTTTAAAACAATCGACCAAATTACCTACTGTCCTCCAATACTTCTCAATTCACGAACAATGGATAGATAACCATGGTTCTGAAAAGTAAATAATTCTATTATTCATTCCAAGCAGTGGCGGAGAGAGGACTTGGAAAATGGGAGAGTACACCAGCAAGAATATTTTATTTCAACGTTACGATAAACTATATGACTAACAGTTTAATTACATAAATCCTGTTTTCTTAAAAAAAGAAGACAAAACAAACTATGATTTTTTTATCACAAAAATTTACAAATGGATAAAGTTGTCCCACCATTTTTATTCCTACGTTACCAAAAATTAAATATCGTTTCGTAATAGTAATCTTCTAAAATTCTCTGTAAAAAGAAAGAAATACACTGGCGGACACGGAATTTTGGACATCAAATTTATGTCAGTTCAAAAAATGTCAATGAAAGACACGCTTATTCATTGTCCTTATGATTCGACATTTGACACTAAAATTTGAAAGTTTTAGTTTAATTTATTTATAATTTATTTTTGGCCTCGATTTTCCGAAACAATAATGCCAGCAATATGTGTTTTTATATAAGTTCAATAAACTATTTTGATTTGTTGTCATTTTTTTCTCTATAGCTATCAGGATAAAAATTACAAAAACAGAAAGTGAGGTTAGTTGCTTAAGGCCCGTTTTACTTTTTTATGACAGTCGAATGACAAATCGTCCAAAATTCCGTGTCCACCAATACAGGATGCGCCAGAACTCGCGCCCCAGTGAAAAATGCCATATAAGGTAAGATACCAGGAACATGGAAAAAATGTTAAAAAAATTTTATCTATAAAAATTATGAAGTTATGAGGGTTTAAAGTTTGCACTTTGACTATTTATTTCTGTTGGAAAAATAATTTTTCAAGTTTTTTTGTTATAGACTATTAAAAGAGGAAACAAGGAAGCTGTATCCTTAATTGTAGCTCTGTTCAATGTTATTTGTGGCTTTTATTGGCAAAATTTTTGTACCTACTAAATAATTGTAAAAAACATATACAAGATCATCAGTATCATTAAATCGGCATAAAAAAATGTCAAATGTCAAAAAATAAATGTCAAAATTTTTTTGACAGATAGAATTTTTTAAACATTTTTTTTATGTTCCTGGTATTATACCTTACTTGAAAATTTTCTCTGGGGCGCGAGTTCTGGCGCACTATGTGTAGTAATACGTAGGCACTATACTATACGTACAGATGTGCTTTTATGGACTCCCATGTCATTATTTAAGCCCGCGCACGCAACTAACTCTAATATACAATACTAATTTAATTTCAGCATGCAAGCAAATAAAGGTATAGTTGTGCACATTTGCACAGCCTCTTTTAGTTTAATCTAAACTCAAATTTATATGTATAAATAATAAATGTGTGTGTTGGTATAATGTTGATTTCATAGTACCTTGTGAATTTTTTATATTTTTCGCTGACATATTTTGGTATAAAATTCTAAATTGTTTTTGTCAAAGAGTAAAAATCAGTATTTTATTTATTTTATTCCCGAGGGAATAAAGTACTAGATTATTAATCAAAAACGTCACTTTTTTCCCTGCTGAGACGAAAGGGTTAAAAATGACAATCGATAAGCTATCACAAATAAATAAAAATAAAATAATAATTATCGGACATTGGACATCAAAAAAGAGGATTTTTTATGATAACATTTGCAAACATTTTTAACTTGCAAAGCTTTGGATAGAAAAAAAATATTTATTATGTCTGTCATTATTAAAATTATTTACAAAAAACAATACCATCTTGTTCACGTTTGTTTCATGTAAATGCCCCTTAAATTTCAATTTTTTGCACGCCTATGCTTTATAACCTTGAATTTGACGTTTTGCGTTCAGTGACTAACTTCACCATTATTGTGGTCGAAGGTTTTTTGATTTTTTGCAAAATGCGATGACGGTTGTTTAAAAAAAAAACGTTCACCTTATAGTCTTAAGTTAAGTAAATTAAATTATTTAACTACAAGATTGCTAATTGATTGTTGACTTGTAAAAATCGTTTATTTTTAAAATACTTTTGTTAAAAAGTACAAAAGAAAATAATGTAGTTAGAAACTGACTATTAGAAAATGAATTTCGGGGGTGTTATTCGAGTAAACAAGGCAGGGTTTTGTGTAATATCGGGTGCCCTTCTGATATTGTTTGTTTACGTATTTACTACAAGCTCTCGTAACAATGATTCTCCAAGTGTTAAAATAAACTTAAGACAGCTTTTGGAAGTAGCAATTAAAGCAGCAGAAAATGGGGGCAAAGAAGTGGTTGCTAATAAAGACAATTTACAAATTAAAAGCAAAGGATTAACAAAGGAGGGAATGCAGGACAGTGTGACTACAGCAGATTATTCATCGCACTGTGCTATTATGAAAACTTTAAAACATGCATATCCCACCCTCCATGTAATTTCAGAAGAGAAAAAGGTTCAGTGTGATGACAAGGAAATCGATTACTTGGAACATGTTACTATTCCTAAAAGTTTAGATGATCATTTGGAAGATATTAGAGATATTTCTGTATGGATTGATCCATTAGATGCAACATATGAATACACTGGTACTTTAGTAATTTTATTTTTTATCCCATTTTACTACAGTATTTTTATAGGGAAGCTGTATAACTATGTGACTACAATGGTTTGTGTTGCTGTAAAAGGAGAACCTATTATTGGTGTCATTCACAAACCTTTTAACACTGAATCTAAAACATTTTGGGCATGGGTTGGCAAGGCAAAATCTTTCAATTTGAAATATGCGGTACAACACTGCTATAACATAAAGATGTTACTGATTTTTTTCTTTTAGAGGAACAAAAGTAAAAATATAAAAGTAATAATCTCAATGTCTCACAGCGGTGAAATAAAGAAAGTTTTGAGTGAAAAAATGAAAAATATAGACGTAGTTGAAGCTGCTGGTGCCGGTATGAAATGACGTTATTATTAATTAGTATTTATATTTTTTCCACAGGCTATAAAGCTTTAGAAGTTGCTTTAGGCAATGTGGATGCGTATTTGCATATTACTGCTATAAAGAAATGGGATATTTGTGCAGGAAACGCTATAATTAAAGCAATGGGTGGTAAAATGACAACGAAATATAACGAATTAATAGATTATAAAGATGAAGACAGTGTTAAAAACGAGAAGGGTTTAGTAGCCACTATAACCAACCATGATATGTATATTGGAAAATTTTAAATGTACAAATTTGGGGTCAGAAGCAATGAACTTTCTTTAAATTGTTCTGTTACGTGTGATTACAAAAGAGATAATAAATTTTGTAATACTCAGAGTTTAAATTTTTTGGGGGAATTTGGCTTTTGCACTAGTTAGAATTGAAAACCCAACACGTGTGTGCGGCAAATTTACATTCCTAACCTTAAAATTTGAAATGAGTACATGTTTCAACTTAATAAAAATTGTGAAAACAAGACTCATTCCCAAGTGTAACAGCTTTATTAGTACGAGTTTTAGCGACAAATACCTGCTATACACAAATGTTGCTCTGTCGGGAACATTATCTGGCTTGGGAGACATTCTTGAACAGAATTACGAAATGCTAACAGACGATTTGGAAAATTGGAATAAAACAAGAACTCGGAACATGTCAGTATGTGGAATTTCAATTGGAGTTATTTGTCATTACTGGTACAATTACCTAGATCGTAAATTACCAGGTTATACTATAGGAACTGTGTGTAAGAAGATCATTATTGATCAAATCGTCTGCTCTCCTGTGTGCATTACAACACTATTTGTAACTTGTGCAATTTTGGAACGCAAGTCGACAAAAGAATTGGTCAAAGAAATCAAGGAAAAAGCGTGGATTTTATATGCGGCAGAATGGGCAGTCTGGCCCGCTGCTCAGTTTATAAACTTTTATTTCTTACCAACTAGGTTTAGAGTGTTGTATGACAATACCATTTCAGTAGGATATGATGTGTATACTTCTTATGTAAAACATAAAAAATCAGACAACGAAAACAGTTGACCTGTGTAAAATTAGGCAATAAAATTTTAGAATAAATAGGTTTACCTCGGTGCATCTTAACATTTTTATCTATGAAAATAATCCCTAGTAAGAGTTTGCAACATTTTTGTACATTTTGCATTTGCAATTATTTTTACACAAATATACACATAAATAGATATTAGAAACACTGTGTATTTATTACGTAACGTAATTCTACCGTTTCTGATAATTTCTTGTTTTTTTTTTTAATTTTCTAGGGACTTTTAATTTTTTCGTTGTTCAGAACTGGCGGCGGTTTCTTTTTAAACTTTTTTTATGGCGTCGTTGAAAGTTTACTCAAAAGAGAGGTTAACCTGTAAAAAGTTTAATTTTAACATAAAAAGTAAAAATGAGTGTCTTTCAAGACAACTCATTAAATGTTGATAATCCCCAAAGTCGCGAGGAGGATGAAGAACTCGAAGAACAGAGAAGACGTCAAGAAGAAGTAAAACTATTCATAAATTACAAATTTTGCTAAATCTAATGTTCTTGTAGTTAGCAGATTTATTAGCAGATGGTATTCACGCTTTTAATTATGACGATAGTACGATGAATTCATCAGTAACATCAGTTGAAGCAAATGAACCAAATTATCAAGGGTCTTTAAGGAATAAAAATGAATTTAAGTATGAGGCCAGTGGCAAAAGTTTGCTAAACGACGTCACGGACAATTCAGCTATTGAACAATGTTACAAGGATGCAAATCAGCAGGAGCAGTTAAAGATTTTATATGATGTTAGAGTCAGAGAAATTAATCGTCTTCAGAAAGAATTTGATAAATACAAAGAAGAGAAAATAAAGGAAATTGGAATACTTAAAAATAAAGCGACTCTAGCAGAGGCGGAAATCCGTCATTTACAAATATCTTTAACAAATTCTGAAAGTTTATTAGGTCTGTTAATTTTCATTTTTACAGGAAATAATAACAATCATGGGTTTTAGTTGAAAAAAATCAAATCATTAATAACTTGAAACAAGATTTGGTACTAAAAGACACGAATATCGAAAGTTTCAAGAAAATCTTGGAAGAAGTAAATATAATTGAAAGTTTGAATACACAAATTCTCTATGAAATATTTTTAGCAAAACTTGGAAATATGTACATACAAGTCGACAATCAACGAGTTGCAATTGAAATTAGCTGATAACAACCCATTTAGTACAGGTGCTCGAAAAGCCAACTCTGAGGAATTACAAAAAGCTCATCAAGATCAGATTATTAGTTTGGAAACTTTATATCAGGAACAATCAAAAAAAGTTCAAATTCTAGTAAGTTTTTTGGCGTTATGAATTTTTGTAAGTGCATATTTTTTTAGGAAAAGGAGAAAGTACGTTTAGAAGAGGATTTGAAAAAGCTAATGAAAAGCAAAAATGAAGTGGAGGAAGAAAATAATATGACTATTATGGCATTATCAAAAAAGCTCCAAAACGCGCAACAACAATGTAAAGATTTATTTGTTCTGGGCGAAGCTATAAAAAAAGAAAGTGATCATTTTAAAGGTTTAGCATTTTTATTTCTGTAATTAATCTGTCATTGTTTTTTTATTTGAATATTCTAGATAGACTGCAACAATTGGAAGTCAATAAATTAGATGTAACGGATGTTTTTCAAATCAAAAAAATGGTATGGTAATATTTCTTAATGAAACTCATACCAACTTTTTATTGATTTTAGGACAAAGAATCAATGATGGTTCATATGGAAAAATTAAGACGAATGTTGTTGGATAAAGATATTGAAATTAATACACTGAAAGCAAAATTAAAGTAATAATTACAAATTTGTTGTTTTCCTAATTAATAAAATTAATTTTAGATTTTATGATTCAGACCTCAATGAATTATTTGAATACAGACAGATCTTAAGTAAAATGTATTCATGTGAGGTTAAACCATGCAGTAAGTCTGAAAATTGTATTATTTACATTTCGATAATATAAGATTTTTAGGTGATAATGAACATGAGGAGCTAATAATTTTTATGCAAAGACAGTTACAGAGTTACCAACAGGCTGTTGAAGATCGTAACAATCAAATCATGAACCTGAATTTGGTAAATAAGGAACTGCAGGAAAAGATTGAAGAAATGATACATCAAACAAGAAGTGACATCCAGAACTTATCTCAAAAATACAGCTTGCCTCAGTTGGAAACAATGAGTAATGAATTAAAAAATGCAGAAGTTACAATTAATAGTTTAAGACAACAATTACTAGAAAAAGAGCAGACTGATAAATCTACACAAGTGTTAAAAGAAGAGTTGAAAAAAGCAGAAGAAGATAAACAAAAATTGTTGATTCAACTAGATGAGTTTAAAAAAATAATTGAGGAGAATGATAGAGTTAAGACTCAGATTCAAAAAATTTGTCTCAAGTTGGGACTTTCAGAAACTGATTTACTTGAGTCTGATGTTGATGTCCATGAAGTCAATACAGTGAAGTCAAAATATGGAAAAGTTCACGAACAGCTGCAACAGATTCTTGCTCATTTGGAAGCCACAAGTCCTAGAAGGACAAATTTTGGAATTATCCACAAAATGAAAAAAGACGTACAAAATTTTCTTAATTCGTTTCATCTTGATAAGCTTGAAAGTAAACAAATTCGAGAAAAATTGGAACTGTGGGATAATATGTTGAGTGATTTTATTGAGAGTTTCACACATGGCGGGGGTTCCAAGAATGATTTTGAATTAAAAGATACTATTGATGAACTTACAAATGCGAAAACTATGTTGGAGGGTGAAAAATTTGCTCTGGAATATGAGTTAAAACGTAGTAGTAATGAAATTGCCGAAATGAAAAAGGAAATCGCTTCATTGATTGAAAATAGAAACAATTTAATAAAAGAGTCTGTAGATAATGGACACACTATTCAAAAATTGAAAGATGAAATTCTTAATTACAAAAAATGCATGCAGATTATGGAACAAAACAAATTAGAAGTTGAAAGACAGTTGGATAACACTCAAAAGCAGCTAAATGACGCAAAACAGGAAACTATAGATCTACAAAAGGAAGCTAATGGAGCAAATGAAGATGTGGTCCGAAAAAAATTATTTAAAGAGTTAGAAGACGTTGAAAATGGCCTGGAACAAGATAAAAGAAACAGCGACAGTAGGTTTATGTTTTAATTTTATTATTGTTAACTAAAAAAATTGTAGTTATAACCAGCGAACTTTTTCAAAAATGTTTACAAGCACAGATCTTGAAAACGGAATTGTTATTACGTGAACAGTTACAAGAAGATAATTTAAAAAAAATGGAAAAAATTGAAGAGGAATACAAAAAAGTGATTCAACAAAGATCTGATTTGTATCACAAGGAAAAAGAAAAGTGGAAAATTCAGGAAGCCAACTATCGCAAACAGTTTGCTGCAGTTTTGGAGGAATGTGGTCGAAAAATGGAAACTTTAGAAAAGGAAAACATTGATTTAGCAAAGCGCGTACATATTCTCGTTCAGGAGTGCAAGTCTTATAAAAGTAGTAGCATAACTGTTCTGGAAAAGTATAATAAACTTGCCGCTAATTATAAAAAATCTTTTGAGGTATTGATTTTTTTTTAATTCAGTAGCAATGAACTGATTTTTTATAGGACTTAAACAAACGATGGGCGTCCCTTTTGGAGGCGTATATGTTCAATGCGACTAAAATTGAAAAACAGACTAATAAAAATGTAAAAAATATCATGAAAAAAATGGTTTTAAATGATAGGGAGGTAACATAATGCCAACATACTCATCATTTTAGGTTTAATATTGATGATTTATTTCAGATACAACTAATAGAAAATATTTATAAAGAGAAAATGAAGAAATTTCTTGCTGAGAAGCATAACAAATTCTGAAAACTTGTAGAGTTTTGATTTTTGTAAAAATAATTAAGGATTGGTACAAATAAAGTGTTGATAGTTTTAATATTTTAATTTAATGATTAATTTTATTTAGGTAATCTTTATTTGTCTTTTGTTCATAAAAATTAATGATAAGGAAAGATAATAAAGTTCTTAAGTAAAGATGCAGATAAGATGTTTTTTTATTTTGAATTCACCTAAAAAAGGCGGTTAAAAATTGCCGTTGAAACACGTCAGGTGTCGCTAAAGTTTTAAATTCAGATCATTAGTTTTCTTCATCATTCGAAGCACATGTAAAATGTTGACGTTTTCTTGACATTTTTGTGCGAGTTTCGGGTGGTTTTATTTTTTTTTCGTGTCTCTTTCGAAACAGATTCTCAAAATACACGTAACGATAATCACACATTCCCTCAAGATAGTGAGCTCATTGTTGATCATGCGTAGTTTCATACATATGTTGTATTCGGTGCATGTGTTGTGTGTTGCGTGAGTCAAAAGATGATTCTGGTAAATTAAAGTGGTGAAAAGTAAATTAAAGATTCGATGATGGTCTTGGACCATTTAAAATTTAGTTGTTTTTCAAAAATAAATAAGACTTTGTGGATAAAAGCCCCGTGTATACCTAAGAAAGCTTCAAAAGTATTTGAAGCTTTCGAGGCCGTGTTCATGGAACTATGAACCTAGACTCGTTGTCTTTTACCTTGTCACAAATAAGTTATTTAGTTGCATCATTAACCAAAAAGAACTACAAGCAAGTCGTTGCCGAACTCTCAAAGGTAAGAATAGCGATAAAATCTGAATCATTGCAATATGCGTGGACTAAAATTATCAACATGACAAATTGAAGCATCAGCCATCTTTTCCAATGCCAGCTGTCACGCAATTACCGATCGAGCAATGTTGTGGTGAACAAAGGTGTTTTGATTGTTATTATTTTTTTCGTTCACGTTCTTGCAAAATGTCATTCAGATTATCAAAGTACTTCTTATCACTGAAACAGCTTTTAAATTTGATCGTATGTTCGTTTTATAGTTGGTAACTTTGCATGGTCTGGAGGCGGACCGTCACTTGCTCCAATGTCTATTTTCATCAGTGGACTTTTCTGAATCTACAAGCAAAATAACCGCTCCATCTCCTCAAAATCAAGCATTGTTAGAGCAGTGTTCGAACTTGTTAAACAAACCCTCGCTGTTGTCGTCTGTTTGTTACATTACAGACAATCCATTGAGTAACAACAAGGTAATAAAATCGCGTTGATAATTTTTTTTTCCTATACATTTTTTTTCAGGCTTTTAAATTTGGACCCCAGTTCTTCCATCAGTTGAGCAAGTGCCTTCGCCTCTCAGCTGTACAGGAAGTCGTTTTCGCTCTCGCCCTTCGCCACTCTTCAAACCCGGAAGTCTCTTCTCTAGCCCAGGCACATTTACGGCTAACGGTTCCGACTCTCGTCCAGTCCTACATTGAGACTGAAGGCAGCACTCGTCAGCACGAAGGGGGTCTCCACGAGACCACCCCTGAGGTTCTCCACTTGATCCTCTCTGCCGTTTTGAAAGCTCCTAAAGACGTAGGACTTACCAACAACGCGCACCGGGCGTTTCTCGATACTCTCCAACGCGACTTTCCAAAAGACCTCGTTCCTGTAGTGTTAGCACCGTTAGTTTACCCCGAACATTGTGAATTGTCGCCGGAAATGTCATCCGAGGGCCCCGGTTTATCCGGGGGCATGTTAGAGACTTCACTGGCTGATCTAGTAGCTGAGATCGGTTTTGGTTTTACTTCGTCAGTAGAAGAATGTCGGAACAACTTGATGAAGCTTGGGGGAAGAGACATCACCCCTGCGACCGTGGCTCGGATTCTTACCGTTATGTGCCGAACACACAGTGGCCTTGAAGAATCACTCAGTCTACAATCGCCAGGCAGTTTTAATAAGGGAAATGAGGGACGCACTTGGAATGTGGAGGTTTTCGTTCAGGCGTTAAAAGAGGTCGTGCCGAACTTTCAATGGGCTAATGCTGTGGCCGAATTGGACCATCCTGAATTTGTTATTAAAGATAGGCAAGGACTCATTATTTTAATAAGTGCACTTCGACATGGCCTCCAGACCCTGGGATTTCACCCGGAGACTTTTCCAATCGACCAATTTTATAAAAGGTGGACGAACGTGGAGGGACAGTTCAGTCTCATACAACATGTACTCAAAAATCCAGATGTGTTCTGTTTTGCTGACTATCCCGCGATGACTGTCAGTGTAGACGTTCTTAAAACACCACCGGAACAAGACAGCAAAGAACTTGCCAATTGGAGATCGTTAAATCTCGTCGAATTGCTCCTACACATGTCTGAGTGTGGCTTGTTCACTTACGTCCAAGAATTATTCAAATATCCAATGCATAACTGTCCTGACGTTTTAGTTCTCGCATTATTGCAAATACAAGGACCGGTAACGCTTCTGAGACAAGAATTACTTTCAAACTTGATTCCTATATTTCTCTTAAATCACCCAAACTCGGCGATAATACTACATCATGCATGGCACACTACCAACATAAATATAAAATCTATAATAATGCACGCCATGGCCGAATGGTACGTGCGAAGTGACTGCGACCAGACGAGACTATCCCGAATTCTCGACGTTGCCCAAGATTTGAAAGCTCTATCAATGCTCCTAAACGCTCAGAATCAACAATCTTACCCTTTCATCATAGACTTGGCTTGTCTTGCATCGAGACGAGAATACCTCAAGCTCGAAAAGTGGCTTTCTGATAAAATCAGAGAACACGGCGAACCTTTTGTTCAAGCTTGCGTCAAGTTCTTGCATCGTCGTTGTCCGCAAATCCTCGGTAAAACCGACGACGCGATGACGAAAGCTTCGTCTTTACCTAACGAAACTTTGACCACGATTATGATTTGTCTGCAATCCTGCATGAACAGCGTTAGTCCAGAATGCCAAGAGGCCATAATTAACGTCACCACAGGCTGTAGTATTTTACTGAAATCGCGTCAACAGCCGGCCCTTGTTCGGTCCAGGGGCGTAGAGGGGCCGTTTAGCGTTTCGGCTATTTCGGGACAGCTTTACAACCACTCCGGTGTAGATACTATTCCTGGTTTGACTACGAATTTGGCTAGTATGACAATGTCGGGGCCTACGAGTTCTGCGTTTAATTTGCAAGGGGGCCTCGGCCCGCTAGTACAATCTCCCGGTTCTCCATCGCGGATTTTGGGTGCTGGTCCATCTAATAGTCCGTTCCCGATGATGCCGTTGCAACATCAAGGACCTGTGGGGACGAGCTCGTCGCTGGTTTTGGGAGTTAATCAAATTGGGAATATTGGAAGGATGGGACCGGCGTCAAATATTGATAAAAGTAGGATTCCTGAATATAATTTGTTTCCGGAAATGTCGCCCAACGTATCGAAGGATATTGAAGACGAAGCTAACAGCTATTTTCAAAGAATTTACAATCATCCTCCTCATCCCACTTTGTCGATTGATGAGGTGTTGGATATGTTGAAGAGGTTCCAGGATTCGCACAATAAACGGGAGAGAGAAGTACGTTTACTTTTATTAGCTTGATTTCAGAAATACAGGCGATCAAACATGTTTTTAAAGTTTGCTTGAATGATATTCATGTAAGCAACAAAACTAATACTACATTATTATTGTTATCATTGCGCCAAAATTCTAACTGTATAAAACGGTTATTTGCAAAACAAAATTAAAATGCTGCCATTTACTTTGCTTTAGTTGTAAAGAGAGAGTTAGATCTCGCTTTAAGATGGTCCTTAGAGTGAGATCTTCTGTTTCCAACTAATGTAAAGTAATGGGCAGCATTTTAATTTTGTTTTACAAATAACCGCTTTATTTATTTATAAAGTTAGCGTTTTGGCGCAATGGTAACGCAAAATTTCTTATCTGAAGACGCGTCGATTGGTTTAAAAATATCCACATTTGAGTGGTCTTTAGAAACCCATATAAAGTGTGCGTTCTCCTGTAATAAAAATAAAAATTAATCAAACACTTTTTAAAAATTGTTAAAATGGATAGCTATTTGATGAAAATTAGACAATACTAGATTAAAAACTAGGCTTTTTAGCTTTTTATTATTGCATTTTATAGATGAAAAACGCTCTTTCTGTCGTTATATCATATTTATGAAAAAATTTAAAACAAAATTTTTAATCTGGTATATGTTTTAAAACAAAGAGCTCTGTATAATTATATGAAGTGAGGAGAGCTAAATGTTGTCGAAAATAAATTTCTTTTGGAAACATTGATGGGGAAGAAGGCTATTATTTTTTAGCTAAAAAATCTAAATTGTTTGAAAGATTTTTTTTGAGTTGTTTTATTGTTCCAGGTCTTCAATTGCATGCTGCGAAACCTGTTCGAGGAATACAAGTTTTTCCCACAATATCCCGAGAAAGAACTGTTTATCACTGCCCAACTTTTTGGAGGTATAATCGAAAGGAGCATTGTAACATCTTACGTAGCGTTAGGGTTGGCTCTGCGCTTCGTTTTAGAAGCCCTCAAAAAACCAGAGGGATCTAAAATGTATTATTTCGGCATTGCAGCTCTGGATAGATTTAAGAGTCGACTAAAAGACTATCACAAATATTGCGAACATGTGCGAGCCATACCTCATTTTTCCGAATTTCCGCCACATTTACAAGAATATGTTGAATATGGTTTGCAAAGTGTTGAACCTCCAAATAAGCCACAAGGTTCTGTTTTACCGGCTAGTATGGCTTCGATGCTTGCACCACCTAATACTCCAGTTTCACAAGTGTATAAACCGAATTCGACTATTAGTTCTAGTGCACCGAGTAAGGCAAGTACTACTACTACTAGTACTTTGGGGAGTAGACCTTCTATAGCCAATGCAACAAATATCGATACACTTCTTGTCGCTACAGAAAAAGATGAGAAAGTAATAGCGCCACCGGAAGCCCTACAGGATAAAATTGCCTTCATTTTTAATAATTTAAGTCAACTGAATCTTAAACCAAAATGTGATGAGTTACGTGAATTAGTTTCGGAAGAATACTGGCCTTGGTTATCTCAATATTTAGTAATGAAGAGAGCTTCAATCGAGTTGAATTTTCATGGGCTGTATTCCAATTTTTTGGATACGTTGAATAACAACGAGGTTTACAGAATGGTCACTAAAGAAACATTCAGAAATATCAAAGTACTTTTAAGATCAGATAAAGGAATAGAAAATTTCTCTGATAGGTCATTATTAAAAAATTTGGGTCACTGGTTGGGAATATTGACTTTGGCTCGAAACAAACCAATTCTTCAAATCGATTTAGATCTAAAATCTCTACTAGTAGAAGCCTACAATAAAGGTCAACAAGAATTGTTGTACGTGGTGCCATTCGTAGCGAAAGTGATAGAATCGTGCGCTAAAAGCAAAGTTTTCAAGCCTCAAAATCCTTGGACCATGGCCATCATGAATGTTCTCGCCGAACTTCATCAAGAGCAGGACTTAAAACTAACTCTGAAATTTGAAATCGAAGTGTTGTGCAAAAACCTCGATATTGACATCACTCAACTAAAACCAACTATGTATTTGAAAGATCCTGAACGCATTCACAAAATTGAGTATCAGTTATCTCAGCCATCTAAGAAAGAAAACGTTTTGATACCGTCATCACAAGGCAACATTCCACAACAAGGTGCTATAAACGAACCGGAATTGGTGAATATGCTTCCTGGACAAGCGGCTAATTCTCCCGTTACACACAATAATAGTACCACTCCAACGTCGGCATTGTCGGCCCCTCCAGAGCCCCGATTTAGCTATGGGGACATCCAAATCGCCGGAATGACGTCGTTCCAGACTCACACTGTCGTCAGTCCGTCTATCTTGTTATTTCAAAATCAGCCACAATTAAAGCCTCTGGTTAGGTCGTCCATTGAACATGCTGTGCAGGAATGGATAGCGCCTGTGGTTGACCGTTCCATCAAAATCGCCTTGCAGACCGCCGAACAAATCATCAGAAAGGATTTTGCCTTGGATCCGGACGAGGGAAGGATGAGGCTAGCCGCGCATTTTATGGTCAGGAATCTAACCGCCGGTATGGCAATGATAACGTGTCGAGATCAGTTGTTATCTGCGATAAATACGCATCTGAAACAAGCCCTTTTGGCGAATATTGGTTCGCCTACTTTGCAACAAAAGGAGATGATCGAACAAGCGGCCAATATTATTGCTAATGATAATATGGAGTTAGCTTGTGCTTTTGTTCAGAAAACGGCCGTCGAGAAGGCAATTCCCGAAATTGATAAGCGGTTGATGAGCGAGTACGATCTTAGGAAGATGGCGAGACAAGAAGGACGGTAAGTAGATTATGATTTTCTAAACATATAACGAGGTTTTGAACAAATAAAAAAGCGTTTGAATTCGGTTTTCGTAATAGAATTGCACATATTTAATAACATGCATTTTATTTTTTTGTTATCTATTATTTTTTCTGCTTTCAGGCGTTACTGCGACGCCATTGCCTTGACTTACCAAGCAGAACGAATGCCCGAACAGATACGACTAAAAGTCGGCGGCATTTCGAACAGTCAAATGGCCGTGTACGAAGAATTCGCCCGAAATATTCCAGGATTTCTACCGAACGAACGCGATTCGAGTATTCTGATGCAAAAACAAAATTTGGCACCAATTGAAACCCAGATACATCCAACCACACCATTTCCACTGCCACAAGCAGCGGTCCTCAACGATGACTTGAGCATAATTTTTGAGAAATTGTGTCTCGAAATCGAGCAGTTTGTTCAAGCTACATCCGGACAACCCCAATATTCACACATGAGTTCTAATCTGCTCTTAATCAGAGAATGTCTTTTACACACTTCGCGAAATAGGGATCCTACTCCGCCACAAGCGATGGTACAAAAAGTGAGTGTCTTGCTTTGTGTTTTTGGCTCGTTTAATGATACATTTTTGTGTGTATAGTGCGTGGAGAGTCTACAAGAGTCCCTTGTTTCGAGCGAAGCCGATCCTGTCGTTATGCGTTTCAAAGAGATCATAATTAGAGTTTTGAAATCTTTCCAAGATCCACGAGTTTTCGGACAGCAATGGACTAACAAACTGGTCACGAGATTTTTGACCGAATGTCGAGAAGATTACCGCTACAATATCGACGCTGTCGATACTCTAATAAAATCTGGCCTTGTTCATGTTCCTCAGTATGATTTGACACTGGCCCAGTGTATGGAAAACGGTGTGAATTACATGGGAGTCAACTTTGCCATGCAGTTGGTCCAGTTGTATCTGATCGACGATCGTAATAACCAGTTTGTAACCGACAACGACCTTTGCAATACGATCGAAATGTTGGCCAAAATACAGACTCATATGAGGCAGCCACCCGAAGGTTTGGGCAATATTATCGAAATACTGAGACAGAATCCTGAAACACCCTTCTTTGGAGATCGGGCACCTGTGGGTCCTACTCTTCACATCCATAACGGAATTCTTCAGGTAGGTGTTGCGACACAAATGGTTATTTATAGATTTCCTTCGGTGAATCTTTGCTTTTATCATTTTTCTAAACGATGTGTTTTTTGTGTAGATTAAACGCGATCCGGTTGGGAGTTATGGTTTAAATTTTTTTTCGGGACGCACGGATAGTGATTTCCGGTTTAAGTGACATGACACGGAACCTAAACATTTTCAAGAAATTTTTTTATCGCCGGATTTTTTACGATTACGGACTGGTAGAGAAGCGTTTTTAAAGAAAATTGTGAGTTTGTAGTCGTGTGATTATTTTCCTTTAGGAGGAGAACTAACCTTTCGATGGGAAAGGTAGTAAATTTTTTAAAGTGCAAAAACTGTTTTGATTATTGGTTTGTTTTAAGTGTTTAGTTTCATATATTTAGTTTTGCTTCATTTTGTGTATAATATTGTGGAGTCTAAAAGGCATCGTGCAATAAAAATGTGCAAAGCAACAAATTCTTGACCATCGAAAGGTTGAAATTCAAAGAAAAACTTGAAATATGTTATGTACTTATAAATTTTGTTAAAGTTTGTTTTTGTCCACAATAAAGCAATGAATAAACGTCACGGTTGTATTTTTCTTATTTACTATGAGAAATCGGTTATAGTTTAGTAAAAATTAGGAATCAGTATGATATTTTTTGGGACAATGATTTCGTATAATAAAAATAAAATAAGCAGAATTATTGAAATTTTAAATTTATTTCCAATTAAAGCTCATTCAAATTTCATATTTGTAATGTTTATATTTACAACCGTGTCGCTGATAATTTCAATTTTTCTTATTTAATTAAAATCATGTCCAATTAAAAAACCGTTTTGTTAAATTCATTGTTTAATATCTTGTTCGGTTATTTTTCCAGGTATTATAACTTTTAAATTATAATTTCTGTACATTAACGTCTACACAAATATGCCTCTCTCATGAAAAAATTGACAACGTAGGATGTTCTTCCTTAAAAAACACTTTGCGCTAATAATGGTGTTCAAAAATAACTGTTTTGTTTATTTATTTATTTTATTTTTTTGTTATTTGATTACCTCAATTTTTTTGTTGTATTCAATTATAATTTGAAACAATAGAGTAAGCGAAACATACTAAAATTGTATATTGAAAAGAAAGTACATCTTGAATGATATTTCGTGAAATTAAAATGTTTCTATTATGTGCTTTAAAGAATCTTAAAACTGCTTTTCTCTGTTATTCTTATAATTGCTTGATTTCGTAAAAATTAATGAAAAATTGCATTACGGTTCATTAAAGATTTGAATAGCTAGTATTTTAAGTCTGTTCAAAAATAACGAGGATACTTCTTATGAATAAATTTATAGGTGCGCGGCCCATATCATGATGATCCTCCGGGATTTGTCGAGAAAACCGACTTCTTGTTGAGGGAGTGGATAAGCATCTACAACCAACCACAAGGCCGCGACTCTACGAAAGCATTCGGCGTATTTGTGCATCAAATGAACATGCATGGAATTCTAAAAACCGACGAATTGATTACAAGATTTTTCAGATTGTCAACACAGTTGTGTGTTGAAGCGGTGTACAGAATAATTTCAGATAAAACAAACGCACAGTTACCAACAGTCCGAGCGAAATGTTACAACACGTTAGATGCCTTCGTCCGACTAGTAGCCCTCCTGGTGAAACATTCAGGTGATGCCAATAACACCACTACAAAAATTCATCTTTTGAATAAAGTTTTGGGCATCGTCGCCGGCTGTTTGCTGCAAGATCACGACACCAGAACCATCGAGTTCAATCAGTTACCATACCAAAGGATTTTTACGATGTTGTTCCTCGAGTTGAATTCCCCCGAACCTGTTTTGGAAGCCATCAATTTTCACGTGTTGAATGCATATTGCCACACTCTTCATATTTTGCGTCCGACGAAAGCGGCCGGTTTTTGTTACGCCTGGTTGGAGTTAGTGTCCCATAGAATCTTTATGGGACGGATGCTGGCAGGAACTCCACAACAGAAATGTTGGCCTTTGTACGCGCAACTTCTCATCGATCTTTTCAAATATTTATCGCCGTTTCTGAGGAATGCCGAGTTGGCCAAACCTGTGACTATGCTTTACAAAGGCACCTTGAGGGTATTGTTGGTCCTCCTCCATGATTTCCCCGAGTTCCTATGCGACTACCATTACAATTTCTGCGATGAGATTCCACCAAATTGTATTCAAATGAGAAACTTGATTTTGTCGGCCTTTCCTCGCAACATGAGACTCCCCGATCCTTTCACTCCCAACTTGAAGGTCGATATGTTGCCCGAAATTGCCTTCGGTCCCAGGATCTTAGCAAATATCCCGATTAACATAACTCCAGCTCAATTCAGAAAAGATCTGGATTCGTATCTGAAAGCCAGAGCCCCAGTGACCTTCCTATCAGAATTGAGAAGCAATCTTCAGATTTCCAACGATCCTGGAGTGCGTTATAACATCCCCTTGATGAACGCTTTGGTTTTGCATGTGGGCATGCAAGCTATAGCGTATATCAGAGGCAAGGGACATCCCCCAAACATGTCCACCATCGCACACAGTGCCCATATGGACATCTTCCAGAACCTCGCTGTCGACTTGGATACGGAAGGGAGATACTTATTCCTGAATGCCATAGCGAATCAGCTGCGTTATCCTAATAGCCACACGCACTACTTCTCTTGCACTTTGTTGTATTTGTTCGCCGAAGCCAACACCGAAGCGATTCAAGAGCAAATAACGCGAGTTCTTCTGGAGAGGTTGATCGTCAACAGGCCGCATCCATGGGGACTGCTGATTACCTTCATCGAGTTAATCAAAAATCCCACCTATAAGTTTTGGAGTCACGAGTTTGTGCACTGCGCTCCAGAGATTGAAAAGTGAGTTTCGGTTCAATTTTTTCTTCTATTGATAAACTTCTTATTCTCTGTGTTTTTTTTTCTTTCAAGTACCGCTAGGTCAAAACTGATTGGGAGGAAATGCTATCGGTTTGGTAATTTTAGTTTTGTTTCAGGTTATTTGAGTCGGTTGCCAGATCATGCATGGTGCAGAAAACAGCAGTGCAGCAAGCCCAAGAAAATGAAATCCAAGAGTGATAACATGTCTTTGTGATTTGTATATATTGAAATGGTTACATATTGTGAACTCGAATTATTTTAATTTGCTTTATATTATTTTTCTGTTTTTGGTATTATGCGATTAATTAATTTTCTTTATAGGTATAAGGATAGATGTAGATATAGCTCTGTAAAAATTAGTTATTTTTAAGAAATTTTCAAGTATTTGTAATTACTATAAATATGTGGATGTATTAAATGGTTTTCAATGTTTTGAAGAAAGCACAACGATCTTTTATTTCATTTATCCCAGTACCCCTTTTTTGCTAATAAAATTGAATGAACAATTTAGTGTTAGGTAACCAATGGACGAAATGAAATTTGAAAAGATAACAATAATGTTTTTATTTAATTTACACAGAGCCACTCCCTACATTAGTTACATCCACGCCTTCAATCGAAGTAAAAATTGTTTTACAGTACGTACATAATATACCCAGTCTGTGTGTCATGACCAGATGCACTCAAAACTTGAATGAATCAAGTTGGATTAAACTTATTAATCAAATCATTTGAAATAATGATATTACACCTGAAAACTTATAAAATAACATTAATTTGAAATTAAAATACAATTAACAATAGGGCACAAAATATACATAATATGAAAAGTAAGTGATCGATTAGCCAAAATATACAGGAAATCGTGTAAAAATAAATTGTCACAACCAGAAATACACATAAAAAATAAAACTGAATGAGTCAAACGGTACTAAATATAAAAGTGTTAATAAAATGTAAAACATTATGTAAAGGCCACAATATTCCATTCATAATTTCCATAATGTACAAACCATATAAAATAAACATACACATCAACATCCGTATAATAATGGTGCTGGATAAAAATATATCCTATATTGGCATCTATCTACTAGTTAAATGGAAAGTCTAATAGAGAAGTTTTTGCAACCCACAGCTAGTTTTAAAATTTAATGTAGGTTAATGTCGCTCTGATAATGGTCCCTCATTTCCCCAATCCGAACTCCTTAGCATCATCTTCAGTGATGTCTCCGTACTCCCAAATGTTCGAATGGTTCCTTTTGGCCACTTCCTGTGCCTCCTTGTACGCCCCAAGCTAAAACAAAAGTCAAGATCATCCCAACCAGCTTAAAGTGACTACATACCAATTTGTTCTGTCGTCTTTCCTTCCTGTTCTCAACCAACAACAATCCCTCCGTGATCAAACTCTTGATAATATCCCCTTCTGCGGTGTTATCAGTATGGAGAGATGCGGCTGATGGACTCCCTTGCACTCTGTACTCGACATTCAATAGCAATTTGCTTACCGCAGTGTCTTCTCGCAGATACTTAAGGGCCATTGCAGCGTATTCCTCATCTTTAGGCAAAGTGACGTAAGGCAGGATGTACTCGGTAGCGTAGGGCTTTTCCCCTGCGTAAGCGGCGGGTAAACTGGCGAGGCGGGTGGTTGGAAGAGTTTCGCGGTTGCCGTAGTCGATGTAATGAACGGTGGCTTTTCCTCCTTGCACTTTCTCGACTTTAACTCTGTACCATTCGTCGTCGACGGTATATTTGGCAGCACAGATGTCACCACGCTTTGGAGTGTAGGCGCCTGGAAGAGGCGGATTGGCTTGGAATTCTTGGCGAAGTTTGGCATTCAACGCTTCAGCTTTCGGACCCTCGGAAATAGTTTGGACGAAAAAGGAACCCTCAGGGGTGATTTCTGTCACCACCACTTCTTCGTAACTCACTTTTCGCTCGACGTTCTAGAATTTAGAAATACCCAACATTTTTTAAATTTAATATGAATATAAATTTTTCTAGGGTTTACCACAAAATGAAATAGTTTGTACTTACGGGTTTCTCCTCTTCCGGGTGTTGTTCTTCTTTTTCCTCTTCATAATTCTTCCATATTCGTAAACGTTGTTGTTTGGCACTGTCTTCGGCTTCTTTGAGGAGGGCAGCATATTGTGATTTCTCTCCAGTACGGTGTACTGAAGCAAATCCTTCTTTCACGAGAGCAACCGATAAGTTAACATTGTCAATCCAGAGCCAGCCAATGAAATTGCCGGCTTTGTCATGAGTGTCAACTTGAATCGAAACTTCTCTTTGTAGACATTTTTCCTTTGTAAATTGCAATGCTTCATCGCCAAAGGGTTCTCCTTCAACAGCGGGTTGGACATTGGTTGCTTGGCGGGAAGCTCGTGGACAATTTATACCTCCTATTACAGAGATAATTTTTATTAAATACCAAATAACACTGAAACGATGAAAAAACATTGTATGTGACGTGAAATAGTGGAAAACTGTTGCAGTTGGCCACATTGGAGTTCACAATTTACTATAGCACCTTCATTTTATCACACACAATTTTTACATGTATGTGGGGTTTTCTGAGATGCCTTAAAAATAAATATGTGTATGCTTACCTAACAAAAAGGTACATAAACTGTTCGATTTCGCTATGAAAAGTCTTAATCTGGTTCCACTGGCAACAAATTCAACAACAGCATCGATCCTTTGTGCACGTTGGAAGGAAGACAATTCGAGTTTGGCTCTGGCAGCATCAATTTCCGTTACTCTATGTATCGGAACGTCCTTTTTGTTATGAATTCCGATTCCTGATTTGATGGCTTTACTTTCGGCAGCCAGAAGATCGTCGTATTTGGAGCTGCGTTGATCGTCATCAGGGCGGTATTTCACAACAGACGCAAGACCTTTTGCAACAAGTGCTTCGGCAACGTTTCTGAAAAAACGATGTTATATTTATAATGTTGGGGTACAATTTTTTGTCATCTTACTTCCCACCAACTGTAACAGTTGCGCAAACTTTTTCAGGGTAACCATCTCTCGCATCTTGAATGTAATCAATGACGACGTGGACTTTCTTGCCGATAAGTTTCTTGCGCAAGTATTCTCTGGCTTCAAACATCCATGGAATATCGTATAATGGACGGAATCCTTTAGGTCTTGGAGCAGTCTTACCGTCTTCATCAGCAACACTAAAGAGAAACAAAAAGAATATTTATAAGAACTTGTAATTTATTTACCTACATAATGCAATTATTTTCGACAAAAATTAGACAGAGTATTTACTACTTTATTTATTGTTCTTGGTATAAATAATGATTAATTTAATGCACAAAATATACATTCTTTATTTATACTTATAAAACAGTAATCGTGGATTTAAACTATTCATTTCGGAATGTCATAAAATTAAAATCGTTTATTGATTGACCTAAAATTAAAACGATAACATAATGACACTACGGAATACTTAAGTATAAAATTATAGGTGTCACAACCTTTGATGGAAATCAATAAACAAGCTACGCAGGACGGAAATGTAATGGTAGCCCAAAAACAATAAATTAAAAACTAAAAAATAGAATAAACTAATTTTGTAGTAATTTTTGTAAAATAAGAATTAAAGCATAAAAAGCCTTTTTGAATAATTGAATAGTTTACTACCTTTTGAGAATGTAGATGTACGTTTTCGTTTTGAATTTGATTAATGTTGAAATCTTGAATTAAATTTTAATTTGTTTTGTGTAAACTGACCCTAAGAATTTTTACCAACAAATAGTACATTTTAACTATTATTTTTATGAAATACTGATACTTTTTAAATGAAAGAAAATACGTCATTTTTACAAAGAGAGTGGGTGTGACATAGAAGCTCAAGGGTAGGTGGTATCGAGTCCATCGGCGAACAATGGCAATGTTCATAGCCACAAAATACAGGGTGTTTTACATAAGTTTAAGAGGCCTGCGCCGGTAAAATGCAACCAGTAATATCTTTTTCATTACGGACTCGATAAAAAAATTAAAAAATTCTATCGTTCTGTAATTTATACACCCCTTGAATAAATGACAGTCATTCTTAGTGATAAATTGCCAACATTCTTATTAGTGTTCAATTTAATCACTGTAATCGATTTGGAACAAAAGTTCAGAAAATAAGATGGAATAAATTGATAGTACACAAACAAAATAATGTTGTTATTGAAGAAAAAGCCAAATTTGCAAGTAAATAAAATAATACTACTTAAATAAATTAAAATTTGGGAGCAAATAATTAAATTTATTTAACCCAACAAATGTTCAAAATGTCGGCCCCCATTTTCGAGGCAAATTTGGTTGCGTCTGATAAAAGACCTACGAACTCTTAGTAAGGTTTCTGGCGTAATTTCTCTACACGCAACACGGATTCTCTGTTTCAAGTTCCCCATAAGAAAAAAATCTAGTGCCGTAAAGTCGGGACTCCGAGGTGGTCATGCATTAACGCTGCCCCGTCCTACCCACTGTTGCCCAAATTGGTTATACAAATATTCTCGTGTAATGAGGGGGAGCTCCATCCTGCTGAAACAACATTGATCTTCTTATTTCTAATGGAGCTTCTTCCAACAACATTGGCAAAACATTCTGTAGAAAATTCAAATATCCATTCCCAGTTAAAATGTTTTCGAAAAAATGAGGACCCACAACATAATCATCTATTATGCCACACCACACATTAATTGATATCATTTGTTGGAAGTGACTTTGTCTTATCTACCGTGGATTTTATAATGAGTAGTAGTGACAGTTATGGCGGTTAACTGCTCCGTTATTACAAAATTTTGCCTCATCGCTAAAGAATACACATTTCAAAAAATTTTCGTCTTGGGCTGTCTTATTTCGTATAAAATTACAAAATTCCATCCGCGGAGCAAAATCATTTTCCTTTAATTCTTGCACTAACGTCAAATGGTACGGATGAAATTTATTTTCTTTAATAATTCGACATACTGAAGAAAGACTGATACCGGTTTGCCGAGATATTTGCCGTTGGCTCACATGAGGATTGTCATCTATCATGTGACTTGAGCTTCATTTTCGACATTGGTCGCTGGCCTGAATTTGTGTCTTTTCTGTTTTGGCCAATTTTCTCTCAGTTCTTTTTCCAGTTGCCTCAACGTATTGGCAGTTGGATGTCGACGGCACTCTCCATAGATCAGGATCATATCCACTTTTTCATTATTTGAATACACGGTTGAAAAATTAATTTATGACTTTCAATGAAAAAATTATTAATTTGACAACTACTGTCAAGGGTTTCCAAAAATTAAAAACTTAATTACATTTTTTTTGGTATCTAGAGGTTTGTGACTATTGTATATTGGGGTGCGGATATTAGGCGCAGGCCTCATAAAATTACGTGAAACACCCTGTATGCCTTACCAAACAAATAAACTTTACCCACAATCACTCTATAAAGAGACTTTATTCCACACTATAGATGCATATAAAGTACCACTTTGTCCACTAGTAGAACAAAGTAACTTTATTTATTCCGCTGTTAGTAACTACCGCACCACGTAACAGCTTACTAAGTTTAACCGAAAGCACATTTGGTGTGACGTTTAAATGTCAGTTTAATTTTTAATTAAGTTTGGAATAATTTGGGTCTGTGATTGTGGATAAAACGTTATATTGTAGTCGTGTGTTAATCGCGTTTTATCCACTTAAGAAAATTAAACATTCTTGCGTGGATAAAACGCTATTAACACACTCTTACAATAAATAACTATAATTATTTTGTAGAGCTATCCATATTTTTTTTTTTTTTTGCACGAATCAACATATTAGCATCGTTTGTTTTAAGATGACATTAAAAAATATATATTTTTCTTTCACTGAATTAATATTAATTAATAGTTATTTATTATACAAGACGATAATGAAAATGTTTATCTACGAGTGAAAAGGTTAAGTTTACGAGTGACGAAGTCACGAGTGAACTTTTTTCACGAGTAGATAAACAATCTTTATCGTCGTGTATAATATTTCGTTTTATTTTGTAGTACTCACATACCAGAATTTCTTGAATATAACCAGTAGATAAAAATTACTTTATTTCACTAGACGATAAAAGACTATTTTATCTACTGAAATTAGTTGATAAAAGCACTCTAACATTACATCACTAACACACTACTACACTACATCAAAGTGTAGTTGATAAAAGCACTCTTTAACATTGAGTACAAAATAATAGTTATTTATTATACAAGACGATAAAATTGCTGACGCATCGACGCAAATTGCTCTCAAAGATAATGAAAATTTTATCGTCGTGTACAATATAAAATTTTATTCAATCCTCACTAATTTTGTAATCAATTTAGTCGATATTTATAAATGTCAAAGTAAAATTCAACAATGAAATCTAATGTCAAAGCAACTAACAACCGCAGATATACAACTATGGATGTATTTTTTATCATCTAGACGATAAAATTTCATTTTAACATGAAGAAAAGAGTAGATAAAATTCAATTTTAACATAGAGAATTGAATAAATAATATTTATTCTTCGACACTGTCAAAATTTACGGTTTTTCTCCCGTGTAAGGAAGTTTTGACAACTGTTTGGCATTTCTCAATACGAAACGTCAAATTATTTTTAACAGATTTGAAGCAAGTTTAAGCCTTGTTGAGTCTAATTCGAAGAATAAAATGTTGTATTCAACTCCTTTGAGTGTAAATCGGACGCTTTATTCCACCTCGTGGATGGTAAACCACTCGTTACACTCGTGGTTTAAAAATCCACTCGGTCAAATAAAGCGTCCGATTTACACTCAAACTCGTCGAATAAATAACTATTATTATAAGAAACAATAAAATATCCCTAAAAATCCACATGTACTGAGAAAAAAAACATAGTTTTTAATGGCAAACGCAGATTTTTGTGTGACTCTTAGTTTTTGATATAAAGTTACGAGACACTTTTACCAAAATCACCATGTACCTATATGATATTATTTTTCTTTAGTGCTAACTTATATTTAGCCAAATAAAAAATTAAAAACCTTAGATAACAAGCATTCTATCTAATTTTATTGAAAAATAAAGTATGTAATTTCGTCGCCTATTTGAGCAAAACTCAAAACGTAGTGCTAATCTACTATAATTTAATTCTAATTTTATTTACAACGTTGCATTTAACTTTTTAGCGATAAAGTTTGTTCACCTTGTTACGAAGATATAAAGAGATACAGAAACAATTTCGTTATCAATTACAAAAACATGAAACAAAATAAAAACAGGTTGTTGCGTTGGCTCTAAATATTTTCGCTATAAATGAATTCTTCATACTTGTGATTAATGTTGCAAAAATCAATATCGATCATTATCGCTACAAATAAAAGAAAAGTATAACTCACCGTCCTGGTTCTTTAGGTGGTCTTATACTCGACAAAAATATCTTCTTATACTGGCCATTGTTCAACTTAACAGAAAGTGCATCTCCATTAATAACTTCAGCAACTGTAGCCGAAAACTCCTTTTCTTTGCCCGTAACCTGCGGTGCATTCGATTGCCAATCCTTCCAAATGCGAAGACGCGCAGTTTTCGCTTTTTTTTCAGCAGCTCTCAAACCTTCAACTCCCGACTTCATAAAAGCAATCGACCAATCAACGCAATGGGCGAAGCCTTCTTTCAGCAAAGCCTCAGCAATGTTTCCTTTAGGATGAATAATAGTACCCACAAAATTATTATTATTGACCGATTCCAAAATAATATCAACTTCTCTTTGTAGGAGACGAATTTCAACAAAATAGCGAGCCTCTTCAGCATATGGAACTTTAATGCTGGGGTCGGGTTTACCATTAGCGTCCAGTTTAAAACCGGGACACTAAAATTTCTTGTTATAATTCACTAGAAATGACTATTTGAATAAATTTACCCTAATTCCCGAAATCATAAGCGTAACGTGGTAGAACTCAGGAAGGAGGAACGCGCGGACAGTGGAGCCATCGCGGACATGTTCAATGATCGCTTTGACCGGCTTGTACCCCAGTTTGTCAACAAAAGAGCGCATGTTTTCAACCGACCATTTAATGTCTCGGACGTGCTCTGAAGGGGGATTGTTGCCCCATTTTCCCTTACCGGCCGCTTTGGCGGCGTCCTCGAGTTCGGCCAAACGGGCCCCCTCAGGGGTCTGCCGGACTCCCTCACGACGGACAGTTACAAGGCCTTCCGAGACTAACGACTCGGTAATGTTTTCAGCGGAGTTAAAATCTTTGCCCAGATACACCGTGCCGTACTCCCGATTAGCGTTTGGAGGTTTCTCCGAGGTGAAGAAGACTTCCTCCCCAATGAGTTTCTTGCGGAGGAATTCGCGAGCTTCCCACGCCCATGGCTCGTCCTTTGTAGGTTCAGATCTGAAAAATGGGCCTAGAATGGGGGTACTGGAAGTGATTGGGGACTTACTGGTCTCCAGCTCTACGGGCCAACTTAGGGGCGACGATTCCCGAAAAATTGATCTGTTTCTCGGGGGGAGGTGCTCCGGTGGGGCCCCGAATTATAACAGAATCCCCTGAGAGGATCTAGAAATTCATTAACGCTTGCTTAGCGCACCACGCTTGAAATGTGCCAACTCATACAATCGATTTAGGTTAATTGAATCAAAGGTCTTGAGTAAGATTATTTTGGAAAATTACGGAAAATAGTTCGACTTTGTATTAGGATTGGAAGTTATGTGAACGCGAAACGATTTGAATTATACATAAATACCAAATGCCATATGTAATAATCATGCCAACCAAGCATCGCGAGAGTTATGTGGCTGTAGCTTCCATAATTTAGTTGTGAAACAAAAGGGACTTTGTGGAAAACCTTTCTTAATAATCGATTCGTATTTTAGTCAAATAAAAACCACTTACTTGTTTCACAATTCCACGTTTTGGCTGAATTTGTTGGGTAGTCATCGTGAACGGGCCATGCAACTTGTACTGAAAGGTGGATAAACGTCACTCAGTCACGTGACTCGGTGAAAGCGTCGAGGGGTGGGTTAAAAATTGATTCCCTTTTTTAGAACCACTTGAAAATTGTTCAGTAATTTGGGACTCAGAGTAACCGTAAACCTAACGGTAAGTACCGCTCATTTATCATTTTATTTGGTACTTAAACCGTGACAAATTTCAAACGTGGCAATTTTTTCATCGGTATCCAACGCCATCTATTTTATTATATTTTCTGTCAATTGTCAAAAATTATAACCTTACAAAAAAAATAAAAAACGTGGTTTAGTAAAAAGTTTATTTATATTTTATTGTAATGTACAACTAATCATCGGCGTCTTCTGCTTTCAACTGTTCGATTAGCCTCCGCCTCTCCTCTGCTTGTCTCATTTTGGTCAATACTACACTTTCATAGTCAGAGGGCTTCACAAGAGAACTGGGGACGCTTTTACGAATTGGGGGTGGGTTGACCCATTCGAGTTTTAATTGATTTGAGGGAAGCCCTACTTCCATCTCGATAGCCATTTCCTGTAAGTTTCAGACTAAAAAAATTCTCTTATATTATGATGGAGTAACACTTACTGCTGCATTTCTTGTTTCAAATTCAACAAGCGCAGTACCCATTCTTTTCTGAGACAGTACTAGTGCGGTCACGTTACCATACTGTGAATTTTAATACATTAAACTATATTTAATTTTTGTAATCCCACTACCTTTGATAAAAACCTATGAAGGTTTTCATAATTATACCCTCCATTTGTTTTATCATCTTTAACAACATTCCATTTGATTTTAATTCTGTGATTTGCCCCACTGCAACTGTTAGCGTCGAGTTTAGCTTTCTGTTCTTCCAGAACTTCCTGTCTGATTCTTTCAAGTTCTTCTTCCACTTGTCTAGAACCTTCTTTGCGTAATCTTTCAATCTCCTCTTTTAGTTTCTCATCTGCAGATTTTGTTTTATAACCGGCAGCCGCACGTCGTTCACGAGCTTCTAAATCCTCTTTCAGTTTTCTCCTTTTACTGTCAAGTTCCTTATGTCTTATCGCAGCTTCTTTACGACCTTTTAGAACTGCATCATATGCTTTTCTAGCAGTTTCGTCTATTAACACTTCAAGAATTCGAGACAGCTGGTGAAATTCTTTTGCTGCATTTGGATTGTCCGGGTTTTTGTCTGGATGGCACTGAAGGGCTTTTTTTCTGTACGCTTTTTTAATCTGTAAGTGTAATGAACATAATTTAATTTACTAAATATTAATGTGCTTTTTCTTACATCTGCGACAGTGCTAGTTATTTCAATTTCCAGAATTTCATACAAATCCAAATCTTCAATTTTCGGCTCTTCCATTTTTGGAACTTCTTTGTTTTTACTCTTTAAATAATATCTTTAATAAATAGACAAATTTTCTATTCGTTTGAGTATCGAAATTATTGTATAGGTTAACATTTGCATAACCTAAAAATTTGACAAAATATTTTGCGGGAAATTTGAATTTGTTTGTTTCTAAAGGGTGAAATGGAAGAGCTTCAAGAATCTGAGCTTGGGAGCCAAGAGTACTGGAATAACCGTTATAAGGAAGAAATAGAGAATTTTCAAGACCATGGCGATCCTGGTGAAGTATGGTTTGGTGAAGATACGGTCAACCGTCTCATAAAATGGATAGAAAAAAATAGAACCGTAACTAAAGAATCAAAAATTCTTGATGTTGGTTGTGGTAACGGAATGTTTTTAATAGAATTGGCCACAGAAGGCTATACAAATTTATTCGGGGTTGATTACTCAAATGATGCTATAACTTTGGCGAAGTCAATAGCTCAAAAACAAGGTCTCAAAATACAGTATTCTGAATGCGATATCTTGGAAAAACTGGATGGTCAGTTTGACATTATCCACGATAAAGGGACCTATGACGCCATCAGTTTGAATGCAAATATTACAGAATTTAGAGGAAAGTATCTAGAAAATATGCACAAAGCTTTAGTCCAGAACGGGTTTTTTATTATCACATCATGTAACTGGACGAAAGATGAATTAAATGAACACTTTAAAAATCATTTTGATTGTGTTGATAACATACCAACACCCCAATTTCAGTTTGGTGGAAAAACAGGAAATACAGTTACGTCTTTAGTTTATAAAAAAATATAGACCGGTTTTGCAATGCAAGTTTATTTATTTTTGTGGAACAATTATATCTTGTGTAAAAACATGAAGTGATGTTTTGAATACACTAAAATGTGATTTTATTTTCTACAACTTGACTGCTCCATCTAAGCAAATTTAGATTTAGAAACAAATTATTTGTACGCTAGGAATTACGATTTACAATGTAATGTAGTGACGTCTAAACTGTAATGAATAAATAATATTAACAAGTATCAGTTAAAGCTATCAATATTGATTAATAATGACACAAACTTGAAGTTGTTTTTTCAAGTGTTATTATACGCAACCATAAAGGCGGACCTACTTTCTTCAGTCTATTGGAAGTGAGGTTTAATTTACAGCCCAATAAAATCGATTTTTATTATCTACAAAATGTCTAACATTTTGATAAGAGAAACACACGGATGAATGATGAATCTTAAAGAACACTATAATTTGACGTGCTTCATAAGACTATTCAAAGTTTTAAAACGCTATGAAAGCGATTTTTTCATAAGCTGCATCGAATATGAAACATATTAAAATCACTTTAAAACATGCATTAAAGGCAACTATTCGTAATACATCAAAAATTGCACGATAATGGAAAATAGTAACTATCTTAATGCCTAATAAGGAATCTAAACTGTTTATTGGTACTCGGCTCACTTAGTTTTTATTAATTTCGCTCATGACGTGATTTAATTTTTCACAAAGATTTTGTGCGTTGGGGTTTGACGAAAGCTTCGCCAGTGCTTCTCCAACGTTATTCGATTTGAGATGACGTGACACAACGCTTGAATTAATTAACTGCTCAAGCAGCGTTACTAAATTCTCAATCGTTTGCTTATCCATCTTATCACTATATTTATTGACAACAAAACTGAGATTTTTACCGATTTCGGCATCTACCAGTTGCTCAAACAAAACTCCATTCTCGGTCGAGTGGTCGCCGTTCACCCCATTTGAACTGTCGTTTTCGTGCGAAACTCCACACCCTATACATAGCAAGTTCAAGGCGTAAAATGACTCGTTTTGCATGACCGCGTGATTGGATGACATCATCTCTACTAAACATTTCACACTATCCTTGACCTGTAGTAACGCGTGAAAGGGCTTAAAGGAGTGACAGTGTTTTATTAACCATGATAATAAACGAGGAATCTCGCCGCGAACTCCCAAATGGTCCGAGTTGTAGCACCAGTAGATTAACTTTTCTAAAAATTCTTTTCGCGAAATTAAATCCAGCGCTGCCTTTTCTAAACGAAACAATTAACTAAAGTTTTAAAAAAACTAGCGAAAAAATTACCTTGGCCATCAATAACCATTCTGAAAGTCCCCAGCAGTTTGAAAATGACCAAATACTGCTCTAAATTGGTCATGGGGTAAATAATGTCGATTAAGCCCTCTTCCAAAACGATGCGTTTATTTTGTTGAGGTATCACCAGGTTTTTAAGAGTGCTCAATAAGGCATGTTGCACTTTTATATCACTTTCACGCGTGTTGTACTTGGCGAGTAGAGCTGAAATAACGTTAGTATAATTCTCAACGGGTTTTAAGCAGTACCTATGAGCTTTTTCGAAATGCCTTTCTGAACCATTTGAATACAGTTTGTATCTTTCCTGGCAAAGTTACCTAATGCCAAAACACCTGTACTCAATAAATCTGGATCATCTGAATCCAGCCAAGTGACCATATTTTCATACACTTTTCCTTGACCGTTGTTGTATAGTAAATTCATACAATCATCTGAAAAACATAGGGAATAAAGTGATCACAAAGTTAATGATTTACCTCCAGTCAAAATAATTACAATCATATCACAAGCCATTTTCATAACAGATCTACTTTCTTCATCATTAACTTGGCTTCTGTACTTTTCAACTAGTTCAAATACCAGCTCGCATATGCCCTTTTTCGCCAAAATTGATTTTATGTCCTCTAAAAACACATTTATTGTGTGGAACGTTGAAAAATTGGGTGATACCTTTTTCTGACTGTCCATGCAATATTTCTAAACACAAAACGGAGATTTCTGGTGTTGTGGAAAGTTTAAAAATGTCTATAATTGTGCAACACAGACTTTCTGTGAAGGATATGTTCTGGTCATCAATGTAATCAATCAAATGGTTTAAAATCGTTAAAAGAAAGGCAAAAAGCATCTGATTTTCATTGAATGATTTCAAATATTTATTTAATACTTTTTCAATTACGTCAATGATGTTGTATTTTAGTGCAGCTTTTTGTAAATCATCGTTTGACATTAACAAATTGACAAGAAATCCACTAACTTTTAAGGTAAGTAAATTATTTTTCCTGCTGTTGTCTTTTGCAAGAATTGATATGACGGTGGAAAGTCCTTGTTTGTCGATAATCTTCCGAGCGTCGTCATTTTCGTAACAAATATTGCCCAAGGCTCTTATTGCGCCTATTATCAAAGACTCTTCTGATTTATCTAATAAATTCAAAAGATATTCAATGATTTCTTTGTCCGTAAAAAACTTTCGGTTGTGTTCTTGTTTGGATAATTCTGCTGCTACTTCCACAAATGCTTGTGTTATTTTCTCGTTTTCTAATTGTATAAGACGTTTCAAAATATTATTGTTTTGTAGTTCGATGTCTTCGCCCTGAGCTACAATGCTTTTCAACTTATCTATTATGTCCTTCTCTTTTTTCTCTTCCACTGCAGTTGTTAAATCGTTTAAAATAGTGGTCATTTCGCACCCGAATTTTCAAAAACTGATCAAAAACAAATATTTCACAATTTTAGAGAACATAACCTTAAAAAGTCAATTCCAATTCGAAAATGTTTGGAAGCGAATGCGCATGCCACAGAACAACAGAGATAAGCGCATGCCCACATTTGTCAGGGACGGCGTTGGACCATGACGGGCTCAATTTGTGGCTTCCATCACAAAAAATCAGGTCAACTTCTTAAGCGTTCCCGGGGTTCCCTAAACAGGGATGACATGATGCTTTGCCTACTTTACACATCATATGAGAGCTTTTTTAATTTTCTAGGAAGGTGCGTTATCAATTTTTAAAAAGCGCTCCTCGTTTTTGTTTAAATAAGATATTTAAAACCTACATTAATAGTTTTTTTTTTCTGTATTTTTATTTTTCATTATGTAAAATATAAGCGAGTTTTGAAATTTTATAATAACATGAAAATTATTTTTTTTAAGACTGCTACTTTGGCAAACAATTATAAATGTAAATATTAAAATTAAAAAAAAAAATCATAGCTACATGTACAAAGTACAGGGGCAGATAATGGTAATAGGCATCAATAAATGTTATTTTGTCGTGTATACAAAGAAAAGGAGGGAATTAATTTCTAAAGATGAATCATTTTGTAAAGCGGTGGTAGAAAAACTATGTAAATTTTATTTTGGTTCACTTTTACCAGAGTTGATAAACAATGCGGTTCGTGATTCAAGTCTGCACGAGGTTTTACATTAAATAAATGAAACTTCTAGAAAACGAGGGAAGGTGGTTAAAAAAGTCAAATTAATTTGCTACATTTCCAGTATATATTTACATTACTTTATTTTAAAATGATTTTTATAAAGTAAACTGTTGACATAGGACAGGCACGTGACAATATTTCCTTTGAAATAATTTAAAAATCAGAACTACAATTGCTATCAATGAATTTTCAATACTGATAATCAGTATATTTAGAACAATTATTACTACTAATTAGCTCAAAATTATTTTAATAAGCTTCTCCCTCTTCATATTCGTCATCATATTGACGACTACCATTGGTATTGTCTGGTTCGTATTTTTGTTCATCCTCGTCTTCATATTTGACTCGAGTCTGATCATAAGCTTCAGCAGGATATTGCGGATATTCTGGATAATCTAAAGAAAAAATATTATTGTAAACATTAAAACATTTCTTATATAAAAAAAAGATTAACTGTAGAGTTCTGTAAGAGGTTCATACTACTATGCAGCCTAAACTTAAAGACTGCTAGTCCTGTTAACCTCGGAATTTTTTAGCAAAGCAATTTGTTCTAAACCATTATACGAAAAATGAGAAATGACAATGGAAAACAGTTTAGAGATGAAATGAAGTCAAACTGCGATGCAAATGAAGAATTTGTATCTGATGTTTAATTTTTACCGTCAATGGGTTCTTCTTTGATTCGGACTTCCCCACCATCATCAGTTTTGATGTATTCAAGTCTTTCACCACGTTCTCGTTCACGTCTTTCTCTTCGCTCACGCTTACGTTCACGATCTTTATCTCTAGATTTCGAACGTCTGCGTTTGCGATCTCTTTCCCGGTCACGTTCCCTGTAATAAATGCGAAATAAAATTTTTTGATTGCTTAAAGAAAATAAAACAAACCTTTCCCTGTCCTTCTCACGCGACCGCCTCTCAAAGCTTTCATCAAACTCTTCTCTAACTCTCTCCTTGCTGCGTCTTCTTTTTTCTCTTCTTGGAGAGCGTGATCGACTTCTTCTTCTTCTTTCCCTTGACCTCGATCGTCTTCGTTCATACGTCACTCCACGATCTCTTTCCCTATCGCGTTCCCTTTCACGATCCCTACCACCTCTTTCCTCTCTTTCGCGCTCTAACCTGTACCTTTCCCTCTCCCTCTCGTTGTCTTCGCGACCTGAATGTTTGATATTTACCTCTGGACCTCCTCTTCGGGTCCCGCCAAGACCGCCACCTTTATAAAAATTATGACTTATCATTTCAAATGTGTAGCACACGTACCTAAACGCCGGGGCAACCAACCCTTAACGGTACGGGCTCTCTCCACATCAACTAAAACCCGTCTTCCGTCAATTTTCTTTCCATCAGCATGTTTGTATGCAGCTGAAAAAATCCAACCCATAACAAACAAAAATTATAAATCCGCGATAAAACCCCACATGCATTATTTACTATTCTTGAATTATTTACATGTGGGATTTTTTACTCTGGGTGGATTTTCGCCGAAAAATCCACATAAGAAATAAAAAACCGTATGATTGTTAACACAATCGCGTAAATTGTTTTTTTATCGTACCAATTCTCGAATTTCCAATTACGGTAATTACAAAAAATAGGTATAAATGAAATATACCTACCCAACTACTTACGTAATAAAACATCATTATGAAAAAGTCGTATTTGATTTTTATAAGCAATCCGAACAGCTGAGAGGACTCCTCTTTTTACCTGGTGCGCAATTACTTACTGAGCGCATACCCATTTTAATTAAGTAACATTTCTAATTGAACAACAATAATTTTGAATAAGAAAATTCAATGTCTAACTGATTTTTTTCATTTTGCTTTAATTTATCTGATTTTAAAACTCAAAACCCCGACAAACAACTCAAAGATATTTGTATGCAGGGTTCTTACCACACATACAAACCTATATAGCCAGCAAAAAGCGGAAGTATGGGGCAAACGGCACTAGTTGCCTGCAGCTCGGACTGTGTAAAAAATAGAAAAATATTAATTTCATTCAACTCAAGCAAATATCTTGTCAATGGTTGCTGGCTACATAACCTAACACAAATTTCAATTCACCACTTTTTCGTTCATCAGATTTTTCTAATTTTTGCTAAATTTTAACTTCAAGTGGTTGAATTGAACGTAATTTTTGGTGGAAAGAACTTCTCCTACTCACAGTGCATATCTCTTTCATGTTCATACTCTATGAAAGCATACCCCCTTGGTTTCCCATTGATGCTATTGTGAATCAAAACAATCTAAAAAAAACACATTAAAATGGGCTAAAATTCAGAACAAAGATTAACCTTCTTGATTGGGCCATATACTTCAAATTCTCTTCTTAACTTTGACTCCGATGTATCATAATTCTGTAATGAAAAGGGACATTTAGTTCAGTATCAATTATCTAGCTTCAAGAATATTTAAAGAGAAATTAAATGTTTGGTAAACAATCGTCTAGTTTACATTTAAGATCATTTGTAACCCCTTGATTTGGTCATAAAATAAAACAATATGAATATTTCGAAAGGGTGCAACAATCTGCCTGAGTCTACATACACACAAGTTTTGGAGTCAACAGGCGTGTGAACAACACAGGCTGTATTTACTACAACAAACTTACAATTCTAGCTACAAAAAGCGTTTTGAAGGGATCCACTGTTATATTTGGGGCCGAATTGGGGTCCCACACGGCGATTTCTTGTTCCAATTTGTATGCGACTTGTTCTGCCCGTTCCCTTCGTCGTCTTTCAATACGCTCCTCTCTTGTTTCCACTCTGGTGGGTGGTGGAGTGTCTTTGGGGTCCTATAATTTGGATTTAAAAGTAACTTTACGCAAATGTCTAACATAGTAGCTCACCTCAAACTCCTTGAGAAACGCCCCAACACCCAGGTACCCTCGCGACTTTTTTTCATGGGGTAATTTGGCTACTGGAGGAAGGTACGGAATGGGATCGCGTGGTGCGAATAAAGCCAGTAAGTTTGGTGGCAAAAATTGTGTCATTGTGGTTCAATATGTCACAATTGTAGAAAAGTTAGATCATTATTTAAAAACACGAAATTTATAATTATAAATTGAGGCACACACCAAACAACTCCAGACAATCAATACACAAGATGGCGGTTGCGGGGGGTGAGGAAAGAAAAAACGAAAGATGGAAAATGCGTCAGGTCAATTGCCAACATTGCGACAAAAGTCCCTAAAAATGATGTAATTTACGGAAATTCGTGTGAGGTCAATATAAATAAACAATTTTCTCAAAAATGAATCTCAAACTAATCTTGAAAAACTCGGTGAAAATTACCGTTGGCGGAATCGGGTTTGTTTCGTCGTTTTATACAATGATTGAGTTAATGTACTTTTTATCTGACCCAAATTATAACAGAAAAGTAATCTCCCAAGGTAAATCAGTAACATTTTTTTCAGGACAATATCTTTTAAACAATGTTTTTTTTCCTTAGATCCGTGGCTTTCGGCATCGTGGAGTTTGTTAATAAACATGGCCTTATTATCAGTATTTATTCTACAGCATTCTTTATTGGCAGTCCCTCCTTTAAAAGATACAGTGAGGAAATATGGTTTGCAAGATTTATATAGAAGTTTTTATGTTATAGCCACTATGGTGGTTTTACAGGTAAATTTATTAGAGTTACAAATACAAAACTTTATATAAATTCTTCAGATTTTTATGAAAAACTGGCATGATATTCCTGAATTAACACTATGGAAGTTTAACTTGAATTTCAGACCTTTCTGGCTGTTATACATATCAATTCATGTAACTGCTTGGTTGGTTATTTATATTGGAAATATTTGTATGGACATAAATGAACTTATTGGTATAAAACAGGCATGTGTGCAATATTTTGTTTCACATAATCTAATATTATGTGTTCTAGATCTACTATAGTATTATAAACTTGCCCGATCCTAATTTAAGAAAATCTTTTCAATTACAACGTCTTAATTCTCACATGAGACATCCGAGTTTTTTGGCTTTTGTCTTAATATTTTGGTTTGTGCCCGTTATGAGGTATTTTTTGCATTCGCATATTTATTAGACTCATTTCTTTATTTTCAGTCTTGACCGCCTTTTACTTGCAGCAATATTGACTTTGTATATGTTTATTTCGTGGAACACTGATGAAAGTGATTATGCATACCAGTATTCTCAGTACAAAAGAAAATTTCATGAACTGGAAAATTTGCAGAGTTAAAGTGGAAGACTGTCTGTTGCCTGCTAAAATATTTATTTTACATATTTCTTTGACGTAACTGATGTAGAATGTACAATCCTTTTTCAAGCTAATACACTAACTTTTTTAATTGTTTTTTTATTTTTAAATTTAACTACTTTAGAATGTAATAATATGTATCTCTAATTTTTTAATATTTCAACACAAGAATTCTACGGACTACAAAAGAAATTATATGTAATAATTAATAACAATTATTTTGCAAAAAAAAATATATTTCACGTGCATAAAATGCAGAAGTTTTTCTGTTGTGAGATTTCTAAAAATGCAAATTTATGAATCAACACGTCACTTTTATAAATATAAATAAATAAATAATTTTGTGACTTAAAATTGAGGACCTTTTTTGCTGATGCGTTTATTTTATTCTATTATATTATTAAAAATTGATATTCTACATTATGTTTTTTCTATATGATGGGAATTCTGAAATAACCTGTAAAATTTTAAGGTTAAGCTAGTTGTCAAATGTCCGGCATTTGAGAAACGAAACACGTGTTTTTTGCTAGAATAGTAAATATCACTGAAATTATTTATTAAAAAAGATGTCTGATCAAGAAATGGACGTAGTTGATGAAAACGAATCAGAAAATGAAGAAGCAATGGAGGAGGAAGAAAAAAATGAAGAGAAAACAGATAAGCCATCTGAAGTGTATCTTCCGACCAAACCACTAGAAGAGGGTGAAGAATTGGTGTGTGATCAGTCCGCTTATGTCATGTTACACCAGGCACAAACGGGGGCCCCTTGTCTTAGTTTTGATATCTTAAAAGACAGTTTGGGGGAAATCAGAGAAACTTACCCATTAACGGCATACATTGTGGCTGGCACTCAAGCCCCCCAAACTCACGTTAACAATGTGATAGTAATGAAGTTATCAAATCTTCACAAAACAAACAAAGGTGAAGATGACGAAGATGATGACGATGAAGAGTCAGATGATGAAATTTCAAAAAATCCAAAAATGGCGGGAGCCCTTATTAAACATCAAGGGTGTGTGAATAGAATAAGAGTAAGCATTTATACTAACCCCAAACTCCTATTTATTTCGCTTTTCTCAGAGTACAATAATAAACAACAAAGTAATAGCGGCCTCTTGGAGTGAACTTGGAAGAGTGAATTTATGGGACCTATCGCAACAATTAGAAGCGGTTGACAATGACCAATTGTTATCAAGATACAACAAAGAAAATAAAGCAAGTTCAGTGAAACCACTATTTACGTTTACTGGTCATCAAAAAGAGGGTTTTGCGATGGACTGGTGTTCAACAAATGTTGGAGTTTTGGCCACAGGGGACTGCAAAAGAGATATACACATTTGGAAGCCAGCAAGTGGGGCTTCCTGGCAAGTTGATCAGCGGCCACTAGTTGGACACACGGATTCGGTTGAGGATTTACAGTGGTCACCTAATGAGAGAAGTGTTATTGCGTCATGCTCAGTTGATAAAAGTATCAGAATTTGGGATACAAGGGCGCAGCCTAGTAAGGCGTGCATGTTGACAGCTGAAAATTCACATGAGAGTGATGTGAATGTTATAAGTTGGAATAAAAATGAACCATTTATTGTCAGTGGTATGTTTGGAAGACTTCCAATTAAACAATCACAGTGTTTTGATTTGTTTAGGTGGAGACGATGGATTTTTGCATATTTGGGACTTGAGAAGGTTTCAACAGAAAACACCAGTCGCTACATTTAAACATCATACAGAACCAGTGACTACAGTTGAATGGCATCCAACTGATTCAGCCGTGTTTAGTTCAGGGGGGAGTGATAATCAAATAGCACTGTGGGATTTGTCTGTGGAAAAAGATGATGAGAGTGGTAGTGAAGAAGTCGAAGTAATTATTGTCTTTAGTGGGTAAATGCTAAACTAATGGGTTTTTTTTTTTCATTATAGGGAATTCCACCTCAACTTTTGTTTATCCATCAAGGACAAAATAATATTAAGGAGTTGCACTGGCATCCACAACTGCCTGGAGTTATAATTAGTACAGCTGAGAGTGGTTTTAATATATTTAGAACAATTAGCGTTTAAAATATTTTATTATTACAACAAGATTTGTACAAATTCTATAATTCATCTTGTATCAGGTCTAAATTGATTAAATGACGCATTGTGGGTCGTCCATGTGGACAATTCTAATTAAGGAAATAATTAATTCCTGTTTAATAAAAATCAGATAACTTACCCAAGGTTGTTCAATTTCACCCATGTGATTAACAAGCCTCCTCATGTCGCTTTTAGATAACGCATTTCCGATCATTACAGACTTGCGACAAGCCCTAGAGGCGAACATTGCTCGAATTCTAGATGGTCTACACATTGTGTGATTTGAATCCTAAAATTATGAATTCATTACATATGCGTTGCTTAATGAAAACCTTTCTACTTGTAACATAAAAAGCATTTCCTCAATGTCCTGTTTACCAAACACCATACTCTTGCTTAGAGGTATTGCAGTTAAAGAGACTTTTTGAGTACATGGAGCTAGAACGAATTATTATTTTTAATTTATTGTAGATTTGATTCAACCTGATTCGTCAATTTTAAAAGTAAATCCGTTTTTCTTAAAAATTTCCTCATTTTCGATGAGCAAACTTTCGTTTCCTGCGGTCAATTGCAGAGGCTTTGGACTAAAAATCAAGATAAACGTCATGAAATTCGCAAAAATAAAAATAATACTTGACAAGAATTTGGTTTTCCATTACAGTATTGGCTTGAAGTTGCTCGAAATTATATTTTTCATCTGTTGCATGCTGGTCAATGATAAATAAATCGTTTTTTAATTTAGTGATAATAAAACCAAGGTTAAACTGTCCTATTACTGACATGTTCGCAAAGTCTTCCTTAGAGATATGCTTACGCAGTTCTTCTTCTGCAGATTTATTCGACTCCGGATTGATTTTTGAACGAAAACGTACCTTGACATCATCGTCTTTTATAACATTTTGTTGTATTGATTTTGTAATGTCTTGTAAAGAAATATTTAAAATTACTTTTTTGCGGGTCTCACGACTTTTCAGAGGTGAATCTAGTGAAAATTCAACGTTTTCCGATTTACTATCTTGCAACAACTTGGATTCGTTTTTTGAATCTCTACCTGATTTTTCCTCTTCAGAATCATACTTTGGTTTGATTTTAATATCTTGTTGAGGTGATTTCCGGATGTTAGTGTGATTTCTTTCTTCAATTTCTTTCTTACATTCATATTGGTTGGTTGTTTTACGAATCGTATTGGCATTTTCCGCTTCTTTAGTAGGACTAGTACATATCTTTATTTCTTCAATAACATCTGATTTCCGGTTTCTAGTGTCATATGTTTTTTCGGTTTCTTTTTTACATTCGTATTCGTTGTCTCTTATAGGAATCGTATTGACATTACCCGCATCGGTAGTAGTACTACCACATACGATCTTTATTTCTTCAATAATATCTGTTTTGACTTCATTACAAACACTAGGGTTGAGAGATTCGACAGATTCCTTTTCTAGTTTATGCAAATTTGTTGCTATTTGAGTACTGCAGTCATTTTTAACAATTTCTGAAGCTATTTTGATAAATGTATCTAGTTTAGAATTATTATCAACTCTCCTCTCTCCTTTTAAACTGCTAAGACTATTGTTGGGGCTGGTCAAAAAGTTTGTATCATCTTCGGTTTTAGATCTTTTTTTGAATTGCTCTAAGATGCTGCCTTTTTTAAGCCCACCATCAGTGAGGCTTCTCTTCAAACCTCTTGATGAGCAATCACTGGTTTTAAAAAAGTCTTTGATTGTCGTGTTTTGTGTAAGATCCAAATTTTGCACTTTGTATGTGGAAGGAAAATTTTTAAAAGCTTCAATCAAAGAAGCTTTAATTGTGCTTAACAACACCTTTTCTTTTTCTAAAAATATTTGTCGCTTATCTGGAGTTACATTCACGTCAATGAAAGATGATTTGCCTATGATATTCAGATAAACAAACGGATACTGACCGTTATTGTACTGTTTATAAACTTCATTTACTACTTTTGCGACTTTGGTGGGGTCACAGGGTCGTGAGTTAATGTAAAAAAACTGTCTATCGTTGCTGCTGCGTCCACTACCGTGCATAACACATGATATAAAGAAATCAAAAGTAAAAGGTAAGCAATCTTGTTCATCAAGTTTGACTCCGTATTCAGCCAATATTGTCTCATCAGGTCTAACCATTTCAACCTCAATTAACGAAGGAAGTTGTTTAGGCCCAAAAACATTAATTATGTTATCTTTAACTGAGTTTAAACCCTCTGTAGCCACTACTGTGTTTTTGCTACCTTTATTTGTAGTGTTTGTACATGAAAATTTTATACCTTTAGATACTAAACAATAAGCATATAGCAGCTGACACATTTTATTAAATTCTCGTTTTAAATTTTTAGTGAATTCCTTTCGCCTAACTGGCAGTGTTGAAAATAGATTTTCCAAAGTGACTGTTGTGCCATTTTCCCGCGCACTCAGTGTTTCACTGATAATTTTGCCATTTCTGTCATAAGTAATCTTAGTCGCGCTTTCTGCACTGGTATGTCTTGTTACAATAGTTAAATCGGACAGAGCACATAAGCTGCTAAGGGCCTCACCCCTAAACCCCAAAGTTGAAAGGTTTGCCAGATCATCAAATTGTTTTATTTTTGATGTGTAGTGTTTCAAAGCTGAAAGATGCATAATCACATTTTTACAATACCCGCAATTTACTTACTGAGAGCTTGAAAATTTTCCTTTAGAACTCCGGTCCCATTGTCTGAAACTTCAATGATTTCAGAGCCATATTCTTTGAGTTGAATGTCGATAATTGTAGCCCCCGCGTCAATGGCATTCTCAACTAATTCTTTCACGGCGATTGCTAAACTTAAAACCACCTAAAATTATGTATTTAAAACGTAGAAATTGATGGATTTGCGTATTAACTTGGCCAGAACATATTCGATGAACTGTATCACGATTTATTGGTTGTATCACTTGATCTTCACAATTCATAGTGATTTAGAAAAATTAATTTTAGAACGCTCAGTACATAAAATTAACATAAAATGCACAACACAAATGTGACACACACAGAACAGAGAGAATACACACAACTGGTATAAACATAACCTCCCTTTTATTGACCGCCACTTTTTGAAAAGTCGATAATGTAGCAACCTTTCTACCAACCTTTTCATATTTTTAGAATTCGAACAGCTGATAATTTGATTGTCACATTTAGTTAGAGTATTTTTAGAAATTTTCCTTTGTGAGACCGTAAGAACCACAATTCTTTGTGTCATATTTAAATAAGGTATTTAATTTATTTTAAGTTTCTTCTTATGAACCCCAATGAAAAATCGCAATGACAAAACCTCTGTCAAAAGGTCTGGTTCTAGAAGAGCCCTACCTCCAGAAACTGAAGATAAAACACCTCTCGGGTCTTCAACACACACGGGCTACATTTCCACTTTTATTCTTTTAATATCAACTTTAATAATCTATGATGTAGTTATGGTGACAAATGGGACTGTCGACTTTGAAGCTCTCAAAGCTGATCTCAGAAACAGCGTTTACAATCAGAGTGATTCAGTTCGTGTAATAACAGAAAGTTTGGACAAGATCCAGAAAAATGATCAGTCTGTGGATGTAATTATTTTTATGGGAAGTACAGGTGTTGGTAAAACTTTCACTGCGAATATTCTGAAAAAACACTTTAATCCATTTACATACGAATTAAGGACCCCATTACACAACGAACAAATTTTTAGTACAATTAAACGTAATAGACATAATTTATTAATAATTGATGACTTAACATTAGATGATACAGATAATTTAGTTTTATTTATAAAAAATATACCACAAGATGTGGGTGCACTTGTGGTCTGTATTTTTAATATTCAAGAGACTGATAATTTGTTAAATCATAGGATTAATCACGATTACATTGATAAAATAGTAGACAAAATGAATTTAGCTAAAATTTCTTACACGGTGGCTAAATTTCATGAGTTTACAGAAGATCAAGTCAAAGGTTGGGTGATAAAACAATTAGAAATGAAAGGAGTTGACAAACAGTTTCATTCTAAAATTGTTCAAACTGTGGTTGGTAACCAAAATGTTAGGTACAACGGTTTAAAAGGTTTAAATTCAAAAATATTGTTAGAACTGTGATAAAATGCCTTGTCTAATTTTTATTCATTGTCTGTTTTTATTCATTATGAAATAAATTTTGCGAGAAACAAGTTGTGTTTTCATGTTTTTATTCAATAAAATATAATTTTAGCCTTAAAATAACCACAAAAAATAAAGTGAATAAGCTTTTAATCTACTTCCAATTTTCGGAAATTTCCTGTGATCCCACAAAGGGAATCCCCTTCAGATCCACAATTGATTCCGCCCCTTTTTAGTGCAGAAACGGCCCCTTCTTTTGCCTTGGCACTAAATAAGCTCTCTTCTACTTCCATAAGGTCATGACACATCAAAATTGGGTGCGATTTTTCAAGTTCTTTTTTCCAAAGTTCTAGAACCAAAAATATAAAAACAATCCCAAAATCTTGAGTCTTACCTATCATTTCAGCCATTGGCATTGCACCTCCATATTCTTTGGGTAAAACGTCTCGTTCTAAGTATCCGGCCTGAAGAGCTTCTTCAAGATTTGTGTAAAGTCTAACGCGTTTTTTTATTTTTTCGCTAATTAAAGACATGCCAAAGTCGAGAGCAAATTTCATGGAAGGGTGGGCATTGATACAATGGACTTCTTTGTGTCTCATGGGCAGTGTTTTCTAAAAAAAATATTAATTTTATGGTGACTTCTTGTAAAGGATTAATTCTAAGCGAGTTAGTGTAAACCGCACAAGCAGTCGTGGCCGAGCGGTTAAGGCGTCTGACTAGAAATCAGATTCCCTCTGGGAGCGTAGGTTCGAATCCTACCGACTGCGCGCAACAAACACTTTTTTTTCTATAAAATCACAAGTACCTCCCCATTTTTTACAATACGGACTGCTTCTTTAATGGTAAATAAAGTAAGGTAAGAAAATCCAACTCCTTGTCCATCAGCAAAGTGTACGAAACCTCTAATTTGATTCTCTTCATCTTCCATTAGCGTTTCGTAAACTATCCCATGTATTCTACACATATCTCCTTGCGTAAATTGTTCAAGGTCAAACACACCTTTAAAAATTTATAGACATATTTATGAAAAAATTAAATATAGTTGAAAACCTGGCCGAGCTATGATAACTCTTCTGCCCTTGCTGTCCCTTTTAGGACACGCAAACAGGTATCCTCGATTGGTAAGATCTTCCATCATGGGTATGGTAATGTCTAAACAATTAAACGCAACTCCAAAAGTTTGTCGTAACAGCACATACCGTTCCAGAGCTTCTTGTGCCAGAGTAACGCTGAATTTTTTAAATCGTAGAAAACGTAACAAAAAGCGCGCATCTGAAATTAAAAGTTTGCAGAGGCCTTGTGTTATGTGAGTCTTGTTTTTACCTAATCTGCAGTTTTTTATCCGAGGATTCTGCATGATCCATTCTCGCATGGAGGCCAACGCGGTTTGACGGCTATGCTTGTCTTCACGCAGCTCCTCCTTTGCTATGGTTTGCAGTTCCTCAGAGAGTGTGCAAATGTATTCATCAGGTTCAGTTACCCATTTACGGTCCGACATTGTTTCACAATTTTCCGAATTTCTTGTGAATTCAAAAATCAATTTAGAACAATAAAAAAAGAGGTTGTCCCTGTTTTAAAATTTATTTCATTCGATTACGGAAATGTCATCTGAAATGAATAGATCTATTGATTTTGTGACCGCAAGGGAAAGTAAGTTAGGTAACGATAACAGTGCGATATGTTGTGTAATAAATTTTTAATAGGGTAAGCGCTAACGGAACTTGTTCCACATTTGAAAATGTAGGCAAAAAAATAAGATGAACTTAATGTCAAATTAAAAAAAAAAGACTAAAAAATGCAACTTTTAAATGTGAATAAGTACCCCACATTAAAATTGAATGAATTGATCTGTTACATTTTTAAATACTGAAAACTAATATTTTCCCATCCTTTAGATTTTCAGTTTTATATTCCCATTAAACACGATTGAATAGCAGCAAAGTAGATTCTAAAAATAATCTATTAAAACAATACAATTATAAAAAAAAACTTCAAATTAGCTTCAACTACGAGTATGCCATTTATTAGAAAACAATAATATACCGTAATTTTTGAATTAATTATTGTCTAATCCTAAACAAAATGTATCAGTAAAAGCATATTGAAAGATGTTTTACAATATATAAAATTGCAATTTTGATTAAACTTTATTTAAAATTAAATTGATTTTTTCTTTAATAATTAACTTTTCAGTTTCTAGAAACATTTTAACGTTTTAATATTTAAAATTAAAATAAAAAAACCATTTTTGTTAAAATTGACATTACTTAACTATTTAGCCATCGCTTAAGTTTAACTGGGTGAAAGGTCATCGGATTTAGTTTTGTTTTTTAATTTAAAAAAAGTAACATTTAAATTTTGATGAAACCTATAGTTGAAGTTTTTAATTACTATATAAACTTGGCAATTTAAGAATAAATATAATAATAAAAACACACTCGTTAATTTTGGTTTGTAAAATCACATATATCTATCTCACTGTGTTGTTTGAAAACACGACATAATATTGTGTGATTATGTACATAATACATACATATAAATAAAAAAAAACATTTAACTTTGTTGTGGATTTAAAATACACATTGTAACTGAGGAAATATTGAGTTGTAACAAGAGATTACTTAATAAAAGTTTAGCCTGATTGTAAAAAGTTATTTATAGCTATTTTCCTTATAAAGTAAATAAATAAAAAACATAAACAAGAATAGTGAAATATAATTTATTTATGGGTTAATCTTTTATAATGATAATTAACAGTTACTTACCTCTTTCTAAAAATAATGAGACAAGAATAAGTGTTTGTGATGTTTTAAAAAAAATGTACAAGAATTTATGTAAAAACAATTCAAAAAAAATCGAGAACACACTTACCCAAACCAGTGTAGCACTTTTAACAGCTGACACTAACATGCTAAAGGCACACTGAACAAAATTTTGCACACAGTGTTAATTTAAGCCGATCTCTGATTTGATGTCCCCACTGCGAAACATGTTACATTATTTTCCTCTTTCTCCAGCCACTTGCTATGCAGCATCGGACTTTCTTTCTGTTGAAGAAATGGCCACTTATTCCCTAATCACATATTGCAGCAATACGCACTCTAATCTTTTAATTTCTTAAAACCCCTGTGGTAATAATGTGATTTTTACCATCAATCGCGCAAATAGACTCAGAAAAATCGAACATTACGTAAATTTGTCTTCAATGACTAGGAAGTAATGTAAGTTTGCATAAGCGAGACACTAAAACCGTTATTAAAATAAAGCAAAGTGAATTAATATGCAATTAGGAGATTTACTCTAATTTTGATGAAATGTATTTCAAAGTTAGAATAACTTGTTTTACAGTCAAGATTGACCGCATTTTGCACTTCCTGAGGCTGTAAAACATGTGCCACTAACCCAACCATGTTATACAAACCATATTACATCACCTTTCTTCGGCATGATTACTCATTCACAGAATAAGTGAAAGTATTTGTTATGTAATAAAGAGCCTCCAGAACACAAACGGTGTAACACTTTACGTTTCTGGTAAAATAAAGTAATTTCAATAAAATTAGCTAATTTATTAAATAAAAATTCAGTTACTTCATTTATGATTTATTAATCAAGTGGTTTCCTGTACAATGAATTTTTTTTTTTTTGAAAGAAGTTTTTCTAATAGAAGTTTAAATACTTAATTTCTAATTTTTCAAAATGAATTTAATAAATAACGCCCTATCGGCCAAGAATGTAAGAATTCATGGCATGTCGTCCGAAAAATGGACAACCAAAGATAAAATAACGCAATATAAAGGACTGGTCAATTTGTACAGTAAGTTTTTTATTATTGATTTTTAGTGAATTTAATTTGGCAAATATTAGGAAGAGATCGCCAAATTACGGAAGTTGACACCGCTGTAGCTAGTAAAAAACAATATAAAGGTCTCCAGGCGTTACGTAAATCCATCGAAACTGATAGGCATAAGTTGGACAATGCAATAGGAGGTGATAGGCAAAAGCTACGTAATACTTTGGCGGAACATAGAGAACTACAATTAGCTTATCAAAATTCCGATCCAAAAGTTCCACCTTCGAAATTTCTCAAAACAATCAATAATTTTAATTATATTTTAGAAAGTCATAGAAAACGTCCATCAGATTAATTTTACTAAACGCAAAGTTTTAGACAAATTGCAATACCAGATGAAACTAAAATCGCAACAATTGATCGATTTGAAAGTATTTTTATTATTAGAAACTCAAATCATTTGCTATAATTTTCATAGTTAGAAGAAGCTCTGCTCCAAGACCGCCTAAAATACGAAATTTATGATAAAATAAAGGAGGAGGAAGTGGCGCAGATCATTACTGGAAAAGTCCAAGACGCGCTGTTGAAAAAAGAAGCGGCTTTAGCAATACAACAAAGCTACGCCGAAATAATTAACGTTATGAAAAAAGTAAATACAAATTAGAGTCACACTTTTGATTAGACGGTTTCTTCAGGACGCGCTTTATTTCGACGGAATTTTATTAGCGATTCAAACCGACTATTGGTATCAATGCAGATGTGTTTTAAATGCCGCCAAACAGGGACAATTAGCCACCGAATATAAAAATGACAGAGAACAAGAATTTGAGGCGTTGGAAAAGGCGGTTACCAAAGACATGAAAACTCAAAAAGTGGACTTGGAGATAGTTCGCGAGCAAGCTGAAAATTTGCATTCAAATTTAAAGCATTTGTTGAGGAGAGATGTAAAATGTATTTTCGAGTAAAACTCTGAAATAATTCGAGTTTTAGAGTGACCTCACGACTTGCATACTGAAAGTTGAAGAATCGCAAGACTTTGCAATACTACGTAAAGACTTAACTAAAATTGAAACTGCGTTAACGTACTTGAGAGATACGACTCTGGTTTCTTCTTTTGAACAAATTTATCCAAGGTGTGATGAAAAACCTAAAAAATTTAATAAAGAAAATTATTTTCCAGCTTGCAAGAACAACTAAGACAGAAGAGAAGATTAAATGCTCTTGCAAAAAAATGTGAACGTAACAGAGATATAATACTGAATAAAATGAATCATGCTGAACTCATGAGCAATATGCTAAAGAATACAATGGTGGAGACAACTGGAGAGTATGTTTCACCTTCAAATAGTTGGGAATTATAAGATTTCTTTGCAGATATAAGAAACGCAAGAAAGAATTAATGGATGCTATTGAGGAACAAAATCAAAGCAAAAAACAGTGCGACCAACTACGAGATCACAAACGTAATTTGATAGCCAAAGTGAGAATATCGTTGAGACAAATCCAGCAGTTGTGTTTGCCTGTCAAAACGCCAGAGGAGCGACAGCATATGAAAAAATATGAGATTGAAGCTGGTCCAGATGATACCCCACAACCCCCAGAGGAAGATGAAATTGATGGTAACGAATTATTACTTTGGTTTGATATTCTAACTATCCGTTTTATTAGGGCGCAAAATAATATCTGATTTAACTCCAAAATTGAGCTATTTAATGGCGAATGTTTCTGAAAAGATGGACTATTCTAAAACAGATGCCGCTTACAAATTTTATGAAAGTTTGATGAAAGAGCGTTGCGTTGAAGAGGCGCCTGAAATCAAAACCGACGACTGTAAGCAAATTTTTGTTGTCGTATTTTTGCTGAATAATTTTTTCAAGCACTGATGGGAGAGTTCTCAGGTGAAGTGTCTCATCTTCTCACCAGAGAGGAAATTAAAAAGCAAAGTGCTGAAATTGTCGCTGCTCATAACAAAGAAGAAGATATGGTGCCAATATTTCAAGTTAAAAGAAAGAGGAGAATGTTCAAATAGAGTCATTGGTACCCACTCTAGCTATTATGTATATTATTTTTATTAAATATCGTGGAAAAAAGAACATTTGTATATTGTTTTACCTAATCTAATCTCATTTGCATTCTTCATGATAGGGCTCTAAAGTCCTTAAATCTCTCCATGTTGGTGGTAAATTTCCCAAAAGGTGATTTCCACATCGTTTGCAAGGGGCGCTAAATAGAGTGTTGTAACTGTGAAACCAGTGCTAAAAAAAAATGCGTTGCAAAAGTTGTACATTATTGTTATATGCTACCATAAAAGATTTAACTGCAAGTTCTGGCATCATTGGAGAATGGAAGTGACACATGGCGGCGTGGCAATTTTCTGTGACTTTCTTGAATACTTTGTAGCGTGATTCAGCCCACAAATCATTTGATTCAGAAAGTGCTTTCACAACCACCCACTCAATCATCAATCCTTTAAACGCAATTACAGCTTTTAATACCCTTCCTAAACATGCCTGAAGTACAATATCTTAATAGATTTCAAATGTATACATTGTCATAGAATAAACCTGGATCACTGGGTTAGGCAAAAAAGGCCTGCTTGCTGTTATTGTTACGTCAGGAAATAATCGATCAATGTTTGTAATTAAATTTTCAATAACCCTGCAAGAATTGTAAAATTATGTCAGAAACGTATCAAAAATCAATCAACATACTCTGGAGAAACATTGTGATTGCTTGTTTGTGTTTTCCTCCTTTTAGTTGTGCTAAATGTCTTGTAAGTTTTGTTAAAAGAGTTTGTTTGGAGTATGTTACCAGCAAGAGCACTGTACTCTCGAACCTGAAAAATGTTTCTAACACATGGTGTTAAATTAATTGAATTTTACTTTATCAGTCCACTTGTAACTATTAACTAATTGCCCATACAGAGCTTGACGTTCTTGTGTTGTTTCCTGACCCAAAAAAGCTGTGCTTCCTAAATTGAATGGGCCTGGGGGTGGAGTCAAATTACCCACAGCACTTTCAACATCTCTAAAAGGGATTATTGTAGTCATGAGTCTACTTTACGAAAATAGATATTACCTTAAATTGTTATTTACAGTTGTTAGTAATTCTTGTAATTCAAGAATAAATTTGTTTTCTTTTCCCTCTTCACCATGATCGGCTCGTAAGCCGTTACTTACAGATTCAAAAACACGTCTAACATTCGATCTCAAGGTTTTGATCGAATTTAATGCAGAGTTTAATTGTTCAATATCTCGTTCCATTTTGTAGTAAATGGTTTATATTTAAATGTTTTTTTGCCTTGATTTCTGACATATAAAACTGAGGTTATGTTTCTAAAAAAAATGTCTTCACTGCATCACGCATGCGCAAACTTAATTTACAGTATATACGGAGTGTTTCATATAACTATACAAAACTAGTGTCTAATGTAGGCAACCCAAAATACAATAATTGTTCTTCAGAGACTCTCCGAAGTATTTGTTACTATTATACCACCAAGATCTATCCCAATCACCAAATAACAAGGAAGTTGACATTAACAATTACACTGGTCAACAAATTTGAACAAATTTTCGGAAACATTGATTAAACTACCTTCCACGTTAGTCATGTATTACAATAATAAAAGAGTGAAATCTCAATATTTTCTTATGTTAGGGACGTTACTGTCGCATTTTAAAACCCAACAGTATATTTGCCCATCATGGAAGGGTCCCAGCGGTCTTGATAGCGTTCTTCCATCTTTCTGATGTCTTGGTGGAACCTCTCCTCCCATTGTTCGTCACTGACAGCCTTCAGATTTGTTGGAAAAAAATCCAAGTGGGAGTGCAAAAAATGTATTTTGGTAAGAAATGCAACAAATAAACGGTACGTGTTGTCAAAAAACAAAAATGCATTTTGTTGCCAACCAACTAACATAGAATGTTGACATTAATAAATTATTGCCATTAATTAAAGGCTCTACAAACTACGCAAAATGTTTTAATCAACTGCTAAATTATGTAGTGCTAATTATATTTTACGTGCGCAGACTTCGTAAAATTGCGTGAAAAACCTCACATAAGTTTTAAAAAATTAACTATTATGAGACAACTTTTTATAGAAAACAATTAGCAAAAATAAATAAACGACGTAATTTTATATTCGTTATCAAAACTACCAGTGATTCAAACATCAATTTCTTGAATTTATTTTTGTCACAAATTTTTTAATGATATTATTAGCTATTAAAACAACAAAAGTTTTAGAGACAAATCGAGGTCGTAGTTTAAATTTGAGCAACCGTTAGGGTGTGTTCTCTCTAAGTTTGTGAAAAAAGAGGCACAAAAAGAGGTCTGGATTCTCCACACACCGACAGGTGGCGCTCTGCGCTAGCACTGTCTCGTCTTCTCTCTAAGTTTGGTAACTTGTCATCAAATGAATTTTGTTGTCAAAATGTAAATTATTTATTATTTATTTATTTTTTATTAATTTTTAAAATGACATTGACGACTACACTTTGAATTTGACTGTGTAAAATTTTCCATTTCTCTGTGAAATAGGAAGTTAAGAAATTTTCTTTTTTAATATTTTTTATAGTAAATCTACAATAATAATAAAAAAAATTAATTTACTAGTAAAAATTATTTTGATTATTAAATCAAATCGTAATGTAAAAACTATATTTTTTAAGAAATCGCTGAAATATACTACAGCTATCTCAGTTTCAATATATACTCTTTGGTGTAAGCTGGCAGTGTAAGTAGCTGTTAAGTAACCTTGCGTGTTTGATTTACCCTGGGGTTGAAATCCCGGCGCATCCACCATTTTTACTGTATATAAAAAAAAATACATTTATTTAAAATTTTATTTATGTTCTGATATTAAGATGCTTATAAAATACTCCGATTAACTAAAAATGTTTAAAAAGTTAAGTTGTCTTCATCAACAAAGATTTATATTATGTATTACATAAAATGCATTGGTTATTTTTCTGCTAGTTTTGATAATTCTTAACAGCATAACATGTTGAACATTCAAATTAAGAAAACAAATAAAACTTTATACAAATTATGGTTTGGGGCGTTTTTTATAATCTAGCCTATACATAGCATATGAAGGGAATAAAAATAAAAATAAATTTCGTATAGAGATAGAATTTTATTGCGTTCAGGAAACTTTACATGTTTCGTAATTTCCATAATTCAGTAACATAATACTAGTCTAGTTGACTTGCGGACATCACCATTCATTCGTACCGACTCATTCATCGTGAATACGAGTTCCATGTTTACCAAAAAATCTGACAAACATAAAACGATTTCGATTTACACAAATACCAAAACGTTTCAGAGAGGAACGTAATCCGTACTCTCGGTAAAATTTTGAATAATAATTTTTAAAAATATCTACAATTTTACTTAAAAATGTACTTTCTAAATCTATCAGACATGCACACACTTCCTCGATAACGTTAAATAAAAATTACCGTTAGTAATAATTGTAAACACTGCATTCAATTTTTAAATATTATATGATTATTATTTTATTTATATGTAACAATATTTACATTTAGAATAATCATTTTGCTCCATAGTTTTGAAACAATGTTCTGTTAGCACTTGTGTTTATCGTTTTAGGCCAACAATGTAATAAATGCACGAAAATAGTTTCGCAAAAATATAGCGCCAAATACGTTCGCCATCTAATTGACTAAAAGTTTGGACATACTGGGCAAATAGCGAGTTCAATGGTGCTTTCAGTGATGGTATTACTTGTTAAAACTATACTTTAAGAGTGCTCTTCTCTAATTTAGAGTAACGATCGGTTCTAAAATTGTGTGTCTTAAACTCAGTACTAACAGGAACATTTCAAGTGGCGCTAATTTATATACTCCTGCAATTGTTCGATATACTGATTATTTTTTTCATAATTATGTTAATCGTATGAGTCAACGTATATATCTATCTACGCAGATCTATGTTGAATTACTAAAACTAGATGGTTTTAAATATTCATTATAGCAATAATTAATAACTTAATCAAGTCATAATTATTATACAAATCGTGCTTGACAAATTAAACTATAATTGTATATAATATATATAATATAAAAAGAAAAACAAACCGAGTTGAACATGTTGGTCCTGGCTCCTTTCATTTTTCCACTGTATAAAAAAACAACTCGAAAAATATGACCTCCATTTCTCGATCACATCAACAAATATCTATAACCTGATACGAAAACTTCTAACAGTTTCTATATACAATATCGAAATAATTGCTAGAGGAAAAAATGTCACGTTCCTCGTGACCAAACATGTCCTACCCTTCGCAATAATATATCTGAGTGAATCGTCAATAAGTAATTTGTATGTATAATAGTAAAACTTTTCAAAAAGAACAGTAAAACATTAAGCAACAGATGTGTTATTTACATGTAATATTACAAAATATGTGTTAGAATTAATTGTATAGAGACATCACCCAAAACACTTTGAGCTAATGTTAACATTACTATAAAAACAAATTGTACCCATACACTTTAGAATAAATTATTGAGGAATTTGAAGAATTTGCAAAGTTATCGCTTAATATCACAATAATAATCGAACGTAACAAATTGCCCTTGTCGCCACACACAATTTTTCTGTGTGTTAGGAAATAAATCAGAGCCAAGTCGTACATTCACACATTCACATGGATTGATATGAAACAAATGATGAATTCAAGCACCCTTGTGATATGTAACCACAGAAAAATTTGTTTAAGAAAATAGGATGAAGTCGGAGATGTCTTAAGAACTAGAGGTTGTGTGTGGCGGTTGCGTACCGCTTAAATTATACAATTTACGAACAAGGCAAGTTATTAGCTTTTGAACACTTAAACTGTACAAAAGAATGTCAGCAACTTGCAGCTCTTGGTTTGCGCCTTGCCATGATATTCCCCATCGTATGTTCAATGAGTGTGTTGGCAGTGAAACATTAATTTTATTATACGATTAGGTTTAATAATTATTTAATATCGAATTCTTGTCACATAACTTTGCAAATCTTGATTTCGTCTCATATTATTCAAAATATGAAAGCAAAATACAGAGGTATATATTTAAAATTTTCACTACAACACTCTTCGTTACTGAAAAGTCCTTTGATTATTAAAAATTTTACACTAGTTACGAGTCCACTATGCTGTCTCGCGGAGGGAACTTCCATTTACCTCTGACGTCACATCCGTCAGGACTTGTTTTACTGTCAAAATTACTTTAATATAAAACTACATGAATTTTCGAGCGACCGGAGCCGCCCGAAACCTCCTCAAGCGTCGCTAGCTTGTCTACAAAAAACTTTCTTTCTCCGAGAAGATCTCGTGCGGTCTCCGAGCTTCAATCACACTGTACAAATTATAAGTAATGGTGGCCGCACTATTAAAAATTGAGCACCTGATTTCACCAGTCAAAAAATTTTCAAATCAAAAATTACACGGGTTCAAAACGGTCCGCTTAGCGACACGTCCCCAGGGGCTCAACGAGGTAAGTAGGCCGCTTTAAACTCGCTTCTAATACGATATATATTATAAATATTTAACCCCTAATATACAGTTTAGTGCCGCGCCTGCACGCGCTGCTGCGTTTCGGAGTGGCAGTGTAATTGTTAGAATATACCGGATCTAGGGCTGCTGACGCGCAGGCACAGCTTTCCTTCAGTTCAGCTTTGAAATCACCCTTCTAATTCAACGAACCGGCCGGTTCCTGGCACCGCGACGCCGACTCTAAGCCCCTTCACTTTGCCCCAACTACATTCACCGCAACAATAATAATTAACGCATTATTCGTAATAAATATTGCACCACACAAGCTGGCCCCAAATTTACACAATACCAAAAAGGTTTTAATTCCATTTAGGAAATTTTAACAACAGATCAGGCCTGGAAAATGTTATCGCATTTAATGCAAGTAAAAAAAATATATAAACAATTTAAAAAAAAAAAAATAGAATATTTCTCAAAATCGTGGCTTTATAAAATTTATAGGTACTCGTATTATTAAAAAAAAAACTTGCCTGATATTCAATATTATAATTTTAATATTTTAGATACTCT